AAAATTTAAAACTTAGAGCGTTTTTATTCCACCGTTATGATGTTTATTTCCAACAAGATGTGCATCAAAACCTTATTATTTTTAGTCCAAAGTAACTTATCATTTGTCATTCGTATAACACACTTTTTTTTTATCATCAAACACATGTAACACCCATCTTCAGATCACGATCTGGCTATAAGGAGAGCACTGCCCAAGCCCATAAAGGGCCAAAGGCTATTGTTCAGTTCCTTTCAACGGCTGTTAAACTCAGCTCAGTAGCTATAAATTAACGATAAGGCAAAGCTAACAGAATCATTTGAATTGACTCTCTGAATAGATTGTTAAAAACTAACCATGAATTGAGTCTGTATTGCAAGAGCAGACTCGGGAACTTTAGACTGAGGGAGGGAGGGGGGGGAAGGGGTCACACTGAGATTCAGAAAACGATATTTTTTTACGCTAACGCCAAAATAATCTAAGAACTATTTTATCATCTTGTCGTCACACGAATTTTTGTTTCAGACAAGTAGTGGATACACCCACAGGTCTGGTTGGGGAAGGAACACATTTTCATGTAAAAAAGTATTCCATTTCTTGTGAATTTAAAGCAATGTAGGTGTTTATGATGAGAATGTAAGATATGCAATTTTTAAGTGGCAAATTCTCGCAAGTAGGCGGAAGAGTACCTGTATTTATTTATACTAAGATTTGATATTTTCACGTTTCGTCCATGCTTCAGTCTATTTGTAATTTTACAATATTCGAGGGAAGAAGGTTACCGAAATACTGCGTCAGTCGTCGTCCAGTGGACTGGGCACACCGGAAGTTAGATTGCGTTGGTCACAGTTCCCGCTTTCACAGGCTACAAAATGTCAGAACATATTAAATGTGGAGTTGTCTTTTCTCAGAGCAAGTGTGTAACTTGAGATAAGAAAGATATCACGCTTTATTAATCATGAATAATTATTATATCATTTGAGCCTGTTTTGCTCCCTTTTTTAAAGCTCGCTTTAGGAAAAAGTGGTATAATTTTGAGCATAATTTGGAAAAACACCAGGCAATGCTAATGGCTTATAATGCCAAGGCATAAGAAGTTACTTTTATTATCACAATCTATGAGGGCCTAATCACTATTCTACTGGCGCCTGTAAACTCCATGCATATAATTTTCAACATATTGACACGAAAATAGGGCATCTCGTCATCGATCTAATTGATTGTTTTGGATTTATGGAGGAGTTATTGTCTTCTTTGTAAATAGAATGGCTTTCTTTGCGCCGTTTTCTACTTGTTTTGGTCGGCTGATAGTTGACTTATTTGACTACTCCGCAATCGAGTCTAATGAACTTGTCGTTTAAGTACAGTTCTAACTCCACTATTGTCCATGATCAAATTTGTCAAAAATTATGACTTAGGTAATCAGTATGAGACAGTTTGACTGTATTAAAATGACAAGTTCATTAGACTCGGTTGCGGAGCACTGAAATAAGTCAATTATCAGCCGACCAAAACAGGTAGAAACGATGCAACGAAAGCCACTCTAAAAGGCTAAAAATGGATGGTGTTGTCTTACATTATCTTTTATTTGCATATCATTTCTGATTGAAACTTAACTAACCTCTCTGTTTACCAACTGTTAGGAATCATCTTACGTCTGACGCGTTTTCCGTGAATAATGATGATGAGCTTCGGAATGATCAAATGCCTTTTTCCTCGCAGGATTAAAAACATTTCAATTGTATAGAGCACAGTTATTTCTACATATATTTTTGAGGTATATGTTTATTTCATTACTTTGTGTATGTGCTTCACTGCTAAACATATTAGCAAAATTTCCGTTTATAACTAGACAGCGTCGGCTAATAAATTTTCTAGATTTTAGTTAAAAACCATCCATGAGTTTGAAATTTAAACAGCCTTTAAATAGTCACAAGAGAAAAGGCTAAAAACGGATAGTGTTGTTGTACACCATTTGTTATTTGCATATCATTTCTAATTCAAACTTAAATTACCTCCTCGTTTACCAACTGTTCGGAACCATCTTACGTCTGACGCGTTTTCCGTGAATAATGATGATAAACTTCGGAATGATGATTGCAGGATTGAAAGCATTTCAATAGTGTAGAGAACAGTTATTTCTGCATATATTCTGAGGTATTTGTCTATTTCGTTACTTTTTCCGTGCTTCATTGCGAAACATATGGTGTTCACCGGTTCGGAAAACAAATTCTGAATATTTGAAAACGCGGCATTATTCATGTATTTTTCTGACATTTTCCGACAAGAGAATCCAAATTTTTCCCGTTGTTTTCGAGTCGGCGAATTAAAGTATTCGTTCTATTATCCAACAGTTTTCCTTGACAGTTAGCTCTCCGAAAACTATTGTTTTCCTGGTGTTGAGAATGCGGTGTCAGATGGGAAAATGGTTTGTATTCGTTGCTTACTGGTGTTTTCCAGTAACGGAAGATTGCTTTGAAAGAAGTTTTCCATCGAAGACAGAGCGTTTCCTTCCATTTTCTAGGACAGAAAATGCGTAGAAAACACTTGAAAACAACGTGTCTTCCAAGAAGAAAAAAAAAGAATGTTTTCTGGCGTTTTTCTCCTGTTTGCGTTGAGAAAACGCGTCGTTATCGGCGATTCACCTAATGCAGTTATTCCCACGCAATTTCAAGTGGTTGCCGTTCGATTATCGTGCAAAAAAATTGTTTTTTTTTTCCTATATTCATCGGTGTTTTACACCATTAACCATTTGGACATCTATAAATATGTTTATTGTACGTATATGTTTTGGTAAAGCCCTTTTTTCTTTGATGAAAAAAAAAACAAAACAAAGAAAACAGCCACACCGTTTCACCAGAGTATGCAGGTTTGCATCAAACAAATTATGGCGTGCAAACCACAGTGAGTGCAGTTGTTTGTTCAAAGTATCGTTTACGATCAAACGGAAGAAAAGTTGTCAAACAAATAACCAGCAGCTATACTCAAGGTTTTTCGTTCGGAAAATATAGATTGTACTAAATATCAGCTCATATTTGTGACCGCAGAGGAGATTTTGTCGAAGACATTTCTTTTCTAGCTGAAAAACAAAACTTTCCCTCTGTTTCACTCATCGGCTCTACGTGTATTTGTTTTTGTCGGAAAATGCATAGAAAACACTTGAAAACAACGGTCCTCCAACGTTCACGGGTTGGTCAACGTAAAGAAATAAAATGTTTACTGGCGTTTTTTAGCTGTTTGCGTAGATAAAACGCGTTGTTATCACAACTATCGCGTTGTAATTCACCATCCGAATGCAGTTATTCCCACGCATTTTCTCAGCGTATTTGCCGTTCGATTATCGTGCGCAAAATGGTATTTATTCCTATATCGTTGTTTTACACTGTTAACCATTTGGACATCTACATATATAGAAAGTTCTTTTTGAAATTCCTAAATATCATAGGTCATAGGGGGGATTTCCCTTTTGTTGTATGATCATAGACGATGAGAAAAAAAAAAACCATAACGAAACTCGTTAATCTATCGGCTATCCTCTTCCCAACTTAAAACGATCAGCAATTAATTAAGGAAATCCTGATAAGTATCGGTTCGTTAAAACGAATGCATTATAAAATATAACCTAAATGGGCTTGTTCATGTTCGAATACTGACTTATATTATGGCGTTGATCATCTTTCAGTAACATATTTCTCTGAAGAACCAGCGTTATCTGTTGAGATCACAACAAAACTTTAAGTGTGAAGTCAAGGGACGTTTTCCAGTAATTCATTTCTACGGCAGTTTTTACCATGCATGTTGCAACCATAAAACTGGTGCTATGTCTCTTCTTTTGCTCCGATTTACGGCCTACCAGCAGCTAAAAGCCCCGAATTGATTCAATCGATCAGTCGGAATTAGTGCCCAAAGCTCGTGATATCAGGCAACATCGTCAAGTTAGCCAAACGCTTTTTATCCTTACAGAAGTTGGCAACCTAATTTTCAATATTTTTGTTGATATTGTTATCTAGAGTTTTTTTTTTAATGGACTCTCCTAAAATTAACGAAAACCTGTCCCAAATGCAGAATTTTTGTGACTTATTCTGAATTGCCAATGAGATCCCGTTATGTAGCAGAATTTCAGTAGGCATAAGAAGAAGTAGAAGTAGTGATAGTTCAATAATTTCTTGGCTTTGCCAAAGCCAGCTGAAAGCACATTATTTGCCTGGCTCTGAATATTTCCCACAATGATTATTAATCATACTGCACTATGTTTACCGATTCCCTTTTTAATATTTTTCACTAAAGGTCAACTTTCCCAATTTCTTAATCGATCATCGTAACGCGTTCGTGTTTTCCAATTTCAATGCAGCCCTTCGCCAGACTTTATCAATTGTGTTTAGAGTCCGCTCCCAGTCTCTCCACCACAAATAACTGTACAATAACATTCGCTCAATCTGGGGTCACAGCCCAGGACTCAAAATATTCTGCAGTGATAGAAAAAAAGTACATTGACGCGGTGTTTTTGTTCACATTGGGGAGTTATTTATTTTATAATCATGGCACTCTGTAGGCACACTAACTCAGATAACGGCACGCTGTGTGGCGATAAATACATCGTAATGGGCGGTTTTCGGAAATTGAGAAAAAAAAGCGTTTAGAGAGGGTAGCTGGCTATTGCCAGGAGAGCATATCGCTACCTCAGTGAGAACTTCAGAACTTTTTGTCTATAAAAAACTTCTTCGCGTCCTTTGAGAAGGTCAAAATTATATTTTCGTTCCATTCTTTTTAAGTGCATGATGTCTTCTTCGTGAATATTCTCATGTAAGTGTAATGGAAATCACATTGAGATATGGTCTTGCATTGCACCTATGCAGTATAAAACAGCAAGCTTGCAAACAGATAACATATTGTTCTGACTTTTGCATCTATGGTTTTTTTGTTTGTTTGTTTGTTTGTTTTTTTGGTTAGATCTGAACACAACTTGAAGTCTGGTAGCCTCAGGAGGTTTCTAACCACATCATATCTTGGCGGTGTTAACGATGCATGTTGCAACTCTGAGATTGGTCCTATATCTAATGGTTTGCTGCGATTTATGGCTCGCCAGGAGCCAAAAGCTCCAACTTGATTCAATCGATCAATCGGAATTAGTGCGCAAAGCCCGTCAAATCAGGCAACATCGTCAAGTTCGCCAAACGCGTCAACTTCGTCAGGAACAAGATAAAGAAACGAAATGCAAATTCAAATTTGCCCTGCTAGATTTTCCTCCTTACATTATGAACCAAAGTATTAACCAAGGATTTATGTATCAAACCCTTACATGGTTTGTGGACATGGTTTGCTTTGGTAGAGAAGCAACAGACCCCATAGCTTGCAAAATGGTACCAGTATTTGTTCAAAATCAAGACGAGATGGTGAAATTGATTAAAAATGGGTCGGTTGATTTTGGTTTTCCAATTCTGTCGGATGCAAAACAAAAACTTACGGGTCTAGATAGTGTGACACTCACACGGACATTTGTATCATCCGGGTGTTCAATGATTGTGAACTTAAAGCAGTGCAAAGCAGAGTCACGGGAACAGTTATTTACTTCCATTACGTCACAATGGCCAATATTGGCTTATATCATATTGCTGTCAGGGATATCTGGAGTGATCATTTGGCTCTTGGTAAGAGTTAAGGCTTATCATCGTCAATCTATACTCAGCTTCTGAAGCTCTTCAGTTTTAATTCTACGTAAGGTTAGATTCAAACTTAATTGTTACGGCTTTAGCATGAAAATAGTTCAAGTAGGAATCGACAGCACTATTTTTGAGTAAACGGTTAGTTAGGCACACCTTATCACTTCACCGAAATAGAAAGCCAAACTAAAAAAAAGAACCTCACAGTAAATAAAAAGAAAACTGTAATACCCCACAAGTCATGAATCTACAAATAAGGTTTGTTTGTTTGTAGGTGAAAAAAGACCGTTGCAATGACGCAAACTATCAAATAAGGACATTTTATTCCAAGATGCCACAATTTCGGATAGAGTAATACTGCTGCAAACTTTGCGCGTTGTAAGCCTTAAGTAAGCTTGAAGTGTACTGATTTTCATGACAGGAACACCGTTCAAACGCGTCTCAGTTTTCACCCTTGTTCACGAAAGGATCACCAGAAGGCTTTTGGTGGGCAGTGGAATCACTTACAACAGTAGGGTAAGTTGATTTAGATTTACACACCGGAAGTATGACGGTTCGACATCAACTGTGACGAGTCGTTCGATTCGAGTCGATTCGACAACATCTCCAACCCACCTTCGTAGTTACTCGCGGAATATTCTCTAAGTGTCTTGCAAATCGACTTCCGGTATGACGGGTCGACATCAGCTGCGACGAGTCGTACGATTTGACAAAATCTGCAACCCCCTTTCGGAATATTTTCTAAGTGTCTTGCAAATCGACTTCTGGTGTGACGGGTCGACTTTAACTTAGACGAGTCGTTCAATTCGACAACATTTTCAACAACCCTTGACAGTTACTTGTGAAATATTTCCTAAGTGATTTGCAAATCGACTTCCAGTTTCCATCTAATGAGAGACGGTTTATCAGATTTCCGATATAACGAGACGCATTAACCGGTAGAACGATTCGCAAACTGCCTTTGACGAATCGTAGCGGTTTGGGTGTATTGGACAACCCTATTAGTATACTTGCTAGACTATCCTCAAAGCGCAAAGATATTTGGTTCCTTTTTCTCATTAGGTACGGGCAGGGCATTTATTATGCTACAGGAGGGAGGCAGTGTGGACTAGTGGCTGGAGTGCTGCATTTGTAATCTGGAGGTCCCAGGTCTAGGCCCTCCACCCTCCGCTACTCACTCCTCGGCTGCGCTTTGTATATAGCAAATGTTCAGCTTCCTTCCAGTTGGGAATTTCATTCATTCTCTCATTTATAAATTCAATCATGTCTACTGATCCTGAAAAGCCTTATCGGGGAAGTGGTCAATTAGGTATAGATTGAGAATTTATATACTTACTACACTATCCTCAAAGCGCGAAGATATTTGGTTCCTTTTTCTCATTAGGTACGGTGATAAGACGCCTAAAACCTTCTGTGGACGTTCATTTGGTATAATATGGATCTTGATAGGAGCTATAACGTTGTCGCTGTTCACCGCTTTATTTATAAATGTTATCCAAGCTTCCCAGGATGGTACGAGATGTAGGGACATCGGTGGCAAAAAGGTTAGTAACCCTAACATGAATACCTAAAACCCTTTGCACCCTAACATCATTATGCCTCTTCTCTATGGTTTCCTCTATACATTTCTTAAGGTGCTGGAAAAAAGATTTTTTTTTAACAATCAAGAGTTTCTTTAGTTGGTGATCATTTCTTTTATTCTCGTGACCCTAATGTTTGATTCAGGTGTGATATTGTAAGGAAATATTAGTTGACTATTTTCTTGGTTTCAAATTAGATTCCCTACATTTTTCAATTTATCCTAAACGAAGCGTCGAAAGGCCTTTCCCTGGAAAAGTTATTTTACCAATAAATGGATCCTACCCTCATCGATCGAACTCAGGAACAGCTAAAATGCAACTCGGCCCTGTGACTCAAACCTTTGAGTCACAGGACCGAGTTGTTAAAAGCAGGGTTCATATAACTCAGCAGTAATGTGAAATCTTATTTAAGATCTGAAAGCTGTAAAGAAAGGTTGTTACGATTTGTCCACACTTATTAAATGCTCTTAGGAAAAAAAATGGAGAAAATTATTCGAAAGAGGTTGCTGAACAAAGGTGTAAAGAAACCCGCATGAAATTAACCCCGGATTAGCGCTACTCAGACTTCGAACAGCTAAGCTAGGAATTATGAGCTACCTGAGTCCGAGTTAGCAAGTTGTATGGAAGAATGAAATTAGCATTAAACAATTTTAATTGATTGTCGAAGTGGAAAATTGCTCTGGTTTTGTACAACTTCGGATATTGTTGGCCCTTTTAACAACAATGCCTTCCCTGTTCCTATTATTTAGGGTGGGTCTTTCCGGAACTACAACTTAAGTGTACTTTCGTTGTACAGGTTTTTTTTCATATTCTTTGCAAGAGGAAAGTACTTATCATCTGGCAATAAGCCTTTATAGATTGTGCTAGTAAAAGTAGCATATTATGCTAGTGGTATTACTCGATCATTTTTCAAATGATGCTCAAAATTAAACTCGTTTTTGAAAATTATGCTACTTTTTATTTAAGTGCGCTTTACAAAAAAAGAAAAAAGAAACAAACGAAGTCTAAAGTATATATTTGTTGTCAAATTAACATGAAATCTTCTTCATTTTGAGATACATACTTGCTCTGACAAAACATAATTAACTATTGGATTCCAGACGAGAAGCAGTGACTTGACGAGTCAAAATGTAAGTTTCTCTTCGGCGCTATTTTGTTGCCTGTGAAAGCGGGAACTATAAACGATGTAATCTTTACTACGGGTATGCCCACTCCTTTAGACAACAAACGATTCTATACTGCGGTAACCCTCTTCTTACAAGACATTGAAAACCTGACAATAGACATGAACCATAGACCGAAAATCATTCTTGCGCAATCTACAAGGGCCCAACTGGCACATAAAAATTTGTCTGACGCTAATTTACTTGTTAGGTGGGTGTGTCCAACAAGAATCCTGAAACGCATATAGTCGCTATGGAGCTGGACGCAGACTTTGTCAGTAAGTAATTCTTTTCAGGCTATTTCAATGTTCTTGTATAACGCGTTGCATGACCATTGTTCTTCAGGAACGACTACGAAGGTAAAAAAATAAGCTTAAAAATTACCTTTTAATTGCAGTTATATTTCATATACTTTTGTATCAAAACTCTAAAGAGAAATTTGTCCGCCGCTTTTTCTCATTTTATTAATGTAAGAATTTGCGTTGGCGACCAAATCAAATAAATTTTTAATTAACAGAGTTCAACAACCTGGATGAGATGCAAGAAAGTCTTAGCCAAGGAATAATTGGAAGAGTAATGGTGGATCGCAACACTGCATTTCACTTTTTGGATAAATCTGGTTTAAAACGAAACAGACAGATCCGAATGATTCGTAACATCGATTATCCAATGGAATATTACCTGGCTCACGTGAGCCATGACGTAATGGCGTCACCGAATGATACGAACGATTCTGATGACGAAGTATTGGCTAGAAAAACTCAGCTTTCGGTTTGCGGGGAAAGCCTGAAAGAGTTATCAGCGGATGTGATGGCAGTTGCAAAAGACACTGCCAAAGAGCAACTTATCCCTGCCGAATTAAAGGTAGTTAATTGTTTTTTTTTGTGAATTTTCTATATTTCACCACGCGCCATTCTTCTCTTCATGCTTAGCATTTATTCTGATGCAATCAAGAGTTTGAAAATTATTTTTTCTTTGTAGACAGCAGATTTGTCCGATGAAATGGAAGGGTTATTCTCCACCGGCTCACAAATGACCAAATTTATATTATTGGCCTTATTGGGAATACTTACCTTCCTAATGATCATCGGCAAACTTTGGGAAGTCTACACCAACTGTAAGCCAACGGTACGCAAGAAGAGAAAAGGTAACTACTTCTTAAATTAATTTACCATAGGTTCCTGCAGAGTAAATATAAAACAGATACCTTTTGAAGAAAACTGTTCTATCTTAATTAATATAAATCGTGGTATTGGTGTAATTCTATATTTTTAAATTCAGATGGCAATCAAAGGCAATGGGACAGTCACTCGTCCTTCAGTTGGTCAGTCTGTCAGTTAGTTAGTCAGGCAGTCAGTCAGTCAGTTAGTCAGTCAGTCTGTCTGTCAGTCAGTCAGTCAGTTAGTCAGTCAGTCAGTCAGTCTGTCTGTCAGTCAGCCAGATTAAGTCGTGGTATTGGTGTAATTCTATATTTTTAAATTCAGATGGCAATCAAAGACAATGAGACAGTCACTCGTCCTTCAGTCGGTCAGTCGGTCAGTCTGTCAGTTAGTTAGTCAGGCAGTCAGTCGGTCAGTCATCCAATCAGCCAGTGAGATTTTAATCAGAAATGTGGAAACCTTCGTTACATGAAACAGTTCAATATACTTATTGGAAGGTCGGTCTGTCAGTCAAATAATAAGTAATTATGTAAGTTTGTTTTTCAGTGAGAAAATGGTCATTCATTCAAACGATTAATGACCGAATCAAATATCGACTATTTGTGTACTGACAATCGGCAAGACAAAAGTAATATGTTTAGGGATTAATTTAGTGGTTCATTTCTTTAAATGTCCTCTACAATCCTTCTTCTAGGACTGATTCTTAGCAGCAGGAAGATGTCAATGATGCAAAACTTCCTGGATTTCAAGGAACGACTAAAAGACATAACGTCTGATCTACAAAAGTTAAAAGAGGAATTTGAAGGTGCCGCGAACGATTTGTCTCGTGAATACTCAAGACCAAAAGAACGCTCATTTTCTATTAATATGCTTGATCTGAATGTAAAGAGTAAAAATACTGAAACAATAGTATAACACATAAAACATTTTGTCATTTGTAAACTCAGATAGCATTTTACTCTTCTGAGATTTCCATGGCCAGTGGTATATTTTTAGCTTGAGCAAAAAAAAGGTGAATGTGTCACACAGAGTAGGACACGTAACTGACTTCTTGTTTATTATGAATTGTATTGAATTCTTTTCCTTCCTTATTCCTATTCCCTTTTTAATTTCCTTACTTTCGGTTTTTAGGCCAACAAACCAATACGTTATGTTCAGAGAAAGGTAGCAAATGAACCAAGAGGGTTTATAAATTTTCTCATTCCACTGCAATCAGTTTTAGCTGTCTATTGATGAAATAGCTCGCGCTATTAACTACAGACTCTGCCTCGTCCGTCCTGACGGATGAACAGAATCAAGGGTCAAGAATAATAACTTCGGTATTTGCTTTTCAGTGCCTAACTTCTGGGTTTGTTTGTTTATACTCTATGGAATTAAATTTCACAAGTGCTGGAAAAAAGCAAGCTTTTGAGAATGGGTGGTGAAAATTGAAAGTATAAATGAAGAATTCCTTTCTTTATTAATTATTTAAGGAAGCACTTATCATAAAAGATATTATATAACAATAATTGTTTCTTGACTTCTCTTCGCTTCGTTAGACGAATGCAAGTGTAATTTCTGGCCGGTCACTTTCTCAATTTCTTTCGCAAAAAGCATGCAATTTTATAACATTTCAGGAGACTTTTGGAACCACTGACTTTTAAGATTATGGAGGGCAGATGCAAGTGGTCACCGAAGACTCTAGGTTAAAAGTTAAACGTTTCGAAACGTCCCTAATCCTCAAATCCTTACAATTTAATCAAAGTTTTTAGATATTGTATATAACCAATAGATCTGTGTGCCTATAGGGCAGCATAAAAAACACTGATTATAGGAGAATAACGGCCAGTCAAGGACTATTATTCATTTACAGGTAATAAACTCCAATCTAGGTGATGTCTCTCTGAGAAATGTATCCCCGTTTTGCACTTGAATCTTGCACCGTAGTCGCTGATTTTTTTAAATTCAGGCAAGACTGAAGCGCTATATATGCTACAAGTGAAAGCTACAACTTGTAAAGTAATTAAAGGAATCTTTACTTTTAGTGATCAAGAAATATACTGATCAATGTATAGTTATAATAACAGGTGAAAAAAAAAAAAAAAAAAACTTAGACGTTAGATCAAATAGTGTCCACAGCTATTTATTTAAGGGACCTTACTCCCACACTAGATGATTGGTTCCCTTGACTAAGAATTTTTGGGTTCGCTCTTTTACTATGAACAGGTTAATCGTGTCGCGGCAAGCAACTACATGAATGGGCTAACGAATTAGAAGAAAAAGATGACGAATCCTAAATGTTGGCCAAAAAATTAGTTACAAGAAGGAATGAAAAAAGAAAGTCATAACTTTACAGTCTTGGCTCAACCTTTAGTTTTAATTTAGTTTTAATTCTTTCGTGAAAATAGCTGCGACAGTAAAACATACTCACATATAATAGCTTCGACTACAGCATTAGAATGGAAAGGTTTATAATACAGACCAGATACAGATTTTAAGTCTAATAAACAAAAGTATTGTACAAAATAAAATTACAAAATTATGTCTTGACTATAAAATCGTCTCTGCTTGATGGGTTACAATTATGTTACCATCATTTTTGAGGGTATGAGGCGTTGCAGCGCGCCGTGCAAGGCAAGCTCCGCTATTACACAATTATCTAGCTGCGAAGTGAACTGGAAAATATAATAGTATGTATCGGTTAATCGAACAAAAACTAGTAAATAAATGACGAATTCAATTCATCAATTGAAAAAAAAATCATTTAAGTAATGAAATTTTCAAATAACATCAAGTGATCTTATCTAGACCAATTTACAATAACAAAAATAATAACTCTAATGGTTGATTGGCCCAGAAAACTTGAGCTATCCTCTCAACCTAGCGGATGCAAAACTAATAGCAACTGCAACTTGCTCATTCCCATTTTTCCTGCTTTTGAAGCAGTTTGCTTGTTTTCACTTTGAGTTCTCTTTGGTTAATGATAATGTAAAGTGTTCTTCTGATGGGTTGCTTTAATAACTTTGGTTTTGTTTTTCAACTATCAGAACATAACTCCTCTATGTACAAAGTTTCAATCACAAGAGTCAACACTTGATTTTGTTAGGGATACAGCAAAAATCCCCAGCCATACAATAATTTTACAAGATTAAAACTGGCCTTCCTTGCCACCATAGTCCAGGAAATTGACCCACCCAGCCTGAACTTATCCCAGTTTCACTTTAGCATAAAGAGGAGTATTACTATTCCCCCAACCCCCCAGCCGATCAGTTGCCAGTCCATCGCAAGGTCACCCCCAGCATTTTATTAGGCTTCCCTGACAATCCGCTGGTACTCGTTTATACTCCTAGGTGGAAAGAGGCATGGGAGAGAAAAGTGTCTTGTCCAAGAACACAACCCATTGACCCCGTCAGGTCTCGAACCCAGACTTCTCGATCCAGAGTCCAGTGCACTGACCATGCATTAGGCCATTGGAAGACGTCTAAGGCGAAATGGGGACAGAGTAGAAGCACAGAACAAATGAGCCGACTGTTTCTTATGCCGACTTTACCTACCTTATTTATGATAATGATTGCAATTTGACCAACGACTATTTAAATTTTTCCTCTTTGCTGTTAAATGTCAGAGGTAACAAAGGCCTCTGCTCTAAAACATGGATGACTGCAAGACCTTTGATTAGAGAATGATACATGTTAAATGAAACTTATTTTCATAAGACAGATTTGCAGCTTGGCTCACTTGAAAAAGAGGGTTTTTAAAACCGAAAATTACCTGTAATACGTATGGAAAACATCTGGTGGCTGTCAAAATGTGACAAATGACATAACGATGAATTCCTTCGTCCAGAAGAACATATAGATAGAATGTTATTACTAATAATTTACAAACTCTGCTCATAGGAATGAGATAAAATAAGATAAAGCTATTTAAACGGTACAATTTCTCGCCTTATGATAATGTGTCATAATAAGTGTCATGAGGCGCATCACTTTCCTGGATTAAGAGAGCTTCAGCAAAGTCTTTTTTAATCTTCTGCAAGTCGCTAGATAATTCTCTGAGTCTATTTTCAAGACTCTGAAAATTCTCCGCCACGAATTTCTTCCTGTTAAAGTGGGTTGGATTATCTTCCTCGCTTCCTTGGTCACACTTGTGCATATCTGAAGAATTAAAGAAATGCGGGATCTGTCAAAGCCTAATTAAGCAAAAAAAATTGTATTTGGGAACGGTCAGTATCTATCATAAAATTGGGGGTTAGGGACGGGGAGGGAGTTACTTCGGAGGATTTGAGTTGCATCACAATTTATCTGATCCTCCATAAGGCTCTGTTGAATTCTAATGATCTCCCTTTATGCTCTGATAGGTGCTCCCTCCGTACCCCCTGAAAACTACGCATTCCCCCCCCTCCCGCGAAAACCTCGGACCCGCCCTCCGAAAAAATGACAATGTTTGTTGATGGTAGAACAAGGACAAATTGAATCAAAATATTTCAAAAGGGGTTAAACTTACCTTTCCTTTTTAGAATCGCGGGATTACAGGAATTCAAGCCCTCCCAAGCCATCACAATGATGACAAGTCCGAGGAATATCCCAAGAAGACTAAATAAGATAAACCGGGTTATTTCTGAGCCACTTGAGAATAAACCATCCATTTGATCAAATAAGGCTGTTGTCTAAAAACAAAAAAACATTAAAGAAGAATAGACTCAACCACTTAGAGTTGTTTAAAGGACAAGGGTAGTCCTTGTTTTCCATAGGTGTCCTTCTTTTCTCATTTTTCCAGAACAGACAACAAACAATAGTTTATTTCCCTCATTACAACAAAAAATGGTTGGTGACGCGCCATTTGTCTCTTGGGCTACTCAGAGGTGAATACTGCTTGTTATTCACCTCCGAATTAGCCAATCAGCGCGCGCGAAAAGTACTATTGACTTGTGTGGTATATACTAACAACTTCTACCAGATAAGTTTGAGTATTTCCATGACCTGTTTGCTAGGTAATGCATGAATATTATAGGGAGAGGTTATTTGTTAATTGACTCTGGGTGTTAAAGGATAAGAGACTAAAGAAAAGCGTCTAATAACTGTAGAAGAAGGTGTTCCGCAACTTTGCAAGCGTTCTTTCATCATCAGAGGGCTAAAGCTACCTAAAACGAACCTCTCATATTTTGCCGGCCAGTTAAAGCCGTATGGCGACAAAAAAAAAACTTTTGTATGGTCGTGTATCAAAAACATGACATGAGTACCAACAATTACTCTTGACCACTTTAGTTCATAAGTGTTGTAGGAGACTACCTGCAGTTCTGCGGGTACCAGGTCACCTGAGGCCTTTTTACTTTTTCCGCGCAATTCTGTGGAATATTCCTTTAATTCTGGTCCACATTCCACCACTTTTTTTCTCTTGACAATTTCTGGATCGGTGTCATTTGTAACGTTCACTGGTGCCGTGTATACATGCACCAAGTAATAATCCATCGGATAATCGATATTGCGAATCATTCGTATCTGCCTGTTCTTTTTCAGTCCGGATTTATCGAGGAAGTAAAATGCAGTATTTCGATCTACAAGGACTCTTCCAATGGTTCCTTCACTGAGTTTTTCTTGCATCTCTTGCAGGCTTCTAAACACTGTAATATCAGATATTTCTGGATCAGTCCAGTCACAAGGGAAGTCACTTAAAAAAGATTAAAAAACCTTTGAGACTTTATCCAGTTGGTAGTTTGTCAGAAGAGGTGTCACTGACATGTATTTTTAGAGTAAGGTATGGCCTCATGATATGGGAGGACTTTCCCGTCTGGGTGAAGTCAATCCCCTCCCCCTCCCCGTCTCCCTCCTCTTCCCCCCTCTCGTGGCTCTGTGTTCGTGTACGTTTGTATTTGAATGGGAAGTCATACTGGCGTGTGCCCCGGAACGAATAATTGCCACGGAGTCGGGTGAAATCAGAACTATCCCTGAATCCTTCGGTGAGACAGGAATCAGGAGCACATGCCTGATCTTCGTTAATCCAGTATGGCATCGTCACGTTAATTTACTAAGGAAGACAGAGGCATTTATAAATTTTATTTGTGAACGGAATGTTTTTAATAGATATAACCTCAGCGAAAATTGTTACTTACCAATTATCTTCGCGTCGAACTGCTTTGCCACAATTTGTGTATCAGTATTTTTGATAAACAAACCAACCTAAGGTGAATGACACTACATAAGAACAGCTTTTATCTTCTCTTGCGCATGTGTTGGGTGAGTTCATTTTTTTCATAACCTTTCCCCCTTGCACGCGACTACATCCTTTAGCCTTTTCACTGTTACAAGGACGAACTTAGTAAGTAATGAATCAGATTACTCACTTAGCAATAGTCAGTAATTGATAGGTCTCAAGGAACAGTGCTTACATATTATGGTAAATCAACAATAAAATCGCACGTAAAAAAACTTAATAGGGCCTGGTGAAGACTTGATCTGTCATCTTGGAATCTCCACATATTTTTGGGTGAATTGCGTGATTACTTCGCAATTCATACACCTAAAATTTACAAACAATAAGTTGTTATTCAGTTAGGAAGATTCTGGAAAGATTTCGGAGTGATACTGTCAGCGAAGAGGGTATTACTGGCGATAGATTCTACGAAGAAAGTTATGGAGGCTTTCGGAACGAGTCTGAGAGCTCAGAATATGATGTTACACGCTCAAGGGTGGCCCGCAGCGAGATGTTTCGTTTTTCTTTCTTTTTGTTTTTTCTTGTTTGAGTTTGTGCATAGACTGCAAGCAGTCTCCACTTTTCGGAGAGGTCCGTCGCACGAGTCAAAAAATATCAGCGAACAAAAGAACACAAATTGATGATAGCGTGGCGCGCGGAAATGTGCAGATGAGGCACGCCGCGGCGTGCCAATATCAATTTTTTCCACGGTTACTTTTGTGCTTTTTATTTTTGTGTTTTTGATTGGTGCGACGGACTTTACCAAAAAGAAGGGACCACTCTCATCCTTGTCCGTGTAAGGTTAGCATCAACCCTAAAGGCCATGATTTACCAGATTATCATCAATCCATAGAAATATTAAAATGAGTTGATAGGCCAGGTTTATGGAAATAACACAGACAACGCTGTCAAATTCGTTTTTTTTTTTACTTTTGACAACTCTCACCTCTTTACCGCTGATATCTTTGCATTTTGAGCCATCCAGAGCAGTGTTCATAGCATTTGTGACCATGGCAGTGAACAGCGATAACATTATCGCTCCAACAAGGATCCAAATTATGCTAAATAACCGTCCAGGAATCGACCTTGGTATTTTGTCACCATACCTAAAAAGGGAGACAAAAATTAATTTATAGGGGTGGATACAGAATGAGGATCCAGGGATCTGGACCTGGGTATTTTTGCAACCAGAATTACTGAAACGTCAGGATCGCATGTCACTACGAACAATAGTTTAAATTTACTTATCTTAGGTTCTACTACAAAAAAAGAATTTAATTTGTGCTTTCTGAATCAAAGCTTGGGATCCCCTGTCATAAAACCCTTGATCCAGCTCTGGTGTGAGTACAAGCGCAGCTCCATCTGACAGTTTTTATATTCTTGACAGAATTCAGGCTAAAAATTGGTAACACTTTTATTTTAACAAAAAAAACGTTCATCATAGACCTAGTGGAGCTTCGAGCGAAAAAATTCAACGTGAATAGCCATTCCTGAAAATTTTATCCTTCGCTTTTAAACCTGTTCAATCTTGCAGCTTGCGACGTAAGGTTACTTCACACCTTAGCGGGTGTCCTTCGCGAAAAATTCGTACGCGCTTTAGTTCGTAGAATCCTAGCAAACTATACACCTGAAGAAAGCTTAATAACTGCATTTTGCGATAATAATATAATTTAAGCGACTTTTCTTTTAAGGAAGTGTCAGGAGCCGGTCAGGAGCCGGTATCAAGGCATCAAACAACAAAAGTGTGTCAGGCTTTCTAGATATTCTTATCGGTTGTCTAAATATCGACATCTAAAGTTGGAGTAGCTAAAAATATGTCGGTCGTGTTGCGTTAATGGACGCAATGGGACAAATATTTCAAATATCAAAATTTTTCGACACATTTTCGTTTGTTATTATTCCTAGGATGTCGGCGAAATTTGACGAAAATTTGTCAAATCTAAATACCCTATAAATTCGGTCAAAGTAGTTGTACTCCTCCCAAAATCAAATGCGAGATTTTAGCTCATAAAGGTTCCCAAACTTAATGTTCTCCAAACAGGAGATTGTTTCGCCTCCATTTACGCAACACACCTCCCGTATTTTAGCAACTCCGACTTTAGATGCCGACATCTAGACAACCAATCAGAACATCGAAGAAGCCTGACACACTTTTGTTGATTGATGCCATGTGAATAACTATGGCATCCGATACCAGATAAATTCAATAGAAGAACCTTCGGTCGTTTCACGCCTTACCGGCTCCTGACACTTCCTTAAAAGAAAAGTCGCTTAAATTATATTTTCTTCATAAACTGCAGTTATTAAGCTCTCTTCTGCTATATAGTTTGCTAGGACTTTAGTAAATTAAAACTTGCGGGCGTACGATTTTTTTCCCGAAGGACACCCGCGAAGATGGGAAGTAACCTTAAGAGAGCAAAGATACGTGGTTCAAAAACGCAAGCTTACACTTCCGACGAAATAGGTGGCTAGCGGCGTCTTTATATTTTTACGCCGTGCTTAAAACATGAGATCTGTCCATGAATTAATCATAACTAATATTTTTCGCTAGGGGGAGGGGGGTAGGGTTTAGAGGATTTTGGTTGTGTCAAGGTAGAATTTACCTGATACCCCCATAAGGCTCTGTAATAACCATACCCCCCATTGACAGTTATACTCGGTTGACGACGACCCATATCCGCCCCATTCCCTCTAGAAACCACGCAACCCCACCTCTCCCCCCCCCCAAAAAAATAAATAATCGACCCCTCCCTAGGGCGATAAATATTGACTGATCGCTGAGAAGAAAATGCACATGACAATGTGGCGCCAGTGTTTTTGCTCTCTAACCCGCAAAGTTTTTTTATTAAACAAAAGAAAAATAAGATAACTTACCCTACTGTTGTAAGTGATACCACTGCCCACCAGAACCCCTGAGGCGATCCAATTGCAAAAGATGGTGAAAAATACTCTTCATTTTCTCTATGTTCCTGACGGATTCAAAACAAAAGCATGGTATTAAAATGAATACTACACATCCGTCCACAAGCCAAATTACTTAAATTATAACGACCTACCCCGAAATCTGGAAATAACATTACTTCCATTTTGCTGTGTATGGGGCTTCGCTGCGCGCGCTACGAGCTCGCTCATACCGTTTCGATATCTCAGGAACACAATTTTCTTTTAACTTATTAAAATTTTTCGCGATAATCTTCGATTTCAGACAGTTTAAGTTAATTTCGAGTGTTTTTTTCTATAAGTTTAAGCACTATGAGTGTTAATGAACAAAGATGGCCAATCATGAGATTAAACTAATTCATCATTGAATTCTCTAGCGCTTTAAAGTTTCCTAAAAAATTAAATTGCGTATGCAATAACTTCCAGCATTTAAAAATGTTTATTTATTATAAACACGTTTTCTAGGCCAATGATACTCACAAAAAGCCAAATGATAACCCCAGATATTCCTGATAAAAGTATGATACAAGCCAATATCGGCCACTGTGACGTGATGGAAGTCATCAACTGTTTCCGCGAATCCTGCTCGCATAACTTTGTATTCACTATCATTGAACACCCGGATGAGACAAATGCTCGGATGAGCGTGACATTGGTTTCAGTCGTCAACTTAGCTTTCATGTCGGACAGAATAGGAAAAGCAAAATCCACTCGCTTTTCTTTAATCAGTTTGATCATCTCGTCGTAGTCACGTACAAAGATTGGATCCAGGAAGCAGTTCAGATGAGATTCCGTTAACTTTTTTTCATCAAAACACGCTTCATTTATATACTCCGTGAGCGGTTTGTACATAAACCCTCTGTTTGACTTGTTACTAGCTGTGTTCATTATATATGGAGGCACGTCCAAAAGAGCCATTTTGTATCGGCATTTGGTGTCGCTAGAATGTGCCTGACGGGTTTCACGCGTTCGTCGCTCTTGCCGGATCTCACGAGTCCCAGGGATTAATTTCGATTTATGACTTGAATAGCTAGCAGCAGGCAAGGTAACGAAGCAAACCAGAACTACGATGAATCCAATCGTGACTCTGTACATATTGAATTCTGCGGAATAAGAAATTTATCGTCAAAGTTTAAATTGTCCCCGAACCAGAGACGAAGATGAAAAGAAACAGCTTTCTACGTTGTTCATGAATTAGTTTATTCCATAGTTTTCTTTTCAATTAAAATATTTATGATCTATTAAATTCTTACCCAGTTTATAAATTATTCAGAGTTCCATCTTTTAGTGAAAAATTTCAGTTCAAAAATTGCTTCCCCTTTCCCTGAGAATGGCAAATCGGAAGTGGCTTTCTTTTTTCACTGTTGTTTTTTTTTACTCTTTTTGAGCGACCGAAACTAGTGAAGTCGGCAAGTTAAGAAAAAGTAATGAGCCGCAGTAAAAATACCCTCATGAACGTAATGTAAACGAATGCAAATCGGGGATAGCGGCTTATTTTGCCTGGAGGCAGGTGCAAATTCAACCCTACAGTGTGTAATTAAAATTACCACAACAAAACCGTCTTGAAAGGGAGTGTTGAATCGAAGCGAAATATTCACACCAGGACTTAACTGGTAGGGATGTGGCCATTTCTACGTAAAGCACGAGGGATGAGCAAATAAAATGGACAAAGCTCAAGAAATTTGGAAACAATTTTCACAAAAGTTCGACGAGGATTGTTTCTGCAAACAATAAAGAAATTGTATGAATAAATTGCCATGATGACGATACAATATTTCGAGGAAACACGTACCTTTTTGAAAAGGAAAAAAGACCGAAACATTGTTGCATGCTGCATGTTAATTGAACAACTCAAGAACGAATGTGGAAATTTTGTTCGTAGTCGTCTATTCCGAGGAGTTCGGTCAGTGTAAGAATAAAATACAGCATAAAATTGCTGGAAAAATTTCAGGTCTTAAATAATGCAATGTTATACTCACCTCCAAATCCTGCTATCGGCATAAATCATGCGAAAAGAGAGCTTGAAGGTGGGAAAACTTCGCACTGGACGCAGAAAACAGGAGAGTCGAATCCAAGTTAATTAAAACCTTCACTAGCAAATTAAGACGATAATGGCTGTGAACGAAGATTGTATCTTAAAGAGTTAGGAACATGATCCATTAGAACATATATTTTAGCGCTAATGGCGGCTGGCCGGCTGGTATTTTTATTGAAATGATTATGACTACAATTTGCTGCCACCTCTTATCGTCGCTTGGGTAAAAAATACAAGAAAAACAAATTTGCAGTCCTGCTGAGAATACAAGCAATGCCTATCGCTTGAGTAAGATAACGAACAGCCAAAACGAACGGAAAAGGTAATAAATTGTTTGTATTCCTGGTATAAATGAAACTTTGCTTACTAACAGTGGTGCGATAGAAAAATGTGATGCTTTTTTTAACCAGTGGCAAACACCAAAAATTTGCAAAAAGGAACCAAAAAAGGAAAAATGTTTATGCTGTCTTGAAGTGCCGGAGGACTGTTCTGAAAGTAACCATTTTCAAAATATTCGTAGCGAGATTTTCAGGCAAACGCATATATTTGTATTTTTCTTTATGTGCATTTTTGATAATCCTCTGAGGATTTCACAGGGAAGAAATCTATACAAATTTTGCATTATATTCTTTCTTTAAAAAGATATGTTGTGTCATTTTATATAAAAAGCGCGGTCTATTATCTCTGAAAAATAGTGACTCAATCACCAGAAGTGTTGATCGAGCACGGGATCGAAAGCAGGAAGGCTCCAGATTCCACTTACCTTGACTTACTGCAGTTGTAAAAGAGTTATATATTTGCTGAAGTACATGTTGTGTGAAATATCAAACGCAGTGAAATTTAATCTCCCTTTCAACAAAAGACAAGGATCGCTGAACAATTGTAAGTCAACAAGAGTCTCACAGCTCACGGGGTGCAGCTGCCGATTACGAAATATGGCCATCATTCATTGGTCCATTGTTTCAGGTATTCTTGGTTAACCACTAAAATGATTTTGACTCTCTTGAATTGTCAATCTATTTATTTATTATTCTTAAGGCCTTATCCACTCATCTTATTTCCTTTTAACTTTTCTTTTGGGTCAGGGCTAAGAACCCGTAACTTCCACTAAAACTATAAACGAATATTAAGCTTACTATCAACAAAATCTGGTCAAAACTATTAGAATTTCGGTTTTTTCGCTCTTTAGTCAAAGAAAGAAGTCAAGTCTGATTTTTTGGGGAAATAAAAATTACAGAATCTTGAAAACAGGGAGATATGGCTGAGAGAATGTCATAACTCTTTAACTCCCATGGGTAACCAAGACAGAATTTCACCTTACATTATCAATACAAAATCAAGCAGACAAGTAATGACAATAAAGAAAAATATAAATTAGTGGATTATTAGTCGATCCAATACCAAGTGCTCCGAACTAATATCACAAGATTTACGTGGCAGACAGTGAGGAGAATTGCTAATGAGATCGTGGGAGTTAAAGGGTGTTAGTTAGCACAGTGTTAACGTTTTCCGCGGGGTTTCATCTGGGATTTATATTTGCATATTTTGTTTGAATCACGTCTTGCACCACACAACGAAGGGGAATTTCTGTAATATTTCGCAACACGTTAACAAATCAGATTCCTCATCAAAAAAAGAATCGTCGTGAGAGAGCCCAGGCCGAGAAAACAGAAGGCAAATTTTTTTTTTCTTTTGCTTGCTTTACTCAATTTTCTTCATGTTCTTCATTTGAGGATGAACATTAGGACTTCGTTGAACTATCGAAAATTCGTTTTCCCCGTTTCGCGAAATTACCTTTCCCGTGAATTTCGGAGTTTTTCGTCTGGAGACATAACAGAGGGTCGATGTCGCGTTCCATTGGTCGGCGGTTTGACCGCAATGACATGCGAAAAATGTGAATTTCTTTGGAGAACGAAAACTCGAGGCTTGTTTTTATGCAAGTTACCTCTACTAAAATGAATTTACAGGGTATATAGATTTGTTGGATTTTCATGAAAATTGGCCAGAATCCAGTAACCTTAACAAACATGAAATTTAAAAAACATCAGTTTATTTACAATTAGTTGAAATAAGACTCACAGGGGTGAGGGTTTGGGAAGAAGTCTACCTAGTTTCCAAACTAAGGCCGTGAATGACTAAACTAAAAGACTTTATGCAAAATTTTCCCTAATATTCTATGGTTTTACAATATCTTAATTCTTCATTAAAGAGTCCTTACACCACTTATACGGTGAAGATTATCCATTCTCTATAAGGTAGGTATACATGTTGTCTCGTCATCCAGAAACTAAAGCTTATGCAAATACAGACACGGAAAACTTGGGGGCTTACAGAAGCCCCTAGCAGAGAATTTAAACATCCTGATTAAATTTTGTAGAAGTAATCTTGCAGAAGTAACTTTTTGATCGAAACGTTCAAGGTTATGCATGAGTTTCATTTTTCATTTCCTATAAGTCTGAGACGTCACATTTTGCTTAATCCTTTCAAAAAATGAACGAATAAGACTGAACTATAACCAAAACCTTAGACTAAACTAAATCTCCTTTTCTTGTAACCAATTTTTTAGCCGAGATTCAAGATTCGTCATCTTTTTTTTTTCTAATTTGCCAGCTCATTAGACTCCCATTCCTGTAGTTGCTTGCCGCGACACGATCTATTTTTTCATGGTACAAGAGCGAGCCTAAAAATTCTTAGTCAAGGGAACCAATCATGTAATGTGCGAGTAAGGTCCCTAAAATAATACGCTGTGGACACTATTTGATCTAACGTCTAAGCTTTCTTTTTTTTTAACCCAGAATTATAACTGTACATTGTCCACCATATTTCTTGATCGCTAAAAGTAAAGATTCCTATGATAACTTTACAAGTTGTAAACATCATTTAGCTTTCACTTGTGGCATATCTAACGTTACAAAAATATGCTTCTATATACAGTCTTGCCTGAATTAAAAAATATATTTATAGATACACGAAAAAATTATCGATTACGGTGCAAGATTCAAGTGCAAAACAAGGATGCATTTCTCAGAGAGAAATCGCCTGTGGAGTTTATTATCTGTAAATGAATAATAGTCCTTGACTGGCCCTTATTCTCCTATAGTCAGTGTTTCTTATGCATGCTCTAGGCACACATATCTATTGATTATATAAAATATTGAAAAACTTTGATTAAATCGTAAGGATTTGAGGATTAAGGACGTTCCGAAACGATTAACTTGTAACCTGGAGTCTTCAGTGACCACTTGCATCTGCCCTCCATAATCTCAAAATCTAGTGGTTCCTAAAATCTCCTGAAATGTTATAAAATCTCTTGCTTTTTGCGAAAGAAATTGAGAAAGTGACCAGCCAGAAATTACACTTGTATTTACTTAACCAAGAGAAGAGAAGTCAAGAAACAATTCTCGTTATATTATACCTTTTATGATAAGCTCTTCCTTAAATAATTGAAAAAAGAAAGGAATTCTTCATTTATACTTCCAATTTGCACCACCCGTTTTCAAAAGCTTGCTTTTTTCCAGCACTGGTAAAAATTTAATTCCATAGAGTGTAAACAAACAAACCCAGAAGTTACACACTGAACAGCAAATACCAAAGTAATTATTCTTAACCCTCGATTCTGTTCATCCGTCAGCACGGACGAGGTAGAGTCTGTAGTTAACTGTGCAAGCTGTTTCATCAATAGACGGCCAAAACTGATTGCAATGGAATGAGAAAAATTTATAAACCTTCTTGGTTAACTTGCTACCTTTCTCTGAAAACGACGTATTGGTTTGTTGGCCTAAAAACTGAAGTAAATAAATTAAACAGGGAATAGGAATAAGGAAGGAAAACAATTCAATACAATTCGTAATGAAAAAGAATAAGTCAGTTACGTGTCCTATTCAGTGTGACACATTCACCTTTTCTTTTTGCTCAAGCTAAAAATATAACACTGGCCATGGAAATCTCAGAAGAGTAAAATGCTATCTGAATCGATTTATGACAAATTTTTTCAGCGAGTTATAGTTTTGTTTCAGTATTTTCACTCTTTCCTTTCTGATCAAGCATAATAAAAAATGAGCGTTCTTTTGGTCTTGAGTGTTCAGGAATGCCTACAGGAGACAAACCGTTCACGGCACTTTCAAATTCCTCTTTAAACTTTTGTAGATCAGACGTTATGTCTTTGAGTCGTTCCTCCAAATTTTGGACGTTTTGCATCATGGACATCTTCCTGCTGCGAGGAATCAGTCCTTGAACATATTACTTCAGACTTTCCGTTTGTCAGTACACAAATAGTCGATATTTGATTCGGTCATTAATCGTTTGAATAAATTACTATTTTCTCACCGACAAACGGACTGACATAATTACTTATTATTTGATTGACAGACCGACTGCCTTATAAGTATTGAACTGATGATTTTAGATATTTGAAATTCATATATTTTCACTGAGGTGAAGAAATGAAATTAAGAGATCCTCGCAGCTAAGAACACTACTGAAACGAGTAGTTGAAAATAGGACCTGAAAAAAATCCAGGCCCGTACGGGATTTGAACCCATGACCTCTGTGTTGGGTCCAAATAAACCATCCAAGTAATGAATGATGATTTTAGATATATGAAATTATATATTTGCACTGCGGTGAAGAAATGAAATTAAGAGATCCTCGCAGCTAAGAACACTACTGAAACGAGTAGTTGAATATAGGACCTGAGAAAATTCAGGCCCGTATGGGATTTGAACCCATGAGCTCTGCGATACCTATGCAGCGCTCTACCAACTGAGCTAACAAGCCAACTGGGAGCTGGTCAATGTGTTGGGTCCAAATAAACCACCTAAGTAATGAATGATGATTTTAGATATATGGAATTCATATATTTGCACTGAGGTAAAGAAATGAAATTAAGAGATCCTCGCAGCTAAGAACACTACTAAAACGAGTAGTTGAAAATAGGACCTGAAAAAAATTCAGGACCGTACGGGATTTGAACCCAAGACCTCTGCGATACCGGTGCAGCGCTCTACCAACCGTACGAGCCTGAGTTTTTTTCAGGTCCTACTTTCAGTTACCTTTTCTCTTCTTGCGTACCGTTGGCTTACAGTTGGTGTAGACTTCCCATAGTTTGCCGATGACTAATAGGAAGGCAAATATTCCCAATAAGGCAAATGAAATAAATTTGGTCATTTGTGAGCCAGTGAAGAATAACCCTTCCATTTCACTGGACAAATCCGCTGTCTACAAGAAATAAATAATTTAAAAACTGTTAATTGCATTAGAATAAATGTCTGACATGACGAGCAGAATGTTGCGTGGTGAAATATATAAAATTCACAAAAAACTATTAACTACCTGTAATTCGGCAGGGGTAAGTTGCTCTTTGGCAGTGTCTTTAGCAACTGCAACTAAATCCGCTGATAATTCCTTTAGGCTTTCCTCGCAAGTCAAAAGCTCAAATTTTCTATCCAATACTTCGTCATCAGAATCGTTCACTCACGTGAGCCAGGCAATATTCCATTGAATAATCGATGTTACGAATCATTCGGATCTGCCTGTTTCGTTTTTATCCAAAAAGTAAAATACAGTGTTGCGATCCACCATTACTCTTCCAACTGTTCCTTGGCTAATATTTTTTTTTGCATTTCGTGTAAGTTTTTGAACTCTATTAACTGAAAATTTATTTGATTATTTCGCCACTGAATGCAAGTTCTTACATGAATAAAACGAAAAAACGGCGGAAAAATTTCTCCTTAGAGTTGTGATAAAAAAATATACGAAATATGACTGTTTGGAATTAAAAAGTAATTTTTAAGCTTATTTCTGTACTTTCGCAGTCGTCCCTGAAGAAAAATGGTCGTGCAACACGTTATACAAGGACATTGAAATAAACCTGAAAAGAAATAAAAAGTCTGCATCCAGCTCCATAGCAACTATATGCGTTTCAGGATTCTTGTCGGGCACACTCACCTAAAAAGTAAGTTGGGATCAGACAAATTTTTATGCGTCAGTTGGGCCCTTATACATAGCACTATCATAATTTTCGACCTAAATTGTTAAAACAAGCAAAATTTTTCCTTTTTATTATGAAAATAACACTGCAAGCCTAATCAGGATATTTTTTCTTATTTTGAAGAAAAAGTTACCAGAGTCATGACTTGTTTTGTCTCTAAGACCGATTATTTTCAAATTCGGTTCATGTCTTTTTTCAGGTTTTCAACGTCTTGGAAGAAGAGAGTTACCGCAGTATACAATTGTTCGTAGTCTAGAGGACTGGGCACATCCGTGGTGGAGATTGCATCGTTTATAGTTCCCACTTTCACAGGCAACAAAATGGTGCCGAAGAGAAACTTACATTTTGACACGTCAAGTCACTGCTTCTCGTCTGGAATCCAATGGTTGATTATGTTTTGTCAAAGCAAGTATGTATCTCAAAATGAAGAGGATTTCATGCTTAATTGACGACAAATATATAATTTGGACTTCATTGTTTCTTTTTTCTTTTTTTTGGTAGAGCACACTTAAAGAAAAAGTAGCATAATTTTCAAAAACGAGCATAATTTTAAGCATCATTTGAAAAATGATTGAGCAATGCCACTAGCATAATAGGCTTCTTTTACTAGCACAATCTAGGTTAGTGCCAGATGATAAGTACTTTCTCTTGGCAAGACTATGAAAAGTCTGTACAACGAAACTGCACTTCAGTTGTAGTTCCGGAAAGACCCACCATAGATAAAAGGAACGGGGAAGGCACTTTTGTTGAAAGGGCTAATGATTGCCGAAGTTGCAAGGGTCTTTTTTCATCTACAAACAAACAAGCTGGCGGCTTAAAGAACTTTCGTATCCCCCTCTTTCTCATTCGAGAAAGGACCTACTCTTGTAGAGTTCAATTTGGGAAATTTTGTGAGCCATTTTGATGTCATTTTTCACCGGCCTATTTGTAGGTGCCATGAAAGCAGCTTTTGATGGCCTCCAAATGCAAAGAAATTGCTGGTAAAGAGGTGTAAATCCTTTCGTTCCTCGGTATTAATTAGAAGAGAGCCGCTAGTTTGGCTAATGTTAGTTTCCATTTTGAAGCACTTAATAGGTACTTCTGTTAGTCTTGTTACATAGGAAAAGGCCAGATTAGCTGAAGTAAGCCCTTCCGGAATTTCTGTTATCAATCGCTGTATGGGCTGAATACAGTAGACGAGGATTTTAAAGACAATATGCAAACACCTCGGTAAATTCTGATTAATTATATAAATTTACAGCTTCCTCTTGCTAAATTTCAATTAGAGACCCGCTTGAAAATAGGGCAAAACAGCACAAGTGACTGCATTATTTAGAAAAGTTTATAAGATTATCTTTACAACACAGTAAAACTTAATATCTTCAACTCTTCTAAAAAAATGGACCATGCGAGTTTTTCTTCATACTTACCAGTTGTTGACGGCAGTCCATTCGTTATGGGCGTGAAATACAATCTCGTTGATGGGGATTTTAATGACTTCCTAAGATAAGATTTAGTTGAAGATGGGTACACCACTTTACATGAAAAGTTCTGATGAGCACTTTCGTAAATTAGTGCATTTTTGGATAGCCTTATCATGCATGTTGCCTCAAAATGATGATTATTTTATTATGATTTTCTCTAAGGTATTTTTCTCGAAAATTATCTCTATATGATGCCGTATAAACTGATACCGACTAAAGAGATTAAAAATTAATTTTCCTCTTTGTAAGATAAAGCGAAATGAAACCTAGAGCAACTCTAACTTAGGTCATATCGATTGAATTAAGGACCTACCGAGATGCTTTAATAACTATTAGAAATAACTGCAATGCAAAAATCAAATATACTGGTATTCAAATTAAATCCATATACTAAGCAAAATTTTGATAGTTTATCACTATTTTTTTCTTCTGAAATTTATGAGAAATGTACTTTAACATGAATATGTTTCTAATTAGTTGAGCTTAAATTATACGTGGGTTTATTCCCTCTCGATATTCAGCTCAAATTATTAGAAAAACATGGCTTTGGTGATTCAATTTGATAAAGCCTAAAACACTTGACAGAGGAAAAGGATTCGTAAACGCGTCACCGCTTAGGAGAGATGTTTATCAAAAGGGGTTAGTTACATTTAGCTCTGGTGTAATACAACCTTATCACCCTCATTAATATCGCTTTCACTATTTATTCCCTGGTGACACTCTTCCATACAAATTCAAAACGAATTTTAACGAAAATCCGTTTTAAGTTCTTAACTTTAATGTCATTGTCTCTTTTATCTTATTATGAGGAAACAGTACCGCTAAGAATTACTTTGAGGATTCTTCCCGGGAGTTGGTACGAAAACAGTTTCCTTCTCATCCAGAATGGTTAATGAGCACGATGATATCCTTAAAAAGACTAAATGCTCCCCATAACTCTTAATGTTGTGCATATGATGAGTTCCAAAGCTTTCTATATCTCTGCAGCTCATTTCGCAAATGATGCTGGTGTAAATTATGCGCTCTTTAAAGGATATAATGATAACATTCTCAATTCGCAACCTTTTGATCCTTGATTTCACCGCAAATTTATTATTGTAAAAAGTTGTCCAATGCTTTGATTGCTCCATCATTTGCAGCTGAACATTCTTATTCTTTTGGCGTTCTGTACATTGACTGTGCAAACCAACATGTGAATGACAGTAATAAAGTATGCAAAGAAGGCAAAACTCGCACCTTTTGTCCGCCCTCGCTGAGAATTTTAACAAGTTGTTTTCGGTAGCTTCGAAGTGTCGCCGGCATTCTAAGGAATCGCTTATCGAGGAAATGAGAGATAGAAGTTAACTTCGTAGGACGTCTGCTATTTGCTTCACAGCGTTGCAAGGGAGGAGCAATTTGTATTTTGAATACGATTAAGATTCTTTTTGTAACATTTGAGCCGTTATTGTTCCTTGACTACAAAGGCCAAGCACTTTTTGAAGGAGGACTGAAATTTGTTACGAGTAAATCTCTGGTTGCCCTTTGCTGAGTGGACAGTGCAACTAATTTGGTAAGTGAAACAAGAATTGAAATAAAATATTTCCTGTAGGGCAATAAACTTGATATTTTCTTTGAAGAAAAAAAAACATAGAAAATTGAAATCTCGTTTGAAAAGTATTGGGAGTTAAAGCCACAATTAGATAGGGCAGAAAAATTAGTTTATATGGTCAAAATTCAAACCTGCCAGAAAGTAAGCTATTTCTTTTCCAAGTAGGTAGCACTGCAATAGCCTGCTTTCTGAATTTAAAATGTTTTTATTTTCTTTGTTACAACTTTCATGAAAAAAACACTTATTTCAACTTAAGCCAAATAGTAGCGATGTGAGAGATTTATTTCAAAATATATTTGACTGTTTTGATCTTAAACTGTTTTATTGAAAATACCCTCGCAAAAAACACGACACGAGTACTGAATATTTACAGTACCTACACCAACCAAAGGCTGAACCTAAGCGCTACTATTGAGAGGCGTAGTAATAATATTGGTGAGATTGAACTGAGAGTCACATCCCAACGAAATCAAAGGCAAGGAGAAGGAACTAGGAAAGAAATCGTAAATCAGTCACTAAGAATTCCATCGAAGAAACCGGAAAAATTTGAGTCGTATTTTATGCGACAACACAACTTTCAAACCTTGAATGTAGTCATTCTTTCCTTCAATTTTAAATTTATTCTTGATGAAATAAAAAGAAATTCATTACTTTTGTAAGCGTTGGTGTTAAAAAAGCTTTCAACCAAAAATGTTGATATCAATTTTGATCGTAATGGTCTATGATTAAAGAGGACAACGTTAGGGTAGGTTTTTTTTGTAAATCTTACAAGTTCACTGTATATAGACCTTTACCTTCCCACACATTTCCCCACGAAACTTTGCGATTTAATTCATATCACTGATAAATAATTTATTAGAAATATGTTGAAAAAAAATTCTCAATAAAGCAATTTTCTGATGCGGTTTGATTTTGTCTCGTCGAAAGGCGATATTTATCCCTGATTCATAATCACAAAAATGTTTGGCTCTTTCTCAGATCAAAACAATTCTCGTTTGACAACTCGCTAGTGCTTTTTGATTAAGTCTCCTTGAGCAAGCCACAATTGGCGAAAACAAACTCAGGTTTTACCTTTCAAGCTATGTTTTGCTTTTAGAGCTTCGCTCGTCTCTAAGTCTTCCGACAAAATAGTCTTTATTTGGCTTAAACAAAGAAAGTTTTTCTTCAGTAAAGAAGACTCCTGTCTTACTTGGTACATTGTTTAAGAGATTATCGCCAAACCGATCTTGTTCGTTATCGTTGCACCTGCTTGGGTAACAATAGGCCTGTTTGTTGTGGTTGATTTGTAGTCATCTCGAACACAATCGATGTTTACAGATATTTTCTTTTTTGGTTGAATAAACCCAGTCTTACTGACGTATATGAGGCGGAAATTTACTTTCCAGAATTTTTATAGCCCTGTCATCAGGCTGATATCGTGCAAGGATTTCCGAATCCAGAAGATTCTCTGAGAAAAAAATTATTTGTTTATTGAGTCATTTACCTTTGACTGATGCATTTACTTGATAGAAAAAATCCTTTTTAATTATAATCACTGATAAAATGAACTTGACTTCTTTCTTTCCTCAACTCAAAGTTTCTCCGATGTACTAATGACAATTTACTTTCCTTGATAATGGAACACATCAGAGGGAAAAAAGGGTTAATTTTTCCGAGCAATGTGAAGTTTTTTAACTTTGAACAATCATTCTCGACAAAAAGAAAAAGGGAATAATTCTTCGTTTATACTCAGCCATTTATTTCGGAATATTTCAAGAATCTTCTTTATTCTTCCTTGTCACCCTTGAAATCGCAGATTTCTTAACTGATGCACTAGAATCTAAAAACTCGCTTATCAATTTATAAAAGTATATTTTGACAAGACTTTTACCGCACAAAGTTTATGCATTCACCCGACAGCACTTGTTTCTTAGCGCTTTGCGGGGAGTTTTCCCAATAGAAGAGCCAGCAAGTTTTCTTACAGTGAGCTGTGATATTCATTTGTCCTTCTTTGTCACGGATCTCCTGAGGTCTAATTTCCGTATTGTCTCTATTGGACTGTTTTCTTTGACTTCCACCGACACTTGTAAATGAATTAACATGACCAGAACCGCCCTGTAATACAGCTTATACGAAGCGCGCTGAAAATTTCTAATGAGCGCGACATACATATTCCCAGCTGGGCTAAGACATGGGAATTTAACGACTTCCCGATCTTATGATGTCGGTGTATAAATAAACATATCAGCCCGTGCGATTCAGTTTTTGTGATAGCTTATTGTTGCTCAGATCTGATTGTCTTGCCTTTCTGTGGTCGTGTGTTGGTTTGGGTTCACCCGCTCGGCGCCGTGGCGCTGATTCTTTTAATTAAGACAGTGTAGAGTGTGGATCGGTTAATAAACGGAACAAAAGATCAAATCCGAGGATGACTAAAGCAGCTTGTGAAATTTTTATGTGTTGCCGGTGGGGGGGCGATTGTACGGAGGATATAATCAAGAAAAATTCGCCTGCATTGGGGTCGAATTATATCAGGATGTAATAAAGATTAACTTGTAGAAAAGTTATAATCACGTCAGAGTTAAGTAAATAAACTCGAGAGCTTGACAAAATGACTGCAATATCTATGGAATTTAGAGGACCTTGTCAAAAAGGGTTAGAGGTGCTGTGGCCATAACCAATCAAGAAAAAAAATCCTTATCTGCTTTTTTGTATCACAAATAGTCATTTCCTGAGCCAATGAGGAAGAAGTTTTGCGACCGAGAATCTTGTCAGCGTTTAGCTGGACTTCTAAAATAAACGCATTCTGCCCACGTTCACATCATTAATAAGATCATCAATTTTTCAAGACATTCTTTATGAATGGATTTGAAATTAAGAGAAATAAACCAACTTCCTTTGAGCTTTTAAGGTTGCACAATAGGCTTCCCAATGGCGTGAGAATACAACCAAATGCCTCAGCGGTGGTTCATGAAAATAAAGAGGAGATAGAAAAGGCGAAATTAATACTATTTTGAAACCTAGGGTCACTTTGCCACTAATTTCCTTGACCACACTAATAGAAAAATCCCCCCTATTCACAGATCATATATTTGTTTGCAATCGTGGCTCTGACAGGAGAATATAAAACCTGAGTGACATTACACCGCACCACAAAAGCCAAAGGAACGCAGAACTGACAACACCAGGAGTCCAAAGCACAAGACCGCTAACAAAAACATGGAGAAACTTGCATTCTTAGTGATATTCGCCGCTTTGTTTGCAATTACATGTGAGTCTTCTGCTAGTTATCTGTATTCTTTTCATTTTCTTTTTTTTTCCGTTTTTAACATTTCATTTCCATCTTTATTGAATTTTTTTTTTGGTTTTTCCGAATAAGCCTTTTTTTAAACAGACTTATCTTCGAAGCAATTTTAGTTTTTTGAGAATTATTCTTTCTTTTTATTTTATTACTGTTAAGTTGGAATGATTGAGAAATAAATCAGAAGAACATTAAAAATATTCATAGGCTGCTTAACAACTAACACATTTCTGACAAGTTTCGTTCTTTTACAAGTTTTAAAGAAGATTATTTTTCTTTTACTTTGTCCCACTTCTTGACAAATTGCTTTGAAATTGAAAAAGAAATCTTCAATTTCCAGCCATGCCTGAATAAGATAGGAAACAGTAAAAGGGACTCACGTACACGGATCAGATTCATTTTATCGAGTTTTAAATCAAATCTAAGATTACCACAAATTTTCAAAGTACTGAATCTAATCGCAATTCGTTTTTATATATTTCAATCAGCTTCTTTATCATTTGAGAGCAAGGGTATTTTTTACAAATATACATCAATATCGTGGTTGAAAAATCACTGGCGCCATTTTCTTATTAACGTTTTGTGATCTCTTTTTTCTCATGATGTTAAATTTAATTTCATTTTGACTCCTTTCGCAGGTTCTTTTCCAAGCGACGATAGAGGTGAGACTTTTGAAAACCTTCTACTCCCAGAAAAATATTAACTTCAGAAATATTTTGAGAAACATTAATCTTTATCCTTAATCCCACCAATAGCGCGATTTAAATTTTATTCAATATGAAAAAATCTATAACGATATGGTTGGCCACAAGAGGGAGACAAATATCTTTCCTTAATAGAGAACATGAATTTTTCGTAACACAAAAATTGCATTTGGAGGAACAATTTAAATGCATACAGTACTTAAAACAGACGCGAGAAGCTATTGAAAATGACGCTCAGACGTTTTTAGAGACCCGTACAAAACTGTGCATTATTTAAATACGATTTTTTAATTAGTTAGATTTCCAAGAAACAAGAGCTATACTGGAAGAAATTTAAGTCCAATATTCCACAGCTTTTTCAAAATACTTCCTAAAAATGATAAGCGAAAAGGTGAAATACCATTTAAAGAAGTGATTAAATCGTAACAATTATTTTAAGAGAATTTCATCGGCTAAATTTCCGTTCAAAATGTATGTCTCTACTTTTATGCGAACATAAATTATAATTCTACAGACCAAGCCTGAACTGTACTGTAGTTTCGCGTTTTGCCTTGTTTATCTTTAAAATTAAAAAGCGATCTACGATAGACAAAAACTAGACAGCTGATGTATATTTTGAAATATTGCAGAACTTATATGTGACAAATTAAGATATCTTAAGTAAAGAGAAAAATATTCCTTGAGTAATCTCGGTCGAAGGTAATTTCGATATCGGAACAAAAATCCATTCCAGTGACGCTTCGAATAACAAGTAATAATTACTTTGCGTTTCACACGAAATGAAAAATTAAAAGAAAAATACATTAAACTACAACGAACATCTTGAACGTCTTACAGAAATCCAATTTAACTCACTTTTGAATCTGATTTAAAGAATTTAACAAAAAGCCGGAAAGATGAGAGAATCTTGAACGATGAGCTTGACCTGGTTTTCAATGATATACGGATCTCCAAGCAACGCAAACATAACAAGCTTTGAGCTCCAGATGAGTTCTTCATCAAAAAGAAGCAATTTAAGAAGACAGTTTGAGGTTGTTAGGCTAGAGTTTGAAATCGTCGTTTCATTAACCGATTGTTTTTCCGCCTTGGGCGTCATTCCAGTTTGGAGACTAAGTAAGATCTCTTTAGAAAATCAGTAAAGACAAAAGATCAGAAACCTATTACTCTCTGTTTTGGCTAAATGAAATTTTAATATTTCTCAGTAATGAACTCTATTGAGTTTTCTCCATTACTCTTTTATTGCTTTCATCTGTGAAATGTAAGGCCACATTCTTATTCTAAAACTGCTCTCGTTAAGTAAAAAAGAGAGTGGCAGAAATTACAAAATCCCTAAAGTAGATAAAATTACTTTTATTTTGGAGGTTAAATGAAAAGAGAAAAAAAAACCGAAAATCTTTTCCTCTCCATTAAATAAAAAAAATAAAAGCTCTCCAAAGTTTGCCGTAAATTTCCGCTTAGATAACAAATGCCTCAAAACATCGAAATTTAATTTGTCATCTTTTGGAAGTTTCGTCTTGTTAAATTAAACTAAAGCTGCCATGAGTTACAATTCCGTAGCCTAACACATAATTTTGGTGTACAACTGAAATTACAATCCGGAATTTATGATCTGAAAAACATTTAGGCCTCCAAACTCAATATTTTAAGTTGAAAATATCAAGCTGAACAGAATAACGGAAAAAAATTCTACTTCGATTATGAGACGTCTCACGTGAAAAGAAACAAATGACATGACGAAATATTTCCGATAACGATATTGCAAAACCTAACACTTGGCAAGCTTGGTTATAATTGTTTAGAGGTAATTTATCAAATACCTATTTTTTCCACCTCTAGAAAATGTTGCTTTCAGAAACTGGAGGAAAAGAGTGAGCGAACTTTATCATAGCAAGGCGTCAAACATATATTTAATAATTCATGATTTACCAATGCAGGATTAGTCGTTGTGTATCAAGTTATTTTAACTCTGACCCAAATAACAGACTTTTTCTCCTTACTATCACCGTCGCTGTTCTTTGAGTGAGAAGTGCAATTAGCCTTCCCCAGTTTTAAAAGCCACAACTACGGACATGGTTTTCTTGATTGCATTTTTGGTAAATAGGAAATACAAAACACTGCATTATGAGATGTCTGACTTTAAACTTCAACTATTTAATCCAAAACTAGAACAAAATTTATAAGAGAAATCACTTAATTTTTTTTCCCCCGCTCACTACATATAAAAGTTTTTTACCTAATTGACATCCTCGTTAGTAATCTATTGCGACGGAGTTTGTGATTAAAGACTAGCTCTTTTCCATTTATTCCACGCTTTTACAAAAAAAGCAACTTCTTTTCTATCTCGCGCAGGAAGCACATATAATTTGAAAAGGAGCATTTGTCGCCCTTTTCCGACTTGTTTTATCTATGGAAGAGATGCAGACTTAAAGTTCTTTCAGATGCTTCAAAATTTCCTGATGTGGATCTTAATGTTTACAGCATAAGTGTTTGCCACATTTTACAATATAAACAAAAGTTATTTTAATGCTTCAAAACGAATTTTCTACAACTTTTTTTCCGCCCGAGCCTTTTTTTTAATTTCCTTATATGTCATGGTTAATAACTCATTAGAAATGTAGCTTAACTGTTCATGCTTTTTATTTGAAGTCAACGATTATTATCTTTTTCATCCTTTTTTTTATTATATCTAGAAGCCTCTTTGATGATTTGTTCTTTCCATACGAATAATACGTCGAGTTATGTTAATGCAAAAGGGACCAAAAATGTCTCGGAAAGGTTTCAACAAAGCCATTGTGCAGCAAGAGAGCTTAGAAAAATTTGTCTTTTTTCCGAGAAAAAAATATAAATATGACGAAAGTTGGAAGGCAAATCAATCCATATTTTTGTTTTTTGTTTTGGAACTCATTAAAGGTAATAAATTGCAAAAATCCGGTCACCAATGCACCTGTTATTTACACATTTCTCGGCAAATCCACAACTCAAAGCAAACTCTGCAAAAGGTTTTCTAGAGGTAAAAAAGCTTTGATGCCTTATTCATCAAAAAAGTTTGAATTAAATTTATGAATAGGGAGTTTTCATGCGTAGGAATAGTTTTCTTCACTCAAAAGTTACAGTAAATTAAAACTGATATATCCACTGAGGAGTTTTACATCTCGTAGAAATTTCTTACGACATATCATGAGAAATTTCTATAATCAAGTGTGAATGTGGGTAACTAACTAACAAACAGACGAGCTATGGTATAGGCAACTGACATAGCTAACATCATAGTAAAGTCTAAATGATCGCCAATCATGAATCCTTGTAGTAAGTTATAGGAAACCGAATTTAACGGCAACCTAAATATAGCTTTAATACCCCGCTCTAACCCTGTAACTTTAATTCTAACAATAATTATTTTCCCTAGATTTAATAGAGAGTGAATGGCTGCAAGATACACGTTAGTACTAGTGAAAATATTTACTTATTTTCACTTACTTATTTTCATTTACTCACTTTTGTTTATTGTTTCCTGATTCAAAGACAAAGTGAATTTATTTTCTTCTCAGTCTGTTGCAGTTTGCCTATCATGTCTCATCAATTTCTTTTCAGTTTAGAGGGAGAACGAAAATTTATTGTCATAAAATTTTGACGGATTAGGTGAAAGACTTCCTTAGATATCACCACCAAGTTACTTTTTAAAAATGGCAAAATCTTCCATCGTCTCCATGATTTTTTTCCTTTCAGATTATAGGCTTACAAGGTTCTAAGGCGTTGTTTCAACTTTGACTGATATATTCAGTTCCCTCAACAACTGTATGTTACTTGAAGAATGAAAGTTATTTTCTAATTCAGAGGGACAGAACGAAAGAATAAGTGGAAGAATTGCACCCGATTTAAGGACAATGAAGATCCACCTTGTTAGCGAGCTTCGGTAATATAAAAAATTGGCAGGTTTCGCATTAATGAAGCTATTTTAATTACTCTATCACATTGAATCTTTCCTAAAGATTTACAACGCCAATTAAACGTATTTTATTCCGAGAGGAGAAAATTCTAAATCCCTTTTTCTTTATTATTTCTTCATTTACTTCATATGTGCACTACAAATGCAAAACCGATTGGCAAAGGTAACGCCCTGAACAATCTGCTTTTCTATGATTTATTACAGGAGCGAATATACGAGAACAAGAAGACGAGCTTGGTAAGATAAGATTTTTAACGCATTACTATTTTCTTATTTACCTAAAAAATTTTTGAAAATGATTTGAGAACTTGGAATAGTTACAAAAATTAATAATTCGAAAGCAGTTGGTTTCAACTTAAAAGAATATGAGTATAATTAAGGTGTGGTACGTTGAACGGATGAAGTTTTTGTTTGACATCATCGTCCACAAAAAGACTAAAAAGAAGTCTAAGGTGAATGTTACTAAATTTAAAACTGGACCTTTCCTTTCATTTACGAGTTTTTGATTTTGTAAAGATTACTTCCACTCTTATTATTTACCTAGAAGACTGTGTCAAGTTCTATTCAAAATTGCCATGCATGTTTCTTGCTTTTTCCAGAAACTCGTAATGAAATGCCTTGTGCCGAGGAGCTTGGACTTTTGAAACACTACCACATCAATTTGAAATCCGTTCCATGTAGTACAGTGACCAAGAAACGTAAGTAGTTCACCTTAAATGGCACAAAAAATCAGGCAGATCGCAGAACAGTTCTTGGAGCAATTAATTCGAATCTTGTTTGCTTAGATTGTGTCAAGTCGTGACCATGATAGCTGAGGCTTCAATTTTGGAAAGGCTCATCCTTCATGTACTTTACTCTACCCCTGGGTGTAAATGTGCGCAGGCCCTTCGGCTGGCACTAAGACCATTTTGCCTAATTTGATTTCGTACTCTGTTTGTATCTGCTCTATGGTTATTAACCATTTCCTTTTTTTGATTGCAGGTGCCTCAAACTTGCTTGCAAGAGAGTTTCAAAAGAAAGGTACAAAGGACTTTGCTCAGTTGCAATGAGCTTATGAATTTTAATTTAAGGGTGCTTCTCATCGGTCGGAAAAGTCCGGTCAGACTTATGATAACAAAAAAGCCATACATTTGACCAAATAATTTCCTCATCCATTTTTTTTCGTGGTCAGAGTGGACAAATTTCTATCTCAGGATTATCTATTTCTATGCATTTCTGAAAAACAGAAAAGGGACAATTTAAATTACCGATATAGCCACTAGTCACTCAATAACGTCAGGTGGGAAATATCTAGTTTAACTACAAGACTAAGTAAGGAGTTTTATGCAGGAAGCAACCCTCAATCAAAACTACATTGAATGTCACATTTCTAGCCACTCAATTTATTTCGGGTCCAATTCCCACCGTTCGATAGTCTTTCATAAGCATGCATGTTTTAGTTTTTAGCCTCCACTAATCATTTCCTCTTCTACTTCATTTGCAGAATCTGATTACGGAAGGAGGAATAGCTATGGTAAGATCTGCTCATTTTTTATTGCTATGTGAGAAAAAATTCTGTGAGACTTAACGACCTAAAAACCACAAAAACACTAAAAAACACTCAAAACTAACGACAGAAATGTTAATATGTAGCTGTATGAAAAATTTCGCAAAAAACAAAAAAACATTTGGGAGAAGAGAAGCTGTTAATGCTTATAACAGTGCATCACATTTCATTGGTACTCACGTCAACCAATCAGAATCCTTGCATTCTGTTAGCTCAGTAAGACTGATGACGATGAATCTTTTTTTTTTTTATTTCAGCCCGTGATTTTAACTCTTGCTGCAGCCCAGACTGTGATTGGCTGCTGGATTACTTGGAAATCGACTCCACCGTGGTGAAATGTCTGGACCGCAAATAAATCCGTTCTTTAGTTTCATCCTTGAACACAAAAATTTTAAATGAAATAAAAACAACTACAGAACAAACGACGATGAGAAATCTCACAATTAAATAATATCACTATTCAGGATGTTCGGTCGCACGATGAAGGTTTAAGTTACAAGAGTCAGAATTATAATTTGTTAGTTAACATCAATTTCATGCTGTACAAAGCTATCACCTCAGGATAAATTAAATTCACGCTTAACTGAGTCTAACGTGTCTTATTCATAATGAAAAACAAGCTCTGATGGTCCAAACCATCAATCTTTGATGGTTTGGAGGAGCCACAGTGCGTCCAGGGTTTTCGCTTCTCATATACTGAAGTTTAAAGTACCACCAAGTGAAGACCATGGATGGAGGCGACAAGAGATCAAGGCGAAGTTGAGACGAAGCCATGCCGAAAAGGAGACGAATATAAGACGAGGGAAACGCGAAAGATAGAGTAGCCATTATCGAGGCACGAACAAGACTTCGATACTATGAGATTGAAACAAAGATGACACGATTACGAGACGAGGTTGAGCGGAGGACGAGAGGAGATGGGCTGGGGTAGTTTTCGGAAAGATTGCGCGGAAAATGTGTATTTCTATTGATTTCCTTTTCCATTTTACGCTTGTTCTCTTTAAAAAGCCTAACATCACTTTTCATGCTAAACAGGCACACATGCCTGTCAGTAGTTCTTTTCCCTTTCAATAAATGTTTCGCCTTGGCATAATTAGTGAAAATGATTTTGCTTTCGAAGTTAAAAGCAGTATTACCACGATGATTCAACATTTTATTTATCTATATTATTATCAATACTACTTGAGTCTTCAACAAAGTTTACCGTCCTGATAAAATACTTCTTTTCGTAATCTCGGTTCTACGGTACATATGTCTGAAAACTGAACAAAATGGCATCGAAGGCTTGATGGAGAAAGCGTTTTACACAATGAAGCTTAACTTATTTCATCTTTAGCGCAGAGTTTCCTTCATTCCACAAGTGTTTTGACAATCTGCCAGTGACTCAAAATTGTTGCTGTTGCCTTCACAGCCGCCATAGATAAATTCTTTGCAGGTACCAGCATTTTGGTCGAAGTAATACCTCCTCAGGTATGCCATACAACGACCACCTTCGGCGTCAAGGTTGCAGAAATCTGGCCGCCCTTTTGTATAACCTAGTATGAGGAACGAAATGAAAATCTCTCATAAACTTTGTCCATTTTACCTATGTAACTACAAGCTTATGAAACAAATTCGTTCATCGACATATGAAAGATTACGAGCTAAAGAGTATGTTCGTATCTGCAAAATTTAATTTAGAGCAGTCAAATAACTTCAAGTTGCGCATACTCATTCCGTAATACCGTTATTTAACTGAGAGGAATGCTTCATATCTTTATCATTGAAAAGTAAATATACAAAGTTACTGTTACGGTTGGAAATTTCAGAGTTGCCTAGCTGTTCGAATATGGTCTTGGAATGTGCTATAATCGACTGTGACCTCCATTTTACAAAGGATTTTTACAAAACTTAGTAACCTGGCCGCAACGAAACCTGAATGCAGAGCTCGCAGAAAGCCGCTTTCTATTTTTACTTTCTTTCTTTTTTCTCAGCTTTGTTTACAACGCTATACGCCACCTACAATATATTCATTTCTTGGGTTGAGAATTCCACCCTGTCTATCTCCTAATTGTTCAAAAAGATAAAAAAAAACGGAAAAAATGAGATAAATTGACTTCAGACCCCAGAGGTTGGCGGCCAGGTTGCTAAGCAAGTTTCAGAATCTCCGACACATTAAAGACAATTGTTGAAAAGTCAGGTTACTCTTTCGAATCTCAAAACACGTCAAATCTCAACACTGTATGTGTCCTTTCAAATAGTGGCGAGGAAAATCACAAGGTTTCTGTTGGAAGCTTTCCTCTAACTTGCCATTGTGCTTCATGACTGGATGAACATATCTTTCTATCATAATTCGTGAACAGAAAAACTGCTGATAAAACCAATTCACAATGTTATGCATAGAAATTTTGTCATTTGTGAGAAATTGAGGATAATGCTTCAAAGCCCTAACCAGAATTGGTATCAAGAAGCAAAGTAATATTTACCATTTCCTTTAAATTTACAACAGGCCGAATCTTTCTCGTTTGCTGCTGACATGAAAAGTATTCAATGCTAAATGTTCACTTGGAGAACTTAACGATGATCTATCGGCCCAGCTGAATCCATATCGACAGCAGAGTAAAAGACGAACATATTATTCCACGTATGAAATTAAGAAATTGAAAATTTTTTGAAAATCTCGTGACCAGAAAGCGATTTTTTAAGAGGGTTTTTGGCTAGATGGCATGTAAGACTAGACTTAAATTTATCAATTGCTTTCATTCGATAATTTTGTAGACGCCTATTTAGTCTGAAATATTTGTGACAACCGATTGTTTACGCTTTGTATCCGAGGTTTTGATCTCAGTTAAAAACTGAAATTTTTTCTTTTAATCTTCACCGCAAAATGATTTATGCGATATCTTTCAAAGAAATGTGATTCTGAAAGTGATGAGTGCTTGTCTATCGACATAGATTTTTAGATCAGAGAGTTACAAAGTTGATACAAAGAGCTGCAGAATTAATGATGAATACATTTCAAATTATTAGATTTAAATCTTAAATCAATAATACAAATCTATAGATAAACCTACCTATAACAAATATGGCGAAAATTATGGCCAATACAAGACTGCATGAGGTCTTCATTTTAGTCAGGGACCTCTGAGACGGTTGCTGTTCTTTCACCTAGAACGAAAAAAAAATGTCAAAACGCCTTTAAATAGAGGTTATTCAGAGCATTCAAATGGAGATGACTTGTCTATTAACTGAGCAAACACAGCCTTCCAGGTGCGGTTGAATGAAAGCTGAAGTGTAAGTGAACACAATAAGGAGGGGGACATTGAGGTCTATTAGAAACCACAAAACCCAGCGTAGAAAAAATCATTTATACCGCAAAACCGCCAAAAAATTCGATCAAAACGAAAACCGCATTCAGAACCGTCAAAACCGATAACTTTTCACATCCCAGTTATCAATCGATTCGATGCAGTGGTGATAAGTGGAGTAAACAGAGATTTCGAGCGTACAAAGGTTTCACAACTATTCGAGATCAGTGGAGGCGCATAATTGCCGCTCAGATCGAAGAGTAACCGGAACTCAATCAGGAAAAATCGAAAACCATTCGGTAGTTTTGACGAAAAGTGAAAACCAAATGCTAAAAAACGGAAAATCCGCAGACCGAAATGAACACCAAAGTTTTTTGGCACAAAAACCGAGAAACCGATTTAAAAAAATAGCCAATACCTCAAAACCGAAAATCGCAATGCCCCTCTCAATGAGGAAATACTTAAAAGGAATTATAAGTCGCACTAATCGGTGAAAGAAGTCCAAATGAATTTCAAATTAATATCACAAATCCTAGATGGACCTTTCAATGTTTTTAAGTAAAACGTGTAGTCCGGATTAAAATTTGACTGAGTAAATAAACTTCACCAGAAGTGCAAATAACCCTAGACGTTGAGAATGGTTCACGTTCATACTCCTTCAACAATAATAGGGGCCTTAAGCAAACCACGACAGCGACGGCAACGAGGACATGGAAAAACAAAAGATCTAATCGGCGGAACAATAGCTCAGCACGTTTGTTTTAAAACTTTGTACATTTCTTAGCCGTCCCATGCAAAACAACGACGTGAAGTTTGCGTCGTCTGCGAACCGAAACCGCGGCGGCAAATTAATTTTAATTCTAATTAAAGGCAGAATTTCATTTTTTAATCGAAGTCTTCCTTGGCATTGCCGTCCTGACTGCTTAAGGTCCCTATTGGTGATCCAAACACTCTGATTGGTTTGTTAACTCGTGCTAATAAACATTATTTACTCACTGAATGAAAAATTCTCTAAACAACTGGTTAAACGTCTACCTTGAAGATTTAATGGGTGACGAAAGCCTTCAAAATATTTTTCTGATAATTACTGCCAATGCACGACACCCGAAATTCTAAAACAAAGTTTTACAATTGCGGTCTGCTGTAATGTGATTGTAATGTAATGTGGCCTGGAGACAACATCGCTCTGACGAAGGGCTAACGCTCGAAACGTGAGCTTTTCTACCCTTTACGGTGGCTAATTTAAGTTTTCAACTCAGTTGTTAACACTAAATCACCTGCTATACTCTCCCACCGACGCAGCACCACAGTTTTTTTAAAAACTTACCCTGTTGATAAAAAATTTAAAGCCATTTTAGCCATGTGCTCAGGCGAATACTTTATTCTTTTGTTGGTTTTCACGCCATACAATTGCCCCCACAGAGGTTTACTAGAAAATAGTTCAGTTTATTTGCGAATTTTAGAAGTGAGCGAGTGATTATGTAATAAGCTCATGAAACTAGAGAATAGTTTAAGGAAAAAATAGCATTTCAATAATAGCATAGGTAAGCAAACTAGAGAATATTAAATCGGATTTTCTCAAGTAAACTTGAAAGATGACAGGCAGAATTTTTAAAACTAAGTCATAAAAATAGGAAATTATGTTTTAAGTGGCTGCAATTCATCATTAGAATGTCTGTCTAAAAAAACAATTGAATAAAGTTATTTAAATATTGCTCATTTTTTATATCCTTATATCCAAGGTTTTGACCAAGCGGAGCGCGCGTGATATCTCAATTAACTCTCAAGAGGGTCTATACAAGAAACAAAGCACTAACACCAACCACCATATTAAAACGAAAAAGTGCAGTTTTTAGTTCAAATGACCTTATCACTGGGGAAGGGGGAGTGAAACAGAGGTACTAAAGTACTAAGAATAGAAACACTTTCTAATTATATAAAGTATAAATTGGTCAAAGTCTGACCCATCGCAAAACAAAACATCACAACTTATCTTGTAGCCTCGAACTGGTGTAAAGACTCTTAAAAAAACATACGACTTATTAATATCTCAACCTTCAGTCTTGTTACTTTGAAATGAAACTAGCAGAAACATTTTAACACAAAATTTTAAAGGTTTCGAGTCTTGGTTTTCTTTGTGATCTCTTTTCCAAACTGTTAAAAACTGCCTCATACTAGTCCATACAAAGAGAATGGCTTAAATGATCCAAAAACCTCACTGATCAAATTATTCTGGAAGCAAAATATGGAGCAGAATAAAATGATTTATAGCTACATTTACATAATAAGTAATTTCTAAGGTAAGAGAAACTACCACAAATTTTATTGTCAGTAAAATACATTGTGTCGCTTGATCCAGATATTTTTAACATTAAAATTATTTTAGGGTCATTCTACAAGCGTATACAAGCAAATATTATTAAATAAGAAACTCAATAAACTTGATCCATACGTTTCAGTTTTTCAGACCTTGAGCTTTTAAAAAGAGAGTAAAATTTTTGGTCGAAAAACTTTTGCATTTCACGCCATGATATTCTTTCTCTCATATGACCCAGAGGAAGCACCACCAACTGTCAATACCAAGTTATTAACTTGAAGCCGAAAGGCGATGATGTTTACTTTTTTGAGGGTGCAATTGCTTTATTTGATGTAACCGAATAGATGTAAAGGATGCGTGGAAATTTTCAATTGTCATTTCCTGCCATAGGGTCACGTACGTAAGTTCTGCTGAGATAGTTATTGATTTTTGAATCGAAAGTAACGAGTAGCTACGAACAGTTGAAATGATTGTCTTACAATGGATCGCAGTGATTATGTAATTGCAGTGATTTCTTACTATTAGACTTTCTAGCCTACAATCGTGAACCAGGGTCTTTCTCTGTTTGATTCTTTGTTTTTAAGAATAACATTTATGCGTGGGAATGATCATCTGCCCAAGAGAATTTTGCGACATCATTTAGAAAATGTAACAAAAGCAGTCGATTGAAATAAATCAAAGAAGCAAAAGAAAAAGGAAAAATACTTGACATTTGCTAAAAAAAGCGTTCATTTTGTCACATCTTATCTCCAAAAGCAATAAGTAAAAAAGAAAAAAAAAAGAATACAAGTGGTAAACTATTTGAAGATATCCGCAAGTTGGCGGCTGTCGGAAACATTTGAAAAAACCCTAAAAGAACTTGAAGTGTCATTGAAAGTGTTTCAGTACAAGAATATCTTTTTACCAATTGATGTTTAAAATACTACAAGCAACCCGTAACTGATCATATTTGCTAAGAGATGTTAGGAGTTAAATTGAAACACTTGGCTATCGAGTCCGGGTCTCTCTGAAAAAAAAAAAAGAAAGGTATGTTTTTCGAATCTTTCATCACCTACAAGAGGTAACTGACTAGTGTTTTGAAATAGCTATTTATGTATAGTTTAGCGTTTCTTTGGTCAGTCCAGAGAAAATAATGTGAGGAACGTCTGAAGCATTTACCAGTATTTTAAGATTTCGGTCTTCAAAGGAAGTCGAGTGCTTTTAACAATAATAAAGAAAAGGTATATTTATAGAAATAGGTTTTATCTGAAAGGAAAACTTGGCATAATTTCGTTCATTCCCTCTTTGAAAATGGAGTATTCTCCTTGATACAAATAAAGGTACAAGATAAAAAAAAATAAAATTCATGGTCACCATTCAGTTGTTATAAAATTCAACAGCCTAGACAAATATACATTTGAAAACTGTAAACTCCTCAATATTAATTGGAATGGCCATTTTTAATCCCGATACAGTTCATTTCATGTGATAGTAGCACATATTTTTTTGCGCCCAAAGAATCTTACACACTTAAATATTGGCAAACATAATTGATGGGTGCTTTAGGCAAAAGATAAAATGGGAAAAAACAGGTGGGTGGCATGCACCTTGAAAACTTTTAAAGTTTTTAAGAAAATGAGAAAACAGTTCCGAAAAAGTAGCGCTTTTTGTTCCACTTCAACATAACGAATTAACGATTATAAAGCCCTCGAAAGAAAAGAGCTTTTCTGGAATTACTTTTATGAGAATTGCTTTATTCACCTTCATTGGCAGATAATTGCTTAATAGAAAAATAAAGGTATGGACAGCATGTACTCAGCAATTAATTCATTCCATTTCTTATTTCATCAATATGAAAAAAGTGCTAAAATTAATAAGTCGTGCATTTTGGGCCAAAAACAAACAATTTGGAGCTTTGAATTCTATTAGCCGCTTAAAATCTTCAGCTATCCATTACCTGATGATTAAAAGCCCCTTTGCTTATGTTTTGGTGCGTTTTTTCGGCTGGGCCAATTCCAAGAGACATTCGAGAAAATACTTTTCCGGACATAACTTGCAACATTTGATGGATGATTCTTTTTTTTTTTAAAGGAAATGTGTTAAAAAACCTTATACAGGCAAGACCTCGCCTCACTGCAAAAGATTTGAGGTTAAATTTACCTCGTCATGTTGTTTAATCGAATAGCCGTGGCAATCAGAATTTTGATGAATTTTTTCTTTGATCTTGATTTCCCTAAAAGCTTTTTTTGTATGTGTATCTTAGAGGTTAAAAAGTGATTTCAACTAATTTCCTCATTACTGCTTTTATTTCATACGAAGGAAGGTCTTTTTAGGACTGTCGCTCTCGGGTGAATGATACTTCCTAGAATTAATTTTCGTTTCAGTTAGATCTAGAATTACCAATAAATCCGTAAATCCGCCTAACACAAAAATTGGCAAATGGATTTAAAAAGTGGCAAATGAATGTAACACTTTCTAAGTCAGATTTAGTTATAATTGCCATTCAACCCTAATAAGTTGAGAAAACCTCTTTAACCAATTTCCTTACCTCATACCATTTTTTTTCTTTTCAAGTTAAAGAGTTACTTTTATCGGTTTTTAAATCAGTGTCAAATAGGACCACTTTATCTCAAACACTTAGTTTCTATGACAAAATTGGGTCCATATTTTGTTTTGGTTCTAATTTCCATTAGAGCCTTAATCTGTGAGCTGTTAATAATTGCTTTCAATTTTGCTTCATTTTAATTTGACTGCTTTGATTCGAAGGGGTCACTTTGACCGAAGCACAAAAGCAATGATGAACAATACCTCTTTGGGCAAGGAGAACATCAGTTCTTCGTGGAACCCCGTATTTGTGAGTATCTCCATCGTCTGTTATTCCTTTATTATCGGATTTTCCCTTCTCGGCAACAGCCTCGTATGTCTGGCAATTTGCCTGAATAAAAGTCTTCGCTCTTCACCGGCCATGTCTTTCATCTTTTCACTGGCCCTCTGTGATCTGTTAACTGCCATTTTCGCAATGCCGTTTGACGCTGAAAGCCTACTCCAGAACAGCGCCTGGAAACATAGCGAAACTCTCTGCATTGTATGGACAACGACTTATCTATTCAGTGTCCCTACATCGATACTGACGCTCCTGGTCTTTACGATTGATCGATACAAGACCCTGAGTGATCCGCTGAGAAGGTTTCGCAAATCGAAGTTCTTATCCATCCGAACCTCTCGTTTTGTGGTGGTGTTCCTATGGTGCTACTCCCTGGCGTTCTGCTTACTGCCTGTCATGGGGTGGCGACGTATGCCTCATTACGTTGTTGGAGGTTACTGCAATTTCAACATCACGTTCACCTATTCAGTTGTAAGCAACATCCTTCACTTCATACTACCATTGCTGATCATCGGCGGAATTTATTTCAAGATTTATCGCATCGCACAAAACGTGAAACAATGCCACAAGCTGGGTGAGGGTAAAAACTCTTTTCCTGGCCACATCGCCCGACACCCTTCCTCGCGCGATCAGAGACACTTTAAGCGAAATCTCAGAGGAACTAAGACAATTGCTGTGATAGTTTGTGCGTTGTTCATCTGCTGGCTTCCTTACAGTGTAACTAGCATTGTCTTTGGCCTTTGTAAAACGTGTTTTTTTAAATCCCCACCGGAAGTATCCGTCGCGCTACTTATGCTGGGATACCTCAACTCGGCCCTAAACCCTTTCATCTATTCTCTCAGGAACCGGAAGTTCAAGGACACATATCGCATTCTCTTCCGGTCGCTGAGGAAAATTAGAAGAAATGCACAGCGCAGGTCAAGAGCGTCTCCTAAAACAAGTGACTCATCGATATCCGGAAGACATCACGTAAGCGTCATCGGGCACGCTAGTAGCATAAGATTGACCTCTTTCACTGTCTCTGTTTCAATAAATTAAAAATATATATATATTTTTTAACTATGTCGCGCGTCTGTCCAAAACAATACGGAGCTCCGTAAGCAGTGAAAGAGTTCGTAAGTTTAAAATTATTGCAAATTTTTGTTCTGAACTGCTGATTTAAAAAGTACCGTGTCTATATCAACATACACATGGGACAATTAACTCTCTTTAAACTAAATAAAATTGTGACATTAAAGAAGATAAAGATGCTTGTAGAAGAAAAACTTACAATATCAAACCACTGCCAAATTTGAAGAGTTGAGACAAGAACACTCTCTTTAAGCTCGAGAACAGGGAAGGCAAAGTGCTTATCGAACATGCACATTGAAAAATTATTTAAATCAAAATAGTACGTGTTATGCAACATAAACATAAATCAAATTTGTAAAATAGAAAGAAGTGTTTATTCAGTTATATAGTCATGCATTTTTCTAAAGGTGTAGGAAACAATTAGGTCTTTTAAAAGCTGAAGAGAAAGAAAGAGACATTATCTCTGCATAAGTCATGGAGCATTTCACAATTGATCCTATGTCATGAAAAAAACATCTTCCAGCTGTACAGGTCATTTTAGACTTATGATGTATCATTCACGGAATTTATGGATTAAAAGTTATCAAAAAATTATTTCTCACTTTTCCAAGTGTTTTCGAAAATTCTTATTAAAAAATCTTCCAAAAACAACACAACAATAGAAAATCTGACATTTGTGTGCACAACACAAAGAAAATTGGCAGTGAAATTCTCACAAGAGCATGTCTGTTTCCAAGGAAACTCAAATTTGCCCTCAACTTGAGCGAAGCTCAGAAAGTACGGCTTGAAAAGTTATCTTCCCTTTCTGACCGTAAGCAATGGAAAAATCAGGCCTTTATCTCATCGCGATGGGAATTGCGCTATTTTATCCGCAACAAGTATATTCTGCCAGCGAAACAGCGAAGAACACTTTCAGATGTAAGTTAATGAATCAATTGTCCTTTCCGATTACATTCAAGTGAGCAGGACACTGCCTTTACTGAGAAATGTATAGACCATGGAATGTTCTTCAATTGCTCTCAATTAAGCGAATGCAGGTCAACCTGGGGTAGTCGCAATTGCTGCATCAGAGCATGAAAACAGGCATAAAATAGCCCAGAATAAATAACACCTTAAGCACTTTTTTTATAACACTGATTTAAAAGTATTTATTTTGGTTGAAATAACTTATATTCACGCTTACCTTTTTTCCTAAAGCTTCAGTAGTCGTCGATAACAGTCGACTTTAATGCTACGAGCTTTAAATTACGGCGACGGAAACTGATTTCACAGTATCAATACATGATCATTGCCTGTCTTTCAAAATCGAATGAGTGGTGCCCTTTCTCGTATGCTTGGAAATCACAGATCAGATAAAAAAAAAATAGGATATCGGAAGAGAGTGTGCCGAAAACATTTGGTTATATCTTTACCACAATTTCTTTAGGAAATGGAAAGAAAAGGTGTCGATTACAGGAACTTCAAACTAATTATTTTCCTATTACTTTTTTTCCGAAGTATAATCTTTTGCAAAAACTGAAGTCGGCAACTCTTTTCTCTGTTCGATAACAAGTAAGGATAAATGGACTAAATATCACTTTTGATTTCGACAAACAGCTTTGTTGACTCGAAGCATTTTGAGAATTTTTCAGAACCCATGCTATTTCCAACAAGGAATACACAGAAACCGAAATAAGGCTAAATTTCATCTTGTCCAGCAAAAATATTTATCGACCGGGTGGGGAGTCGGAGAATAATTTTTTCGGAAGGGGGGGAGGGGGGCGCGCAACACATGGTTTTCAGGGGGAACGGAAGGGCGACCAATCGTCGCGAAAAATAATGACCATTCTCTAGAAAAAGCAAATTATTCCTAAAACAACTGTGACAGTTCAGAGCCTTTTCCTCTTTTCCAGTTTTGTTGAACTTTTACCAGAAACCAGTCGTCACAATCATTAAAAACTCCACAGCACATGAAGACGTCCAACAACAATCCTTAGATGAAGCCGATCTGAAACGTGACGAGATCCCAGAGCCGACGATAGCTCCCACTTTCAGTACAGCCACCATTAACTTTCCGGTCAACAGATACATGGCCAATGTCATGTTCCAGTTGTTCGGCAAGGATGGGGTTCTGGAAAAAGGTGGGTTCGAAAGAAATGGTTACATCCATAAGGATGCATCAGCCTCCATCGTGCTCCTCGATGGCTTCGGAAACAGATCGGAACTTTTACACGAAGTATTGAGGGCGCATGACACACCAATAGACGCCGGAGCAATTGCTTTGGTTGTACAGCTCTTTTTCAGTCCGGACGACTTTAATCGGTTAACGAACTGGCTCCGGGATGAGATTCGGGCTGGCTACGAGAATTACGACGATCCGTGCTCTCCGATAGTTTGTATCAAGTTCGTGTGCTGTACGAAGATTGCTAATCCTTTCTTGGGTCCAAAATTCGGAACGATCCGAGTTAGTATTGATTAAGAGGAAAGCGTAATAAGAGGTAGTTTGTGCAACAGGGTTAAGAAATGGAGATATAAACTAGATGGCAAGTCGGAAATAACATCTTGCAAATCACTATAGTGCCTTTAAAACGAACTCATGAAAAGGACGAATGATTACCTTACTTCCCTTAAAGCTGTTATCACTCTCAGGGAATCAACATCAGCAAACTTTTCATTAATATGTACAACTAGTTTCACCTGTGTTCAGGGTGACAATCTCATTGATTCAAACACTATTCACAACTGAAGTCTTTAGGTGGTAACCCTTTATTTTTGGGGGTTAATTAAATATTAGCAAAAAATTTTAATTTCAAAAACAGCACTGTTACCTCTAGACAGGAGAGCGATTAAAATAGGAATAATAAAGTTCACAGGAAATTCAACCATTAACCATCGATAACTCTTGAATATGTTTATCGAAATATTTCAAAGGAGCATCAATCTGAATCCACCTAGGATAGCAAGTAAATGAGGAAAGATCAGGTACAGAGGGGAACTGTATCATCTGTGGCCAAGACGGGATAATTTTTTTTTTTGGACATTTTGGGAATAATTTGGTGTAATTCGCAAATCTTTTACGACTAAAAAATATTCGCAGTTAGAATTTCTATAGACAGTAACAACCTATTTTATTCCAAAATACATTTATCTTAGCGGCTCAAAAACTGATTATATGTTACACCTGAAATTGAGGTGTCTCATTACAAACCATACCTTTTAAGTTCTGAGTGGGGGTGCAAGAACCTGCATGGTTTCATAACCGTCCCAAATCCTCCCCCCACGCTCCCCGCCACGCCCCTGTTTTCCTTACGGAATTTACAAGGACTTAGAAAGTTCCCTTGTGCTATTTTCCAGTTGCTTCGGCGAAAAAAAAAAAGAAACTACAACCATTCCTTTCACCTAAGAATTACAAAAATATTGCAAATGTGATCTGCGCATTAAGTTTTATGCGTCCAATCTTCTGGAAAATGACGTCACGACGTTGAAACGATGTCATCACTGTTCTTCAGCTCTTTTCTTCCGATTGACTCGCGAACAGCTGTAGAAGATACTTTTTATCTCTGGATTCCTTGAGGATAGAGTAATAAAAATCTTTAGCATACGAATTTCAACTGAAATAAACATTCCTACATAAAAAATAGAACTGTGTTCCTTTGAAATAGACATCACCTTGTAACTTATGGTTTCGTACCAGTGAGAACTGTTTTGCAGCCTAAAAATTCTAATAGAAGCCGTTACTCTGCATAGTAAGTGATAGCATGATGTTCGAAAACGGGTTTTTCCTGAAAATTTAAATAGCATTTCTGCAAAATACTCCACTCCACCAAGCAAGACATTTGTAAAAATTTCATGGAAACTTCCCCTTAAATTAGAGCCTTATTTCACCTTCTGCTATTCGAAGAGTTTTCACCTGTAGAAGAGGTTCACATACAGTGTCTACATAATTGAATTATCAGGTTTTCTACTCGGTATCACAATCCTAAGGAATCTTAACTCTTCTTAGCGAGATGGAGAAGTAAGCGCCTCAGTAGTCGAAGAGACATATTACCATGGAAAGTTCTTCTCGAAGACCACTTATCATTCTTCGGTAAACCTTTGCTATGGCGTAGAAGAAGTATAAACTGAGACTGAAAAAATAAAAAAGCTATTTATCAGCATTACATAAGGATATACTAACTGCCTGGAAAATTCGGCTGCCAAATAAAGACGTTATAAAAATGTTCGAAGGAGCAGACTTCGTTTAAAGTGGAGTCAGTTGTTAGAATCAGCATCCTAAAATCTATTTTAAGGTGGGATTCAAAAACTAAAAAGTGCTTGAAACACACTATAAAACCAAAGTCACCAGCTCTTACCAAATGATGACCCCAAGAACAACAAGAAAGACAGGCGAGCCGAGAATTTGAAAGGTGTCACGAAATCCAGTAGGAAGAATGGACACAGTCCAAGGAATGATGTCATAAACTTCATTGAATCCTCTGAAAATTCATTAAAAAAATTGTCAGTCGTTTAAAACTTCTGCAATAACTCATTTTACAGTCGTATACTTGGTTGCCAAGCCTTTGAACAGGAATGAGGCCAAGGGTGACCTCGTCATGATACAAACCTTGCTGCTTTTCAAATGTAAATTACTTTGTTATCATGCTAAATAGATACTGGTCTTCATCACAACAAGGTTGACTCAGCCTCAATCCAAATAAAAGGCTTGGCAACTAGGTACATAATTGTTAAATGGCCTATTGATCGTAGCCGCTCTGCCGACCAAAACAACTGCAAACTTACCTAAATGGCCCATACAATACTGACGGACGAATTCTGAAATGGAAATCACACAAGAGAAATTTTAGTACCTCTGGATGATAATCAGTGCAACAGGATGAAAGGAAAACCGATGTTAATGAAAAGGACAATGAAATGGCACTGCGTATCGTCGCCTTTGTGTCATGAATCGAAAACACAGCGGTCAAACGTAAGGCATGCGCAAAAAGAAAAATCCGTTTTGACCGGCCGCGTGCCAATTTCCCGCTCGAAATTTTAAAGGAAAACACGACAAGCAACCGCTTTCACGTAAACAATGCGAAAAAAATCGAAACGTCCATAGAATGGATAATCCTAAGCAGATATATACATCCCGTTAACAATTGCTAACGACTTCTCATTCCTTTATCAAAAGAGCCGTATTTTGAGTGAAGCGTTGTGTTAGTAAAAATTGCAGTAGACTTAAATCCGAAAAAGGGTTGGCAATTTTCTGAGGTGGAAAAATACCAGTGCATTGAAATTTCCTGATCACCTGCTGCAACAATTTTCGGTCAATCCGTCCACCTTGGCCAAAACACGAATTTCTACAAATAAAGAGCTACTTCATTTCACTTTCATATTTGATTCTACAATGTTTAGCTTCTTACTGGGTAACTCCATAAGCCACAGCAGCCAGGCAAAGAAGGAAAGTCCCGAGCAACAGAATCATGAAAAAATAGTTTGATCTCCCAGCACGGTAGGCCTTCTCCGCTGCTCTACAATTATAAAACACAGTCGCCTGAAAGAAATAGAGACTAGCTGTTTAAAACCATCTCGAAATGGTTCGTTTCGCCTAGGGTGCGTGCGCTAAGTCCGGTAATCTCTCGGAACTGCAGAATTTTTCACTTGATTATTGATCAAGGTATCTGACAGGGGCGTCTAAACCCTTATTTAGAATTTTTGTGATATGAACCCCGTTTTCCCGCCCAGTTTTTCCACCCAGTTATACTACCTGGTACTCGGTCACACCTATAGCATGCTCAGTAGGAACAGGGGATAACACAAAGAGGTGATTTCATAAACAGAGATCCCCCTCCCTTATCGTGTACCAAAGTGAACGCTGAAGAATCGGTCCCATAGTCTTCTGAGGGCGTGCCAAAAGGGGCTTCCCTCCCGGCGATCCTTGGAACCGAGGACTGAATTAGTCATCACGTCGTGATATCAATACATCTGATTGACTAAAACACGAAAGACACACCTGAGTGTAGTCTTAAAGATTCTAGTTTATAATTAAGAAAGCTTGTTCCAGGCGTGAAGTTAGTAAAACGGAGAGCGGTTATAGTAAATGACGTAATTAATCTCGTACCCAGATCCTACTTTGAAACTGTATCTTATAACCGCTTGGCTGTGAAAGATCTGGGTATGAGACTATGGCGGAATAGCAGCGGCGGAGGGAGGTTAGGGTCGCACTGCGTAAAGTTCATTTCCCGACTCGACCCAGACCTTCCCCTATTTTCGATTCCCCACTAATGTCGCGCCCTTTAATATTGTGCTCTACGTTCTACAAACTGAACGCCTAGAAGAGGCTACGGTAAAGAGGATAAAATTGTCTGCCATCTTACCTTTTTGGCGTAGAAAGTAATTGGTAGCTTTATGATGGCCATGAGAGGCAGAAATGGACTGTACCACGTACCAATCCTACCAAAAAATGTAACTCTAAAATAATTCTGAACACTTACTGCAACAGACAGCGTTCAATGTTAAATCAAGGCTGTCGACATTTTGCTCAATTTTGACACCACAAACTGTTTTTAACACTCACCATATTAGAGCCTGACTATAAACAAGTTCAAGCACGTTAACTGGAAGAAAAAACTCAGGGCGGCCAACTTTTCTTCCCATGTCACATCCTAAACTAACGTGATCAGCAAATAACCTGAGGAAAAACTAACCGAAGTTAAGCGGACTAGAAAACAAACCTTTCACTTTTTCATTCTTAGGATCTCATGAGAAATTCTCCTTACTATCTGCCATACAAATCTTATGACGTTTGTTTGGGGAATTTGACATGGATCAACTAAAAGTCCCAACAGTGATATCTCTCTTAATTCTCATCGCCTGTCTGCTTGATATTGTATGAATGTTATGAGGAGAAATTCTGTCTTGATCACTGGTGGGGGGCAAACATGGGGAAAATAAACTGAAATAAAAGCAAGATCCAAATTGCAAAACCACATCTTAACTATTAGAGAAAAAAATATGCATCATTTTTCAAGAAAAAACGGTCCATCACCTTCGAGGAGTTTGAACAGCAATTATAACCAACAGTGTGACGAAAAAGTCGGTCCACACCAACTTGTACATTTCTGCCGCAATGGCATTCTCCCAGCACTAATGGACATAAAAGAGCAAAAGTTAAAGGTTAGCCAAAACAAGCCACCCCTCGAGTGACAAACAGACAGAAAGATACACAAACCAAATCGAGAGACAGAGGACAGATATAAAAGCAGATAGACAGAAAGACAGAGACGGACAGAAAGATACACGGGCAGACTGGACGACAGTCAGATAGTCAAAAAGATAGGTACACGCACAAAGAGACAAAAGGAACAAAAGGACAGATAGACAGACAGGACACTGCCTTAAGGAATTTACAACTGAATGGTGCAGTCACCTACCAACATACAGGTCTTGTTAATTCTGTTATACAAAGAGATAAGAAGAACTGCGACCGAGGCCAACTTTAAGAGAACCGTTCTGAAAAACATTTGAATCACAGTGGAGATGTTATATCGAGTAATTAATTACCTTTTCGATAACTACCGTTTTCGTTTTAAATTTATCAAACATTGTGGGAAGCATACACCACATACCTAGCCAAGTCCACGTTGACTCGGACTCGTGGGTTCCAATCCTCCAAGCCAGAGAAGAAGAAAAAGATAGAAGGAACGATAAATCCCAAGGCGGAGAGGGTGATTGGTGAAGCGTAACTCTTCCCCAACTGTATGAAATCGGTCATAAGCGACGCCTTGATATTAGCATTATCTTGGGAAGTCTGTGCCAAGTAACCAAAATAAAAGAGGTGAAAAATTTGCGTCTACTCTCGCTAATGAGTATAACAGGAAACAAACATGACAATAAAAGGAATTAAGACTTCTTAACTCCCATAATTGAAGCAGCGCTCTAAGTCCTCTAGCAGCTGCCTACCGCCCATAAAATATTTCTTACAGGGTGTTTCCAAACAATCTGTGCGATCACATTTAAGAAGCAAATTGGAGCTGCAACACTAGAAATTGAGAAAAAAAAGGAAAGACTTGCCAAGTGCAACACGGCCTCAACTGGCTTTCAAAAATTATCAGCCCATGAGGCGCAAAAAAACACGGATCTATATTGTTATGGATATTGCTAACACGCACAGCAAAAAATGTGAAACACCGCATCTTACCTCTATAGACACCTGAGAAGCCATGAAAATCAAATAAGCTGACAGAACTGAGAGTCCGAGCACCATAAGATTCACCATGAATCGTATTGCGTACAATTTGTATTTCTCCTTCTTAGTTCTGTTGGCCAAAGTTGCGAGTCTGAGGTCTTCTGCTATACTGGCCTGAAAAAAAATTGTGAAGACGTAACAAAGTGAATTTTTGGAAAAGAAAAATAAGTTTGTTCAGTTTGAGTAGACTCAAATACAAATAAAGTACTTAATTCAATCGTCGAGTGTCGCGTGCCGCGTGTCGCGTGTCGCGTGTCGGGAACCGGTAATCGAGAATCGGTAATCGAGAATCGGTAATCGGTAATCGGTAATCGGTAATCGGTAATATAATCGGTAATCGGTAATCGAGAGTCGAGAGTCGAGAATGGAGAAGCGAGAAGTGAGAAACGAGAAACGAGAATGAAGGGTGGAGAGTCGAGAAACAAAAAAAACGAGAAACGAGAATCGAGAATCGAGAACCGAGGACCGAGAACCGAGAAACAAGGATAAACGAGAGTCAGCTCAACTCTGGATACTCGATGCCTGTGAACACCGTTCATTATGTTATGTTTTCGAGTCGACTAAAGTATCACACGAATCACAACTATGGCAAACGATGCGCAATTCACAGACAATAATTGCTTGCCTTATGCCTAAAAATTCCTCATTGCCCTCCAATATTGATACATTTTTATCATTTGCTATACAATACTTAACTGAAAACAACCTGATAAAAGGTTGAATTAGCGGCGATTAAGAGGGAAGCCTCACCTCGATGTCTTTAACGAATCTCATAATCTGGAGCTTTGCGGCAGCTTGTTCCTCAATACACATATCCCATCCACCAAACACTTTATTAGAGTAAGTGTGGTAATATTTACTGCCTTCCTTCACGTAGCTTTCCTCAAATATCTGCGAAGCACTGGAAACATAAACGCAGTGACAGCTTTCTTAAGGTTAAACCTTTACTTAAATTGTCTCAAGAAACAACATATACCGGAAACTCTCCTTTGTAAACCCTCTTTAGACCAAAGAACCCTAGAGGCGTAGCCAGGTTTTTTTAAAGGGAGGGAGGAGGTTCGCACTGTTTCAAAGAGAAAGTATTCACCAGTTTTCGCCACTTGAATATTGTAGGTTGTTTGCATAAAAAAAGGCTTACAAAGGAGGGGGGTCTTTACGGGCATCCCTGGACCTCTCTCCACTAGCTACACCCTTAGATCCCCCTTAATCGAGTAAAGTTTTTGTTTACAATTATATACATCGTTTCCGTTTCATGAGGACACAACGGCGGCTAATAGATTAACATACAGAGCTAGTTAGGGAAATGAACGTCAGAGAGACGGCCGACTGAAGTGACTCCGCCCTTCTGAAAGACGATAAGGAAATGAATTTTTCCACCTCTGCTCACTTAAAAATAAGCAAGCAAGAAGGAAGGTGTAGACCAGTTGAATAACTTTTGACAGTATCCATCCTTGACCCCTCAGAGTGACTAGTATTTAATTTCTCCCTACAATATCACCCTGAATCACACATTAAGGTCATGAGAATAAAGGAAATGATCACCAACTAAAGAAGCTCTTGATTGTTAAACAAATTCTCCTTGTCAGTTCCTCAGAAATTGTATGGTGCCCATTATGGAGAATATGCCTTCTCATGTGGGACGTAAAGGGTTAAGACTAAACCAACCCTTACCTCCATAATATAGAGAGCAGAATCACCGCAAAGCAAACGCAGCCAACTACAAAATAAGCGAGCGGCATGTTGTAGAAAGTTTTTTTACTTCCTATGACCAAGACGTTATTAGAGTAGCTTCCATAAAACATGTACGTTGTGTTTATCCATCCCTACAGAGGAAAGAAAGAAAATCTCTTTGAGCAATTTTAATATGGATACAAGTAATAGCTGTGTTTGCTAGTTTGTAATTCACATGTACGAGGGATCGTTTTAAATTCATCGAATTTCTTACTAAAACGAGTATGTTCAGAAATGCATGCAGTAACGAAAATGCCGAAAACTCTTCAATTCCGCCAGGCTGATTTCGCTTGGACGAATTGGAATAGAATTCGCCAAAATCGTAAAATCCATGAACAATCACTCAGTTTGACGAAATTTCGCCAAATCAGCCATTTTTGTTACTGCGTGCATTTCTGGACATAAGCGACTACAACGAGCAATTAAATTGTTCTTGAATCCTTACTTAGTGAAAATGAGTTTTTAATTCAAAATGGCTGCTTTAAACACAAATTCAATTGCTCTGTTGTTTAGAATAGGTTAAAAGGCAAAGTTTGCACTAGAACCCAGTACCACAATCAGGCGGAGCTTATTCCGGATAGCATGTAACATGCAGCGACCAGGACTATCACTACCTCCCCCTAGATGGGATGCTAGTCCATCGCAAGGTTATCCCCTTGCATTTCATCAGGCTTCCCTAACAATTTACTAGCACCCATTTGTACTCTTGGGTGGAGAGGGTCACTGTGAAAGTAAGTGTTGATGTTTTGCCCGAAGCCAGGTCTCGACCCGGAGTCTAGTGCACAAACCGTAAGGCCATTGCGCCTTCCTCGTTGTTTTAAATAAGGAGTCCCTCCTATACTTACGATGCCGGAAATGAAGTCAGACAGAAGCTGCGGAAAAGGCTTGTTTGTATACGAGGAATAGTTATACGGTTTCACCAAATTACACTTTAGATCATTATCTTCTTCCTCGCTTTTGTTGAGCAAAACTTCCCTCTTCTTCCTTGCTAGTGAAGATGCTGTTACATTAGCTGGAACAACCGTGGACGAACTTGAGGAGTTTGAAGTAAAAGCAGACGCGTTCTGCGCAGTTATTGTCAACGGGAGTTCCTCTCCTGAGCTGAGGGCTTGAGGAATGATCACAAAACACAAGGTAAGAATGAAGACGTAAATGTTTAACCAAAGGAGCCACTTGAGAAATGTGAAATATGATAGAACACCATTTCCGAATGATCCTGTAAAATAACACAAAAAAACCTCTTAATTAACAAAATTCAGTATTGTACCCGTCATTGTATCCTTGTGGGATATAATTTTGCAGGAGATTTAGTTTCGGATTACAACTTTTTTTTGTTTTGTTTTGTTTTTTTTCTCTTTTATACGATTCAAAATGGCTTTGGACTTAAATCCTTTACGAAAAATGGCACCGTCTCCTTTTCACCTACAATTTCCCTTATCTCAAATATTCTGTTAGGAAAGAACTAAAAACAGACAGATTGAAACTAATGCTTAAAGTGATGGTCTTGCAGGTCCAGAAATCTTTTTGATGATGCAAGAAGATGGACTGGTAAACACACCTTCTATTTCCTTGAAGTGTCCTCTCCATAACTCATAAGAGTTTATGAATTCCTTGCAGGTTTCGTAACTTTGTTTCAACGTCTAACAAACAGACAACACGTTTTCAGGTTTAAAATATCGACATTCATCATAATCAGAAAAACAATGGCAAAAGGACTTACAAGAAAAGATTTACGACTCGTACTCTCTCCCTTCGAGGAGCGTTTCATAAACCAACTAGTAATAGTAATAGTTACCCAAAGTGTATAATATTCGGCTACTATGCCAAGCAAGTTACTGAGAGCGCGCAAAATATGCCACAGTATTTCACTGTAAAACAAGGCAAAAATACGGAGCAAAAAAGTAGTCGTACAGAAAGATCCAAATTTTGATTTTTTTTAAATTTTCGTTTTCTACGCTTGCCTTTTAAAGAAACGAATTTTTAAGCACTACAGATTTTTCGGTCGGTCACAAAGAACTCCAAAATGGTTTCGTTCGCGTTGTTCTAGTCTTTCGCAATAAGATGCACAGATAAAGCCGTAAGACTGAAGTAATTCGCAAACTTAAATCAAAATACAAAAATGTGAAATAATAAGAAATCCCTTATTCAACAGTTTAAAATATAATAGGAACGGAAATTTTTCTCATTGCTCTTGCCTTACCTGGCCCCTTCGGGGCTCGGGAAAAGACTATCACAAACTATGTGCTCGTATTGTATGTTCAACCATCGAATAAGGTGTATTAATGTGACGACAAAAGTAACGCCGAAAGAAAATACAGTAAATCTTACCATACAGTAAATCTTAGTTATGGTTCTAAAACATTATTCCATATTGTGTAATTACATTTCCTGTTACTCTTGTTAATATATTCCACACATGTGTTAAGTAGAACATGTTGTGTCACTAGCTATTGCATTTTGGATGACAAAGTCATTAGCTTTTATTGCAAAAATAAATGCATTTATGTAAAAAAGGGCAAAAAATGATAATAAGTTAGAGTCCTTCTACATAAAAGGAATGGATGTGAAAACACATTTAAACAGACTAGGTTTAATTGCAGTGAATAAATGCTGCCTCTTCAACTTGGTACAGTACGTGTGCAATAGCAACTTACCATAGAAATTCGAAGTCGCAGCTCTGTACAAGTGGAAAGTCCTTGCGATCCATCTGCATCCAAGGTACTTCTACAAAACAAGAGCGGATGGGAAACTACCATTTTAGTCTACATAATCTCTAAATAAACTTCACTCATAAACGAGTAAATTTTTTAATCCTACATGGGGTTTGCGAACATCAAAACAAGGGTTTACAATCTTTCTAAAAGACCTCTGACAGCGTAGAAACATAGCGCTCTCTGTAATTATATTTCAACCGTAATTGTTTCTATTTCAAGTTATTTCTCTACCTTCTCTGCCTCAGCTTCTTAAGACGCTCAGTCAAAGGTTCAGTTTGTTCAAATTTTCCTTTCCGTGACATTGTAGCCTCATCCTCCTCCTCCATATCAGATAAATCAGAGTCTTCACTATTCACGGCTTCGTAAGCGTGTTCTTTTGAATGTACCCTGTCTTTCATTTTTTTTCTGGCGTGGCGCTTCCAACGCGAAAGTTGACGACTTGGTAGATTTTTTAAAAGGTTCGACTTCTTAGAGGCAGGATCTTCAACTGAACGAGAAAAACAAGTTATCGTAATGATATTCGGTCTCTAATGAATACTAGTGAAACTTTAATGGGTTTTAAATTTCAAATGCTACAGAGCTTTGACGAGTATCTTAGCAACCTGCTTAACTGTTCCTTAGAAAATTGTGATTCCATGATAAATAAGTTGTGAGTTGTTGCACTCAAAATGAATTTAAGGTTACGTTTTAAACATCGCCACTTGCTGTCTGTGACTTCGGCTGGCCTGGCCCGCTGTACAAACGATCGATGTCCTTTCCATTATTCCTCAGGTAAGGCTGCATGCGCATACTAAATTCACAAAGGTAGTGGAGCTGGTGTAATTAATTCCCTAGTACCAGGGTCCTTCCACTCCCCGCTCTTCTCCCTATATCCCTTCCTTTCCCCGCCTTTTCCTTCCTTCCATCCACGCTCCCTCCCCTCCCTCCTTCCTCGTAACTCTTCATCCGACGTATACCTTGTCATTCACTCTACACTCCCTCATCCCACTCTTCTTCCCTAAAATATTCCACCCTCCCTCCCTCCCTGAGTCCATCCGTCGTGACTGTTCTTTTTCGTTACTGAAATAATTCAAATATTTGTTTTTCGTATTTTCCTTTTTTCGATGTTTTTGTTGTTTCGTTTTTAAATTCGTTTGTTTTGGCAAGCTTTTATTGGTGTTCTTAACCATCGGTTTGTTTATTCACTCAGTCTTTAAATATTCCATGTTTAAGAATGGACGAGAAGTAAACAGGTTTGTCTATTGTAAACTTCAAATAGCAAGCATTTCTAGGCGATAAGTTTCTTTGTTTCTTCGTTTTCATTCTTTTGGTGAAATTTAACTATCGCAAACGAAGGGTACATTTACCAGAAAATGAATAAACATCGTCTTAAGCAAAGGTAAAGTTTCCGCACAGCCCCATACTATTGTAAAACAAATCTGTTTTCCCAAGGGCAATGTATTTTTTTTGTCATTGTTTGCTCTGTTCAAGAACTGAATACATAATGTGGTAAGGGGCTGTGCGGAAATTTTACTTAAGCAAAATATCAAGTGACAAGAAAATTGCAATTACTCGTTAACAAGCTTTTTCAAAATAAATTTATGATAAACGTTCCTCCTTCAGTTATCTTACAATCGTTTTATCAAAGAGTAATTTAGGTACAGTCAGCTAACGAGCGATTTTATCTCCGATAAATCAGTGAACATCCCTTAATGAGCGTTCTCACCAAAAATTGACGTGCAGTCATCCATACCACGTTTCTATCGGTTCTGTGTGCGTCGAAGCAGAAAGTACCATAACATTTAAAACTTTAGGCTTAAGGTGAATAAACTTTACAACGCCCTGAAAAATCGCTGTGAAAACGAGGAAAGCTGAAGTTTACACAATGGCGGTTACAACTTATGAAATTATAGAGCGCTTACTGTTAAGATATCTAAATACCACTTTAAAGCGTTCTTAACTCCTCGTAGTGGGATATTGAACGTACATTTTAACAACATTTATATTTAACCGACGTCAACAAAACGGTTAACATTTCTTATCGCATTTTACGTACCATAATCCATCGTTAATTGCGTCTCGGGGCCGATTGGAAATTCACGGCTCGTTTCCTTTGGAGTTTCATCCATTTGTAGGTCTACGTTATTAATATTTACGTGGCTTTGGAGTGACGTTTGTTGGTAAAAGCTGCCTTACTGACAGTTTGAATTTGCTTAACCGTCCCGTAGTTGGCATCAAAAGTCAATGAAAAGCCTTATAACTTTTCAAATGAACAAGCAAACGTACAGAACTGATTCACCCCACAAGATAATTTTTGATTGAGACAAAATTTGCATAAAATTTTTCCGTGTACGATGAAAACGCTAGTAGTGCGTGGCGTGTCGCTCCATTTAAGCGAAAAAAGCTCATTCTAAATGTACCTATTACATAAGCAAATGATGGCCTCAAAAATACTGCGGAAACCCGCAGAGAATCAAATTCGAAAATTTTCTAGCGTTCTCAAGTGCTTTTTTGTCATCATGTTTGTTTTTAGGTAACGCAACGACAAAGAGTCGCGCAACGCTGAATTCCATGCCAGCGCGCAAAAACTTAGATTTATCACAAATCAATGCTAAATAACCACGTGAATTTCCCAGTGAGGCACAGAGTATAACTATTTCTTGTTAGCTGATCCAAACTTCCATACAGAAAATCCAACTGGCCTTAAAAAGATTTTGAAAAAGAAGCGTCTTGGACGTAAATTGTAATAGGAATATTTTATAAACACTTATCAATTTAAAGGAAACTCAATGAGAAATATATACAGTTGCTAAGTTTCTACCATTATTCCAAAGAATTCAGGGAAATTATGCAAGCAATTTTCTCACCTATGCTGACCATTCTTCGCTCACAGCGAAAGTAAAAACTACCATGAGCCATAGAAATATCCTTCGAAACAATTAATTTTTACCCCAATCAAAAGTAACGGTTGTTGTCTCCAAAATTAAACTTTTATCCAGTAGCTGAAGGTCGCTATCAATGAAAATACCTGTCCTCTGATCAGAAATAAATCTTAAGGCGATAGTAGTTTCTTCAAAAAATATTTCAACATAAATCACAATTGTAGATTTTTGACACCAACATGAATTTGTTTGACTAGAAACTCTAATTATTATCATTTGCTACCTTCCGTCCAATTAGAGAGAGTGACTAATTATCTTTTCTAATTACTCAGAGGTTGATGCCACGGGTGATTTTTTCAGATCTCAAATTTTTGAAATGAAGAAAAAAGATCAAGCTACTTTGCGAACATTCTTCGAGTAAAGCCACTTATTTATTAGTGATTTCGCTGTGTTTCTCGAGGCCTAAATCACCGTGATTGAAAACAGGATAACTTTGGCTGGTTGAAGTACTCACCGAGAATGTGGGTGGGGTTTAACGTTCAAGGCCTTAAATTCACATCACGAGTGACCAAGATAGGATTTCTTTTCACAATATCAATACATGTGAATGTGAAAGCGATCTTCGTAGCAATGAACACTACTTGAGCAGTAGTGAAAATAAAACCTGAAGAAAATTCAGACCTGTACAGGATTTAAACCCATGACCTCTGCGATACTAGTGCAGTGCTCTACCAAATGAGCTAACGAGCCAACTAGGAGCTAGTCATTATGTTGGTTCCAAATAAACCCGAGAGGTAAAGAATAAATTACTGTGAATATATGAAAATAATATGTAAACTACAGATAAGGAAGTGAATATGAAAGCGATCTTCGCAGTAATGAACACTACTTGTGCAGTAGTGAAAATAACGCCTGAAAAAATTTCAACATAATGACCAGCTCCCAGTTTTGGAAATCAACACAATATCAAGTGTACAAGTAATGAGAATAGAAATAAACATTAATTAGGAGATTATTAGTGGATCCAATGTCTAGCTTTTGGATCTAAATTCATAACAACTGTTGTATGGCAGACGGAAAGGGGAATCACTAAAGAGACCTTGAGATTGAAAGGGTAAAACCAGCCACAATCTTCTCCACCACATTGTCACCTTTTACCGTAGCTTTTTAATTACGAATTGATAAGGATAAACTGTATGATTCAACGTTTTTTTCGCGATATTTTCGTGATATAAAAATACAACGAATGCTGAACCAATGAGAACGTTCATAAAAATAGCATACTTACCACTATCGGCGTACACGAAACAGTATACTTACCACAATCGGCGTACATAAAACAGCATACCACAATCGGCCTACAAGGTGTCTAAATGCTGATGTTGGATTATTGCGCTATTGCAATAATTTCGTGGTTGGATCTTCATCTATTCTTTTTCTCTTCGTATTCATTGATTTTACTTTCATACTATGCCTCGTCGTTCAACTCAGCCAAAAAGCATTACTGAGAATCGAATTGCGATCAACGCCAACGTGTAGACCGAATCCCGACCAACCCCCGACAATTTTGCCGAAAGTTAGCGAATGTTGACCGATGTTATTCAAAAGCTGGTCGTTTGTCTCCCGACTGTTACCGACTATTGCCGGTCTATTGATAAACAGGATCCACAGAGAGAACGATTATTTGTATGTCAACATGTAAAGATGTAAGTATGTATGTGTATGTAAAATTTAAGAGTACGTAGGATTAAAAAACGTAATGTGAATGAAAATACAAGATTTAACGAAAATGAACAGAAAAGCGAAAAAAAACCACTTGATACAAAAAAATTTAGGCAAAAATTTGGCCAACAGATGGCAGACAGTCAGTCTACACTACTAGACATTTAGCAGGCAATTTTCCAATCTTCAGTCAAAACATATCATCCGATTTCGAACGGTTTCGTCCCTTTTCGGAAGATGCGTCTCACTCGGGATGGTTCCGTCTAATTAAGGACAGCTCATTCTAACTTCGCATTGTTCCGACTACTTGTTCCGACTACTTGTTCCGTTCAACTTCGAAAGTTTCCGTCAAATTTTGGACGATTCAGTTTAATTTCGTGTGGTTCCGTCCATTTTCGGACAGCTGTCACTGGAATAACAGGTGACCAACTGTTGGTCACAGCGTCCTTAGATATAAGTCCCTTGATTCGTAAATTCTCTCGGGAAATGGCCAAAATATAAAATAAAACCAACGAACTTGTCGGTGAAAATTTATTTTTGCACACTTAAATTCATTGCAAATATTTAAACAAAGGGAAAAGAGGAAAACGTAATCTTCCAAAATGTAAATTAGAAAAAAGTGAAAAATATTCATTCCAACATAAAAAAACTAATTTTAAATAAAGTACGAAAATAAATATTACAAAGGATGTGAGCGAATTCTTCTCAACAAACTAGTTTAATGCAAGATTAAGAATTCTACATTAAATTGGGAATTTCTTTTGAACAAAAGAAATGGTAGTTCTTTTGTTAAAGAAATACAGCTATTTTAAGAACACCTTTACAAGTACTCTGTACTCAAGTGCCTTTGGGTATTTGATGTTTTCTGATGAAAATTGAAACCATGCGCTTTAAAGTTTTGTTGTTTACACAAACTATATGTGTAACAACCTGAGTTACCCATACCATTGCTCCATGTTTGGATCGTTTTGGTTATAATAATTAAAAACAATTGGCAGCTAAATTTACTGTGAAAGTTGTCAATATGGCAACTAGCACTCAGAAGTTATGTGGCTCAATGTTATGCTTTTACTGCTTTGACCCTATGGCTTGAAATGAATATCATGTAGTATTGCACAAAAAGTCCTTTGTCATTATATAGCTGTTGATTATCATTTCATTCTAGGCAACTAAATTTTTTTACTGGCAAACATTTTATGTTTTTTAGGTCCCCATTCAGTGACTTTGAAAAAAGATGAACATGGAGCTTTGATTACTTTTATAACAATTATTTTAACTCCTCCCTAATAATACAACACCTAGCTGCTATTTTAAGGACAAATCTGTGGCACAGTCCTTAGGGAGAAGGTATCTTTCCTGAGTATCCTGTGTCTATGATGACAATTGATTGGGAGGTAGGTGTCCAGTGTCGCCCATACTTCTGACGCTTACCCTTCCATTGGGCCTTATAGTCACCCAAGTTATTCCACAGTGCCCTATGCTTATACGAAGCCAACCCTCAGGTGGAAACTGAAGAACCCTTATGAACAACACAAAACAGAAAAAATGGTAAGTTATAATAAATCATTAGTTTGTTTTCCCTATTACTTAATGGTATTATTAACCCTTTAAACCCTAAGAGTGACTAGCATCTAATTTCTCCTTACAATATCACCCCTCAATCACATATTAAGGTCATGAGAATAAAGGAAATGATCACCAATGAAAGAAGCTTTTGATCAGTAAACAAATTCTCCTTGTCAGCACCTTAGGAAATATATAAAGAACTGTATGGAGAATATGCATAATGACATTAGGGTGTACAGGTTTTAAAATGAAGGACACTGTTTGACTACCCGCTACATGTATCTAGGTGGCATTGTATATTAAAACATTTTGATTTCTGTGTCACTTTACCTGCAAACAAAGTATCTGATGACATTGGCATGGCACACATAGATTTCAACACTGTTTCCAACTTGATCAACATCTGCCCTGTGGATGTGTTTCCTGAAGGCAGCCTCAATGCGAGGACCATCTTGGAAAAACTGCTGTTCAAAAATGGAAATACCACAGAAAATAGGTTAAATCCTTGTTGTAGATTCAGGCACTACAGAACAGTAACTTATCATTTAATAAATAAGTTATTATCACTGTTTTTCTGCCCAGTACAGAATGTAGTGGCTCACTGATTAGTAGTTTAATGAAAAATTTTTGTATTCTGAGATATGTCTGAGCCTAATACCCCATTCACACCAGCAAAACATGTTTTGTTAAACTGGTTTTCATTGAATGAAAATTATAAACAGAGCACTGAAAAACTTGATTTTCCATTGGATTCAAGTACTTGCTAACTTGCATTTCCAATGTGCTACATTCAAGTCAAAAATATTCGGTTAAATAGTTTCTAAAAAGAAAAAAAAAAAATTTGAATGCGGCATAAGCCAAGATCAAAATGATGTGTTCTAAGGAAAGACATCATGATACTTATGTGCCCAGCATTCTTAGCTGCAACCTTTTTGGTCACCTTGCAAGTAGTAAAAATGTCGATGACTAAATTAGTAGCAAAGTCCCCAATTTGGTGACATGTTTACCGATGTCAGTAAAAAAGCTGTTGGCTATTTAACCCTTTACACCCTAATATCAGTGTGTATATTCTCAATACTGTTCCCCATACATTTCTGAGGATGCTAGTAAGGAGAATTTTTTTTTTAATCAAGAGCTTCCTTAGTTGGAGATCATCCATTAATATTCTTGTGACCTTAGTGTTTGATTCAGGGGCGATATTGTAAGGAGAAATTAGATGCTAGTAACTTGAAAGGTTTAAGGGTTAAAACTTGTTATGATTTCATGACACACTGACCGCTTTATCTGGTCTCCAGTTTTTTGACGCAGGGTCAGGGGGAACTGGAGACCCCTCGCGTAAAAAGCCACATGTCTCTCTCGGCACCTCTGGCAGATATTTAGCAATGATATCAGCTGTTTCAACAGCTCGTATTAAGGTAGAGCAAACCAATTTGGTGTATTTAAAGTCCAGGTCTTTAAGACGCTGGCCAGTAATGTTTGCTTGCTGCCTGAAAAAGTAACAATTATTCAATCAACTAACTTTCTCAAGATTAACAGTCCAGTTAAAGATTACCAAGTTACCCAAAATGCTCACAGCTTGCAAATCAGGGGAAAGAGAAGCTTGGTGTGTTCTTCACTCCAAACGGTGATCACTATTTTCCAGATAATAGTGGAAATAACCCCTTTACACCCTAACATCAAAGTGACTAGCATCTAATTTCTTCTTACAATATCACTACTGAATAAAACATCAAGAACAGGAGAATACAGGAAATGATCACCAACTAAAAAATTCTTGATTATCAAACAAATTCTCCTCATCAGCTCCTTAGGAAATGTATAGAGAACAGTATAGAGAATATGCATACTGATGTTAGGGCATAAAGGGCTAAGTCGTGAATTCCACAGCAACACAAGGAAACAAACAGTTCTCAGCGGTATTTTAATGATGGGAGGGTAAAGACAACTGCAGACTGTAAATATCCGCATTTTTGGCTCATTGGCTCAATTTTCAATTTTTAACAATTAGTTTCCCCATTACTTCATCTCCTACCTTCCTAGGTCCGTCAGCCTTTTATCATCATCATTCTTGGCGTCCTCGTGATACTGCCCGTGCCTTATGAAGACAAGATGGCGTATAGCTGTGGGCTTGAGCTCTTTAGATTCCTCGTCGATGCTACCGTCATCTCTCTTCTTAGGCCTCTTTGTGCCTTTCTCGCACATGTCCCAGTTGGAATCCCATCGAAAACCCGTCGGTTTGTAAAGAAGGCGGTGTTCGTATTCGTCAGGAGGGCTATATTGCGTTCCCCCTCCACTGGCACGTGCGGGATTTCTGGTCCCGTTAAACAAGATATAAGCTCCTGAAAAAGTTACCGCTGCCGAGGCAACTGCTGCGAATCTTGAAAATTTGCCTAACGCTGCCATTTTTCGCATAAATTTAATTCGAGTTCAAATAAACCGGCGGACGCTGTCACTCTCGATATCTGAATATCTTATTTCTGAGCGGTAAAACTCAAGGAAGGCTGCGTACTAGACATTAGTAACGCCTGACAGTTTTCACTTATCCTTCAATCTTGTGATAAACGTGTCACTGTATGAGTTTTTCTCGGTGGCAAATATTTTGCCAATGGCTTCAAATCTACCCGTAGAGAGCAGAGATCTTCTCCAGCCTCCACCAGAAGAGTTGGCTCAAGGTATGATTGTTATTATATTCATATGATCGGAGTATTTTTACTATGAGGACAGGTCTTTAAATTACGACCTGTCACTTCCCACATGTTATTAATTTATGCGACGAACAACCCTCGAAACAATTACCCTCTCTTTAAAGGTTTAAAAAAGTAAGGTTGTAAAAGATTCCTGCGTTTTCCACGTTCATTCATTGACCTTTATAGTGAATTAGGGATCGAAGCCCCCTGTAACCAGTTGTCACAACCAAGACCTCCATTGATAGTAATTCTCCTTACTGTCAGCCATACAGTTTTTATGATGTTAGTTCAGAGAATTTGGTATAAGATCACGTAATAATCCGCTATTTGATATTTTCTCTATTTTCTTCCCTAGTCTGCTTGATATTGTATTGATATTGTAAGGAGAATTTCTGTCTTTGTCACTGCCTAGAGTGAAAGGGTTCAAGATAAGTTACCTTTTAACTTAGCTCTATTGGTTTGATTAATCTTTCATCCCCAGGATCACAAAATCAATTCTCCTAACTGACTGATATGAATTAATACAATTTTAGCTCTGAGAATTTGGCTTTGAATCAAGAAATATTTCAAACTTGAAACTTGCTTCACCTTATTGCGAGGAGAAACTACTTATTGTTCACTCTGATAACAAGAGGTTAATGAGGATAATTCAGGCAAAGAAAAAATCTTTCTGATTCATGCAGATGAATTATGCAAGGAATTATGAGGAGAATATTTCATATCAGTGGATAAATCTCAGTCTTGGCATCATGTTAACACTCCATGCAATAATATTTTAACATTTACTTCAATCTATAGGTGTTTTTTTTTTATATTAGAGGCAGTTAGACTCCAACCTCCCCCCTTTCTCCCTTTCATGGTCTCAAAGCCAACTGAGTTCAGTGACACGTAAGCCACACTGCAGTCAATCTAAGGGGCAGCTTATTATGTGCCTAGTAAACACCACCCAAAGATGCATCATTTTCATCACAAAAAAACTGTTTATTATCAGTCAGTTCTATGCATTTCATCTTCCTTTGTTAACAGTCCATCCTTTTTTGTTAGTTCTCAAGGATGGTTTATCCAAGAATTTTTCAAATGTGGAAGTTGAAGTAGTTGATTGTCCAGATTTGAGAGAGAAACCATGGACATTGGCCGCTCCTGGTATGGTGTGAACTTAAATTACCACACAAAACAATATTGACTGAATGACTATTAACAGCTTCTTGAAATCGACACATTGAGGCATTAACTAGTAGTACTTTACAGTGGCTAACATTACTTTTTATATTAAGGTATTTGTGGCAGGGTCAGAATTGCTGATGTTGGTGGAGTGCCTTACCTTATACCTCTCCCAGACCTCTCCAAGGTAAATTGTTCAGTTGTCTTCGTGAAATTTGAATATTCATGAATCATTCAAAGAAGTATAGATTATTTGGTTCTTAATTGCCTGTAAAGAAATACACTGTGAATCATATTTCCTGCTTTTAGTTATACAATTTTGATGATGTAGCAAAAAGCTCAGATCTTCCAGGAGGATTTGTTATTGGTGCAGGAGCCGGAAGCAGCAAGTTTGTTGGAGTGAATTGTGAGGTAAAACTCAAATGTTCACTTAACCCTTTATCTCCCATGAGTGACCAAGACAGAATTTCTCCTTACAATATTGGTACAATATCAAGCAGAAAAGTAATAAGAAAAAGAAAATATCATTTAGGGGATTATTGGTTGATCTAATAACACATTCTTGAAACTAACACTCACTTTTGCTTTGTATCCTCATCCCCTCCTCCATTGTTCATCTCTGAAGTTAGCGAGCAGGTTTGAGTAATTCAGTATAAAGATATAACAAGTGTGACAATTAGAATTACTGTACTGCTGTGTAAAGGGATCACGTATATAATAACACATTGACAACAACAACAATCTTCATTTCAGTCTTAAAATAAAAGATACAGTTAGTTTTGTCCACAGATAGCTGGTGCTGATTTAAGTGGGCCAGTCTTCAAATTCTAATGGAGGTCTAATAAAGAACAGAACAAAAAAAGGATATAAAAAAAAAGATGGAAAATGAGTTACTGGAAGACTTAACTATGGAGAGGACTTAAACAGGCATTCTTAATTACTTTTCTCTCTCCAAAATACTGAACAATAAATGTAATAATTGTTATTTTGAATTTGAAAGTTTGTTTTGGTAGCTTCCTAAGAGACCATCGGTTTCTCATGTTATGGTCTAACAGCAATTCTTAAGGGATAAATTTATTTTTTGTACTACAAGGTTTCAAGGTTTATGTAGAAAATATTAGAGGTAGTTATGGTAAGTCAAATGACATTAATTACTATAGAAATGCCTTGATCAAAAACATGGGTTATCACTGATTTATGATTATCATTATAAAGTTCTTGGAGGTTTAGCTTTTAGCTTGCCCAGCCCACAAGTTTTTAACTAGTGTTATAAATGTGTTATAAATGTCTTCCAGATGATGGCAAACTTGGTCACAAACTCAGAACAGAAGGGAATCATTGCAACAAAAATTGCTAAAGTGAATGAAGAGGTAAGTTTCTATTATTTGTAGGTGTAACAAGCAAGAAAGTGGATTTTTCTAACTCCCATTCAAAAAGTGAGAGGAAAGAGGTGATCTCCAAGAAGTGTGCACCACCAGAGCAACTTTTTGTGATAATAATATGTGATATATGAATTGTGTTTTTGTTGCAGAATGGATCCTTTGTCCTGGAAGATTACAAATGTGGAGAGTTTAATTTGTTGGGTAATTTTCTTGTTAGTGATGGAAAACCAGGAAAGGTTTGAAAAGTTTGTGACTTTTTTCAACTTTCCCAAAAAGATCCTAATCGCTAAATCAATTACAAAATACAATATAGCTTATGTTTTTAGCAGAGACTTTTTTCATCGCTTTAAATAGAGATTTACGTTTGTTTCTTTTAGGTTCTGAAAGTTTGTGCCAGCAAAAGGACTGGAGATGAGAATTTTGTCACGTGCATGCGAAACACCCTGGCTGGTCGCTATGGAGACCAACCAGTGGGAATGGGTGGAGTGTTTTTAATCGAAAAAATTGTTAGGGGACAGATAGGGTGGTCGCTACCTTGTGGTTATAGGTAACGTCGCCTCCTTGAGCGTCCACTTCAGGAAGTTAGAAAAGACTGTCATAATTAGGAAACCACGACAGCTCAAACCTAAATAACTTCGGAATTCGAATTCATATATGAAATACTTTCTAAATATAAACGAAAGATAAAATCATTCTGAACTGACTGACTAACTGACTTACTAATCATAAAAAAACTTAATTCTTCATAACAATACTTCAGGGTGACGGAACTTGGGGTGACCAGGCGAGGGAGCGAAATCGCGGGTTTCCAACTTAGAAAGTACTCTCAAATACCTGTATGACAACAAAAGAATAGGGAATTTTGAGGATGATCTTGAAAATTCATCGACCCCTAAGATAAACGACCAATAGGCAGACGATATTAAAATCTGAGTGCAGATTTTATTTCAGACTTTTAAAAACTTCTTAAGACGTTTTTATTGAAAAATTCTATAACTGATTTTAAGTCTTTTTTCGGTCTGAATAGCCCAGATTTTCCCAAACCCCACTCAAGACAGACGCAGATGTGAACAATTGGCTCAAATTCTATGAGATGAGTGCCCCATTGGTTTGTGTGGGAGTCTTGGAAAGTCACGATCCTGTGAGTGTTCTTTTCTTTAATTTGTTGTCGTTATAAAGAGAAATCCTACTCAGTAATCTTCGTTTTTTGATATATTTTTATGCTATGTTTATTGAGTATTTGGCATGAGTTCGTCAATGCCCTCAAAGATCATACGTCACGACATTTTGAAAATATATATATTTTTTTTGCGCCATGGAAAACGTCCTAAAGCTACCTTCTATGTGAAGAACACTGCCAATATTTGTCAGATAAGGAAAAGCCGTAACAGGTTTGTTAAAACCAGGATGGAAAACGGTATGGAAGATTTAGACGGATTGAAAACCAACTAGAAAACAATTCAGTTCAGGGCTTCAAGATACTTGAACTGTGTCCAAAGGTTCCTTTTCACCTTAACAGGATTAATGTACGCGACGTTGCCAAAATGCTGGTGTGGACGAAGGATACAATTCCTTACCGTAGCGAACTTTCTCAAAATCTTGTCATTTTGTGTTCAGGGTCTGGACTTGCGCATTGAACACTTCCACTGCTTCAGTGATCATGGAGAAGGAGGGCATTACCATTATGACGTCACACCCGATGACGTACAATACACTGGGTTCTTTAACGTCGCTGAGAAAATTTACAGAATAGATCGACCGCTGACTACACACAATGTTGGAAGAGACTGAGGAATGGCCTAAGATCACTATTCCATATAGTGGCTAAATTTTCAAATAATTGAATATTTAAATCTGCGCTTGAAATTTTACACAAGCCCCATTACATTTTAATGTATTGTTTTGGGAATCTAACAAGATTAAAATTAGCATGGTATTGTACAGGTGAGCAAATATAATTTAAAATCTAAAAGAATTAAAGAAATTTCTACGGTTGCACTGGGGGACGCGTTTTCTTAATGTTAGCGCGCTGGATATTGGGGCTAACGCAAACAAAGGGGCATACAAAAATTTTTCCTTTTTGAAAGGATCTATTTTACTAAGTATTATTTTATGGCTTAGGCTTGTGGCCGATATAACGCGCGCTCTGATTGGTTAAGAGCGAGATCAGAGCAGGGCATTATACAGTGGTAATGCCCTCGGGCCGATTATGGATTGTGCAAACTAGAAAGAGCGCAAAATGTTAGACAAGTACCACGGCGGTTATTTTCGCTGTCTGAAAATCCGAGCGCATGAAAACGATGAAGGCCGATTGACAGCCAGAGAGAATAGACTCATTTTGATACAAACAGCTAAAGTTTTAGAAGAGCAGCGAAGGTACTATTTTAAATTACCTGTTTTAAATTACCTCGCTATCTCTCGGTCAACACGGCGAGGCCTCAGTTTGAAATTTTCCCGTAACGACCTCACTCTCGGTTGTTAAGTAGTAAACAATGACTTATTAGGACTGAATTTGAACGAAATGAATTGTGAAAGTAATTTGCTTTGTAAGTGGTATATTGCCTTGGACTGTTCTTGATTGCATGGGGTAAGTTTACATAGTAATGATTGAAGTAAAACATTGAAATGTGATATATGAATTTTAAATCAGCTGGAGAAATCTCGTCTTTGTGGAAATTACTTTTGGCTTGATAAGAATAATAAAGAGATACATCTTTGAAATTGTCAGCCTGAAAATTTATATCGTCAAAGGGCACAGTTGGAAGGGTCAGTTGGAAAGGGCTATATCGCTTTTCACGATAAAAAAATTATTACCCTTGAACTTTCAATACATTTTTTTATTGCAGTTGTTGATGTTGTAGTGGACAAAGTAGCTCCTAAAAAGATTTACCCATTAAACCCATAGAGAGAACAGCATTCAATTTCAATAATACTGAATCTGTCATAAGGATCATGAGAACGAAGGAATTGATCGAAAACTCAAGAAGTTGATGGATAACCGAATTCTCCTTATCAGTACCAAAGGAAATATACAAGGAATAGTATAGAGGAAATGGATACTGATGTTAGGGTGTAAAGGATTAAATTTGTAGTTTCTTTCTCACGATTCTCCTGCATCGTACAGGAATCATTGATGAGAATCGAAAAACTATTGATACTGGTTCAGCTGGAGTGAAAGCATTCCGGCAATGCCCTGGCCATACCTTTTATACTGATGGAACATCAAATTTCCGCCCATCTGAACATCAGCAGAAATTCTCATTTCACGTAATAAAGGTTAACCAAATGGCATAAATTCCCATTGCCAAGCTAAAAAATAAGATCAAATTTCAATATTTTATTAGAGCGGAAATGCTTTGTGAGCGTGGGAATGCCGCAACAAAAGCCTTATCGTTAATAAAATTTAAACTTTAGAATTGACACCCATAACATCCTTTTGATGGCTGATCGACATAAGTCTACCAAATGAGGAATCAGTGATCGATGCTATTTTGAACGAAAATTGTGATTATTGTTTTAAGCTGAGATGCAACCGTCAATTATGCATAGCTCTAAACAGACTGGTACCCGCTTTACGAAGTTGACTCGGCTTTGCCGGAAAAAGATCATCTTAGAATCGTAAAACCTGGGCTTGAGATCTGATTATTACCAAGAACAAAAACTGAAAAACAAGACTTCCTTCATTGCAGTTTTAAAAGCTATTCTACTCCCGACGATTCTCAGTGGTTGAACTCGTGATGTAGGTTGGACAGGTTGTGGACTGAGTTGTGAAAATCAAATTATATCGCCGTTGTTTTCATGGAAACTGAGGAAGATAAATCAGCCCTCACAGCCGAAGACGGCGATCCAGATGTGGATTTATCCAAAGATTCTAAACAAGGTGAGTGTTTACGCGATTTACGTTGCATCGCTTAAACACCAGAACACGTACTTGGCGGTATTCATCTTGATTTAACGCGTTCCTCGCGAGTCTTCACGAATAAGACGCGGGGCGGCGTGATTGAATAATTACCCACCCATGCCAAGGGAAAAGTCTGTGAATCAATTAGCTCAAGGTCAACTTATTTCCCTAATATCCATTATAGAGAGCAACTTTATCAGGTTACAAGATGTGGTATCCCGTGGGTCACAGGTTTTTCGAACTTATCACCTCCCAATGGATCCAAAAGGGTCTGCAAAAACCACCTCCTCTAGATCCGCCACTGTACTGGATGCGTCCTTGAGGACCGAGCTTCGAGGCCTCTTGTAGGATTGTAATAGACGACATTCTCGATTCATGGTGTTCGAGCAAGCTCGACCTTACTGATTGATGGAATTATTGATTGATTGATTGATTGATTGATTGACAGATATTCATGCAGAACATTCTACACAGCATCTTCTCATTCAGAGTCATGAATATTGCCCCAACAATTTTATGAAAGATTGTTGTTTGTGAATTCTTCAATATTCTTTCTTTCTCTTTCTCTAACATTATTATTATAATTTTTCTTATTTTTTCTTTCGATATAACTTTTGTCAGGAGGTAAACTGACCTACACAGTGGAAGAGGCGATTGACAAGCTTGGCTATGGACCTTTTCAAGTAAAACTTATGTTTGTGATTGGATTGGCTTGGGTAAGAGTGAAAATACTGTTATGAGACTTTTTTTAAACTTTGCTGAATGCTTTTAACCTACCGACTTACTACTTATCGCGTTCCTCTCTCTGAGTCTTAATCGTGTCCATAGTGTTATTTTTAATATAGTTCCGAATTTCCTGTTGAACACCAAAAAGTAAGAAGAGGGTCTCAATAGGATGATGACTTTTACGGCTCAGAAACGGTCAAAATTTTGGCCATTTTACGGCTAACGGTTAAGGTTTTTCTCCTTTTGATCACAGTTGATAGTTTAGGTGGTTCTCAGCCATCTTAAACAAATAAAACCAACGATATCTTCTTTAGTTGCGTTTAAGCGTATAGTCTTAACCCTTTAACTCTCAGGAGTCATTAACTTGGAACTTAACCCTATGATAACCATCCGTTCTCCAACCAGCAAGTAAGGAGAATACTCAAACTTATCAGATAGAAATTGTTATCTTGATCTGACACTAAATTCTCGAAATTCAGTTGCAAGAAAATGCAAAGCAGCTCTAGGAGAGAATTGACAATGAGATCTTTGGAGTTAAATGGTTAACAGTTAGGTGTATATGAAAACATTCTGTACAAGTGATACTATTTATCCCCTGGTAGACGTCTTTGTTAATAGCAGACATAAAGGTATCCATTAATTCTTTCAGTGAAATAACAGAAATGGAAAGGGAACCACCAGGTTCGAAATGGCAAATGCTAAATGATGTAACTGTTCAAAGTAAATATCGAAACACTGTTTTTTATTTTTAGATGGCGGACTCTATGGAAGTGACAATCCTGGCGATTGTATGTCCCGCTATAAGATGTGACTGGAATTTAGCTACTTGGCAAGAAGCTACCATTACTACGGTATAACTTTAGTTTAAAAAGCTAGGGCCGGTTATTTTCACGAGGTTTAACCCAGACCGCGGTTCTGCGCGAGCAGTAGCCTTACGAATTCTCCATAAGAGGGTTGTTTTCATCAAATAAATTTCCTTCCACTGCCCTCTTGACACTGTCCTCAAAAATACATGTTCAGGAAAAAGATTCAGGTAAATTCAAGGTAGTTTATACGCGGTTTTGTTAAACAACGGCTGAACTTTATTTAGATAACAGGCCCTGAGAATTTCCCACATTAAAACAGCCAAAATGACTATTTTTTTTAGCTGGGCAGTGTGAGTTCGCATCAAAGCTTATTTTCTAACTATGTAACATGTCTAGAAAACACTTTACATCTGTTTAAGAAAACTATTGAATCCACATGAAACTTTTGTCGCAAGGCAAATCTTGTCAAGGACTGATATGCAGACGAAAGGGCTACAAAATCAAACTTCTCTAGACCACAGATGGAAAAAGTACAACGGTTATTGCAATGTAATTTAAACCACTGAACACTACATACATGTGTGAATGTGAAATTTCTCATATTTTTGATTTTTCTCCCATATTCTGTCTCCCAGGCCGTTTTCTCTGGAATGACAGTAAGCACATGTATATGGGGCTATGTTTCGGATAACTTTGGACGAAAGAAGGTAACGTCCCTCTCAAAGTTGGTATGAATCATTGGACTTATAAGGTATACATTGAGCCGGACTCTGGACGGGTCAGCAAGAGATTTACAACGGACCAGTAATTAATCCCAAGGGGGGGTAATGTGGTAATGGGGGGGGGGGGGAATTGGGAGTAGAACTACGGCTAGTTGCTGGAATTTGAAGCCCGTAGAGACGGGAAAATACGGTTCCCTTTTACGTTTTCTCATTTTTTGTTTGTATACGTTCCGCATAGGAAGTCCTTGCTTGTACTATCGTCGTTTTTGCTGGCGGACTCCTGAGTACGTTTGCGTCGAACTACTTTTGGATCATGGCGTTCAGTACCGTAGTTGGACTGGGTATGGGGGGCGTGGCACAATGGTAGGACATGGCAGCTGCCTCTGCCCCAAAAGTTGTAGCTAAGACATCAGTCCACATAAATACTTGCTCCCTGTTTACCCCCTTCGTTGACGAAATCTCCGCCTTGGAGCACAGTTTAGTGATTAGAAAAGCGCTACCTTATCGTGAGAAAAATATTTTTCTTTACCTTCCAGTCACACACTTATTGTGCCGATAAACAATCTCACATCTGATATGATAGGGGCATCGTTTTTACTGACTACGCGTGAGGAGTTATTTCAAATAAACCTAAAGTGAGAATAACCGACAGTACCAAAACCTTGATCCCTATCAGGGTTTCTGATAGACATGAGATTTGACTAAAATAAAGTTTCTCGCCAGCAATTGAGCAAATTTACAAGCACTTAGCTAAGGTTTCTTTTAACGACAATCTGAATTTTAAAGAGGAGGCGTAAAAATATGAAAAGGCCCTCCATCCGTTTAATAAAGTTACGTAAACATATGTTTCCCATTTTCTCTCTTATGCAGTATGAATCTTTGGGCAGAGTTTCTTCCAAGCAAGCGAAGAGGAGTTCTGCTAAACGCCCTATCGGTAAATAATCTCAGTTGCCTCACATTATTCTAGCTTTTAGGGGCATGATGTTGATGTTTAAGGGTGATGGCTCACGTAAGCTGCGAATAAATGACCCGCTATATTTTGAGAGACAGTAGAGCACACACCAATAACAATGACTCACCCTCCTCCTCCTCCCCCCTTCTGCCGCACATACACCGCCGTCAATCCTTCCAGTTGAAGAGAACCATCGTTTTTTCGTTTCGCTCCTTTCATTTTCTTTTCTCTTTGTAGTTGTCCTGGTCCCTTGGATCTTGTTTGGAAATTCTCGTCGCGCTTGTAGTGATGCCCACGCTAGGCTGGAGATGGCTGTTTTTTATCTCATGTCTACCTTTGCTTCTTTTTATATGCTGTAGCACGGTGAGAAAAACTCAGTTTTAAAACGAGCGTCTTGTAGCAAACATCGACCGACCTACGTATACTATGTGGTTAGTTTTGACACTAGAAGGACCACTTGTATGCCTATGAGAATTTTTCCCGCTCTTAGAGTATAAAAGTCTTAACAAATGCCTCTAGTCTTCAACTAAACGCTTGGTTCAATTAAAGAAAAAATACACTCAGGAACTTTTAATAAGGATGCAGAGTTTATTTCAACCATTCCATAACGAATCGATCCTTCCATGGCCTTGGAATCACTTTAAAAACGAAGTCGGGAGATTAAAGATTAAAGAGAAACTGTTCTTAAGGCCATTTGTAGTTATAGAACTTCATTAAAAGATAAAATAAAAGTTAGAGAAAGCCCAATACAATATTTCTTTAAGGGAAGATATCAGGTAAAAAAGGTATCTGAGAACCTGAGCTGTGATTGGTTAGTATGGTGGCCAGTCATGTGATACCACGTTCACTTCTTCGATTTACAGCGACAAAAATAATGGAGCACGCAAACACACCATCAAAATTCTTCCCTAAACACTTGACAACTATTTTACTTCATTTTCTGCTGCAGCTCGTCCCAGAATCTCCTCGATTCTATATGGCTGCAGGCAAGCCAGAAAAAGCTTTGTGCATTTTGCAAAAGATTGCTAAAGAAAATGATAAGGAGTTGCCTCCGGGAGAACTTATCGCCACAGAACAACACGAGGTACTCATTTGAGTCTTAAAAAGCCTTTCCTGAACTTGACAAAATTTCAAAAAACTTATGATCAGAATTGTTATTTTCTTGCCTTTTCAATCAGTGTATCAGGAGATCGCTTTTGCAGTACTTTTGTTTTCAGTTGCGCTCGCAAACAAATGTGACAAATACACCTTTTGAAGAAAGTGTTTTCTTAGAAATCTAAAACACTCTATTTCTAAACAGTCATATATAGGTGATTAAGTGAGAAAGAATCTGACGTACGCTTTTTTTTTGAGGTTCTTTGTTTTCATTGCAGGTTGCACGAGGAAGGATAACAGATCTATTTTCTCCTGCATTTCGAAGATCTACTATTTTGTTGTGGATTATCTGGTGAGACTAATTTACTTTACACCATATCCAGCCTTAGTTTTAGGAAGAGGAACTTTAATACAGCACCCACTCAAAGGATTGAAGGAGAATTCTTTAATCCAATTTCCAGTTTCTACAAAGTTCTATTCAATCCGTTTTTGTGAAGAAAGAGGTGACCAGACTCAGTTCTCCTTATTAAAAAGAAAAGTTTATGACGGTTCATTTTTTTTCAAGTTTTGTTTTTTAAGGATCGCTTTCATATTCATTTCAGTTCTGATTTTTATACATTCACAGTCATTTATTCATCACTTCACGGGTTTATTTGGAACCAACATAATGATCAACTCCGAGTTGGCTTGTTAGCTTAGTTGGTAAAGCTTCTTTTCTCTTCCAGGTTTAGTAGTCATTTTGTAATATACGGAATAGCGCTTATAACTACAGAAATGTTCTCAAGGGTGGACCCTTGCAGAGGTGACTATGTTTTCATAACTCATCGCTTCTTCATTTAAACTTCTATCAAAAAATTTTGGGTAGTTTTAAAAGAGAAACTCGTCAAGAAGAATCTCTAACATAGGTTATTATTAACTCGTTTAAGTTTGCAGTTCTTGACTATCGCGTTGTATAAGTGATATAAACAGCGCATTGAAAGCATGTGAAAGCAAATGAAATGTCGTGGAATGTGAGTGTTGAGATGTCGTTCTCGATATAATGTCTTACCAAAGAAATTCAAATCAGGTAACTCCACAACCAAACTTTTTTATCGAATAACAAACATACATTTTTACACAAAATAACCTTGTGGCAAATTTGAGAGTAAAACGGGCTTAGTGGGCTCAGAGCCACCCTAAATTTTTCCCCTCATTATGTCAGTTGATATTTAAAAACCTATATATTGGCAGGTATCAATTCGGAGGGGGTCCACGCTGCAAAAGAAGGTTCTTCTGATACTTCACACTGCAAACAATTAGATTATGAAGACTACGCCAATTACTTTATTGTAATGTCTGGTGATCTCCTAGGTAAGTAGTGCACACTGCAAGCGATGACCCGCCCCCACCCCCTCCCCCCAGTAACAACCTGCAAAAATCTAGGGACAGAGAGTGGATTGGGATAAATCAATTCTTTCCAAGTTGAACACTATTTACCAATGGACGGAAACAGGAGCCCATCATTAGGAGCCTCTATCTCCCATACTAAGCCTTAGAGTCAACCCTTTCCCAAGAAGATCTATCAATAGAAAGGCTCTCAGGTGATGTCTGGAGGTCTAAGACCCGATCAAAACAGAGCTATGACAATCCTATTGTTTTACGTCAAACATCCGCTCACATGTATTGAGCAGCGAATCAGTTTTTGCGATTCGCGGTTGACTCAGCGGAAATAAACTTTCCGCGGGATTGACTCAAGGAATCCGTAGAGATAGAGGCTCTCGTTGACGGGCTCCTGACGGAAACAAAAGTTTGTTTCCCAAGAATCCGAACTTTAATTATTTATTATTACTGATTATTGTCCTTTTTGAATGCATTTACATTGAAAAAAAAACGGTTCCTTACGCCACACGACCTTCTTTGGCTTTTATCTATAAGATTAGATCGAGATTCATCTTAAAGAGAAACACACTTCCATTCTAGAGACTATCAAAAGAATATAATGGGTTAAACAAATCCCAAGGCCAGGACAGGAAGTTTCTGTCAAAGTTGTCTCTCTTTCCCTTCTTAAAGATTAGAACATCGCATCTCCTTTAAAATCTAGGCCAATCGAAGAAGTTTTTTCTTTTTTTTTAACAGCGATGAATCACTTCTAAATATCGCGATTTTTCTTATCTACATTTTACAGGATTAGTGTTTATATTTTTCATGGTGGACAAAATAGGTAGAAAAATGGTTCAATTCGTGGCTTTCTTGGGGAGTGCAATTTTTCTAGCAGCCTTGTTCATTTGCACAAGAAGGTTAGTGATGGAGCCAGTTGTCACATGTTCCTATAATGAATAAAATGTATGATATTTTTGACCATGTGGATGAGATGTGGCCAAAGACGAGCTGATCCTCTCAGCAAAACTACAATAGAAGAAATTTCAGAAAAAGCAGTTTAAAAAAAAAATCGAGCTTCGACGGGATTCGAACCTGTGCTTCCCAACTGCCTGTTAGTCGCCTCTACCAACTGAGTTACGAAGCAACACGTTAGGATAAAGAGTCACTAACACTGGGCGGAGTCCTGGGCACAAGCTAATGTGGGATGACCATCACCCAGAATAAAAAACTGCACAGTTCCTGAGTTTTGAATTTTGAATTAAGCAATGGAGGACTTGTTCCAAGTTTATTTCCAACAAGAGGTGTTTGGGGGGATTTTTTTCGAAAGTTAAGCAGTCTCAAACTCTTCCAGCAGCCTGAGTCTTTGGATTATGCCATGGAAACACAGAAAAAAATTCCTCTCTGCTTTTAGAGAATATTTCTTACAAATGCGCACGAATCTTAAACGCCAAACGGCCCCACATATGCTCATCCTCACACAACTATCGATCAATGGGGACGGGCCAAAGGTCTCAATTACTTCTTCAACCGAGATTCAAATGAAACTGCGGAAAATTTAATGAAAAACAATTTGCCTGTCCTCACACACTAGCAAAGGAAGAAAAAATTGATGTCATTTTTTTCATTGGCAGTCGTTCATCGACAACGCTATTTTTGTACGCCTCCCGAATGTTCATCAGCATTGCTGACATGTGCGGCTATGTATACACACCGGAAGTGTATCCCACGAGCATGCGCGGTATCGGATTGGGCGCATGCTCAGGTGCGGCGAGGATCGGCTGTATGATAACTCCATTTGTTGCCATGGTGAGTAAAGTGACGTAAAAGAGAAATCGATACTCAGGAAATAAAAAAGTAAAATATTCATGAAACACTTGAAGGTGCAGTTGTTTGCAACCTGTCGAGACGATGTTTTCGAAGAGTTTTAGGTTTGGCTAAGCTCCTTAGTTTAGGCGGCATCTATCAAAGGGTATAACACATTTGTTGTCCAATAAAACATTAAAAAAAAACACCTCTAGACTGGTTTCTCGAGAATGTGTAGAGTAAGGGAAAGCATTTTCTGCATTTGCTTATGATTCATATGGTAATCGTTAAAAATTTTCTGAAATTTCTGAAATAAGAGATTCTGTACTCAAAGGCTTAAACTAAACATTCATTGTGTTAGTTAAAGTAAGACAAATTAATGTTTTATTTGTTAAAAAAAAATTTTTCAAAAGTACAGTCTAAATGACACGATGATTTTTGTCTCAATTAGTTTTTAAATAATGGCATTTATTTGAGTCTTTCCATCATTTTTCAAGGACACGTGATGTCTTTTATGGCATTTCTTCCATCATGGTATTTAACAGTAAGCGCCTGTTTGCTCTTTTTCATTGTCTACAGGTTCTAATGCCACACTCCATTCTACTATCACTCAGTTTCTACAGCGGTTTTTCTGTTCTGGGCGTAGTCACTGTGCTTCTTCTACCAATCGAGACCAAGGGACGGGCTTTACAGGTAAGAAGGACAAGATAGACATATCTTTTTTGGCGACGAAAGCTCTCTTTAACCGTAACAAACCTAATTTCTACTCATTATTATTGATAAGATATCTCTCTCAATTAGTTTGTAAGTCGATATAATTTTCATTTTTTGAAGGAAACTTCTTTTAATCATAGTGTTCTATAGTTGATTGTTACAGCACTATACGATTTTCTTCCGGAGTCCCCCGGAAGCTTTAAAAGTCTCAACTGGCACTTAAAAAACCCAGCCAAGATCTGAATAAGATTCCCTTCACTATCGCCTAAAGCCCTGTAAAATACCAAGTTTTTACTGAGCTTTATACGCTCATGTTATCAGGATATACACGGCTTAATGTGCTATCTTTGAATTTATTGCAGGATTCTTGACAAGAATATATTTGGCTAATGTAGCGAGAAAAGGAAGTGACAACTTAGCTTAACATTAGGTGTCAATAGGTGTACTGTTTCAATGTCAACAATTCTGCGCAAGATTCAGTTTGCAACCGTGGCACTTATTCAACAAATCATGAGACAATAACATCTGCTATGAATGAAAGACATTACATCGTGATACGCTGGTAACTTTTTTGCTGTTTCTTCTTAATTGAAAAGAAAAAAAAAGTGTACGCTATTTGTACATACGATAGAAACAGAGCTGTGTTGATGTCGAGTTCGATAAAGTACAAATTCGCTCTTTTATCTCATGTTTTGTTGACCAACCAGGCATCTCATTGTGATATGGTATTTCAAGGTGAAAAAGGTAAAATCTGTATTTTCTCATCAAAATTCCAAATTTTTTTGCACGATGTAAAGTTGGCTGATATCAAGCTAATACTTTGCTCTTTTTTTCCCTTTCAAGTAATTGGATCTAAATTTCGTTAACTATTACAAATTAAACTTTTATAATTGATTTGGTATTGAGGTTTTCTACTTTTTACGGGATAAATACCTTCTTTTAAGACTGGAGAGGCTATACGAGGGCCTCATAACTTTTACGGCTAACAGTTAAAAACTTTGGCCGATTTACGGCTAACGGTCATCCGAATACCACAACCAATCAAAATTAATCCGAAATGCACCAAAATATCGCACACCGGTCAATAAAGGGCAGATGATTTTTAAAAAATTAATTTTGAAAATATCAATTTGCCTTTGCGCAAGACTCGCCTTAGTTTTTTGCAAAAAATCGTTTAAAAAGATAATGATTTCGAGCTTTGTGGTTGGTGTCTTCAGTACGCCACGCTCCCCCCTTCTCTCTTCCCTTCCTAATTGTGCTGTATGGCCCCAACTTCACTGTCGACAGTAAGTTTAATTACGAAAAGACAGTTGAATAAATTCTTTGCTCAGCTCGTGAAATCAAGGCAGTGTGAATGAGTTAATTTCAGAGTTACTTCAAAATAAAAACTTAACCTTTTTTTTTTGCATTCTTTTCAGATTAAGATAGTAAGATTAATAATTGCACGTTGTGTATAAAGGAAAACATTTTACTTTGCAAGAAGGTTATGTTTCATTGTCCAACTTAATTGACAAACTGGCTATTGGGGTTTTAAGTAAGCTTACATCAATTACGTAAACGGAAACTCATTAAACATGAAATTCAACCTTGCTATGATCTAAAATAATTTTTTCCTCTTAATATTTTGATTAAACTGCCTTCGCAACTTGATTCAGATTTTTCGTATCATGCAGATTAAAACGTGCTTGATACCTATGTTCTGAGAATGCAAACTTAACAACGAAGAAATTGAACTAGGAACTCTGTCAAAGTACGTTCATAGACTAATTCAAGAGCGCAAAAAGCCGGTCTATTTCCTAGTAAAATATTTACAGTCTCGATATCAACTATCAATTTCATTAATGCTGTTTTCCCATGCTGAAAAACGTTTATAAAAGATTTGCTCAGAGTATCTTGCACAAAACCGCTTCAGAAGTTTTTAGTCGCTGTAGTTTGGGGGTGCGAGCTGAGAAGATTCGAAAAGATGAAAAATTTGGTCCTTGTTTTCCTGGTGCCTTTGATATCCTGTCGAGCGCTCCTTTTTGGAGACGGTAAGACTTTTTTTTTTTTACAATATCTCACGAGTTAGAATATATCAAATTCTCTGTGAGCCATGTTTTGAAATTCATTTGTCTCTCGATACAACAACTCCAGCTTATTTAACTTTTCGTTCCATATCTTTCTCTTTTTCTTTCCAACTCAATTTATTTCATGTTCGGAAATACTAAGTGTATTATATGTTTCTCAGCTTTATCCCAGTCACCCGTTTTTTCAATGTAAAAGTTCAAAATTCTCGTTTCTATGTCTTGCTCTTCTTTCCAATCCTTTTCATCTCTTGTACTTTATTTTCTTTGTTCCTACTTACAGATTTTGCACTGAAATACATAGTATTACACCTTATTCGATAGTTGAATGTATAACACGGACGGATATTTTGCGAATTGCATGGTATCATTCTATATTGTTATGTTATTATCACTAAGTCATGACCAAAAAAATATATAGTACATAAAAATTTTGTTCTTTAAGAAGCAAAAACTTAAAAAAAAATGAGAGAAAAGTGGTCACATTCTGGACCATTTAGCGCGGCCATTTTGTTGCTCTGCTTTCCGCCCATATTTTGCCCTGTTCTACAGTGTAATACCGTAGAATATTTTGCGCGTCCCTTATGTGGTAAAATGACGCAATTGCGGAACGATAAGTCACGATGTTTTAAGTTTTCATCGTTAATTAGAACTACCTTTGAATAAAATGAATCCTTGAAAAAATCATTTACTAAGCTAGACGAACACCAAAAAGGAAAGGAGAGGCCCAAAAAGGAACAAAAACAGTCCAGAATGTACAAGAAGAACAAACTTTGCGAATGATGAGCTTGAAATATTTGGGCCAAATTACTTAAGATGCCTAAATTGTGACCTTTGTCTTTTCATCTTTCCTGCTGTTAAATCGTTTACTCCTTTAATAAAAAAGATTTGTGATTAGTTTTTTAAAAAGCCAATCGCCAAATGCTTTCATATGAATATCTCTGAAGGCTTTCACAAGCTCCTAATTTCATGAATCTTTGTTGTTGTTGTTGTTTTTTTTTTTTTCATTTACGCAATTTTTAATTGAGTGTCGAGATTAGTTTGGAATTGCTTAAGGTTTTGCTTTACTTCGCTCCGTGATTGGTCCAGAAAAACTCGCGTCACTCTCTCAACCAATCATATGCAAAACTAAGACGAAGAATCACAATTAGTTTGAAATCACGTGGGCTCTTCAAGGTATATTCCTCTCCTTTGATTAGCGACTGTAATTACTTTGGCTCTGGTTTTACGACACTCAGTCAAAATGCGCTCTATCCAAGGTGCATCTCGGCCACTAGCTTTTTCCATTCCTTCCCGTATTGTGTTATGTTTCGCAGGGTGTTTAAATACCGTATTTCCTCGAAAAAGTGTGCGGGTGCTTATTTAAAATTTCGGCTAAATGAAGGGCGCTTACAGGGAGGAGGGCGCTTATGAAGAAATTATTAACCTGTTCTGATTCCTTTGCATTCGAATCTTTTTCGAAAGTTATAAATAAAGTGGCAGTAGAAACAGATTTTCATTGTGTCCCTGACTATTTAAGAAAGTGGGGAGTAAGGGGAAGGGGGAATCTATCTGGGGGGCACTTGTTTGATATTATGGCCGAGCGGGTGAGCGATTGTTCATGAGAGGGCGCTTATTAAAGCGAAGACGCTTACTCAAGGAAATACGGTAAGTGGGAACCTTGATTTCTCTTGGAAGATTTCTTTCTTTCCAAACCTCGCGCAAAATGTTTGTTCTTTCTTGGTATTCGTTTGTTTGTCTGATCCATAGAAAAGACCAGCTGAACTTATCTCTAAAACTTTGGCCAAAAACATGTTTTAAGAAAAAGAAAACTATTCCAGGTGGTCACGTGTCTAAGAATACTTTTCTCTTTTGCCTTTCAGAACCAGTTGCAAAAGTTGAGCCAACAGAAGAAATCGAACCTGTCCCTGAGGGTAAGTGATAGAAAATTCATCATTCCTTGTAGCAGTCATCTTTCGAATTCTAGTTAGCCGACTATTCATACATTTATTCATTTGTTATTTGTTTTATCCTTTCCTTCATTCTCTCATTCATCCATTCATTCTTTCATATATTTATTCATTCTTTTTTCTTTCTTTCTTTCATTCCCTGATTTATTCATTCATTTATTCATTAACCCATTCATTTGTTCTTCAAGTAATTCACTCAATCATTGATTTGTAATTCACTCTCATTTTTTTATTTATTTATTTATTTACAAATTCATATGCTCATTAATTCATTCATTCATTTATTCCCTTATTTTTTTTCATTAATTTACTAATTCATTTACCCATTCATTCATTCATTCATTCCCTCATGTTTTCATTCAGTTATTCCGTCACTCAGTCAAGTCCCTAACTTCCTTCAGTCTCTCAGTCAATAGTTAATCATTTAGTCATGCCTTTATCCTTTCATTGCCTCCGTCCTTATTTTTTCATTAATTTACTAATTCATTCACCCATTCATTCATTTATTCCCTCATGTTTTCATTCAGTTATTCCATCACTCAGTCACTAAGTCCCTAACTTCCTTCAGCCTTTCAGTCAATAGTTAATCATTCAGTCATTCCTTCATCCTTTCACTGCCTCCGTCCTTCTTTCATTCATTCACCACTTTTTTACCCTTCCTTGTGCATGTACTTGATTGCGGGCCATTCACATCACAACAATATTCAATTTTTACTTAGGGATTACGTTCAGCCCTGTTGGATGTTTCAGAGACAAATTTCACCCACGTGCTATGCCTGAACTGCTGAAGAACTTCCGTGGGACTATTGATTGGTCAGACTTGTCAAAGACAGTACAGAAATGTGCGGATGAAGCTATGAACAAGCGTGAGTGGGAATTGTTTGTACTGTCACCGGCGCAAAGAGCGCAAAAAAGGCAATTTTAAAACTCGACTCGGTTTACTTTTTCAACTAAGTAAGTCCTCTGAATCTCTGAAATCATACATTTATTTTTGGCAACTACATCTCCGGGCAACACCATAGACTTTGACACCATTTACCTCATGTCGAAGGAAAACGCGTTTGCTCAGGTCCCATGACTGATCTCAATTTTGCATCTGCTTGGGTGGCGCGAGTTGTCTAATCCTATCACAAAACCGAACCAATCCAAAGTATTCCTGCGTTACCTTAATGTTATGCTCTTCATTTCAACAGGCCAACAGTATTTTGGAATCCAGTATTATGGAGAATGCTGGGGAGGAGAGGAAGCAGACCTATCTTATAAGCAGTATGGATCCAATCCTGCTGGTTGCTATAACAACATGGTCGGTAAAGCTTGGCACAACTTCGTCTACAAGTTTAACAGTAAGTATAGGGATATTTGGAGCCCTTATTCTAGTCTAGAGAATGATTTGAGACCGTTATTCTTTCCTTAAGAATGTTTTGGGGCTCTGTCATAGATATTTGGGGCCATTATCCCTGATATGATGTGGGGCCTTCATTATTGCCTTAAATATGATTTGGGGCCCTGTTCTGAATATTTGAGACCTTATTCTAGCCCTTTGAATGATTACGAAAAGTTTAGCTCGGTATCTTTAGTGGCAGAAATATGTATCACTAGCGCCGCTACACTGTTGAAATACTTAAGGGGGTAAGTTTCAAAAGAAACTGTGGTGCTGCGTCAGTGGGAGATTATAGCTGCGTAATTTAGTATTATTAGCTGAGTTGATAATGTAAACTAGCCATCGTAAAGAGTTTCAAAGCTGAATTTTCGAGCGTTAGACCTTCGTCTTAGTGAATGAAATACCTAGTTTTGTTAACTTTTGTATTTAGCCATTGAAAGGCGACCTTAAGATTTGAATGATTATCCTTGGGCCATCCAAATAGCTTACAATGGGGGAAACTCTGATGAAGCTGCAGTGGTTAATAGAATATGTAAGCGTCCAATCAAGATGAAATTGTTTTGAGAAACAGACATCGATTGGTTTATTGGCCCTAGTTCTATGAGCTTATAGACAGCGGGTTGAATAAATCAGTGAATCATAATCCCAGTGTTAGGTTTCTTTAACATTTGAGGGAGATTTTGTCAAAATTTATCTGACTTTAATTCACTCTTTTTCATTTTGCAGTACCTGGAGCAGATTCAGAAGAATAAAAGGAAAATCTCGGCACTATAGCCAAAACTTATTATTCAGTCGTAGAGTGTTCTAATGTAACTCGACTGATTTCTCATTACCAAATGAGTGTTAAAGAATAAACATGTGAAAAAGCTTAAAAAGCATGATATTTCTTTCGGTGTGGTTTTTTTTTCCTTTTTTTTCTGTTTCAACTGAATTATAAATTTAAAACTTTTGGGCAATGAGTGGTATGAAATGACATAGGTTTTTCATATTAAGTCTCAACAAGGTCTGAAGCTATATTCGTCTCTGTCTTTGTAACTTTTCAAGCTAAAAATTGCCCCGAGGTTTTTTGTGTATTTTAACTCCCACATTGTTTTGAGGAAGAGGATGGAATCACTTAGTCAGATTTCCAAAATGGACGAAACACCCAATTATACAATAGTTTGAAGAGCAAACAGTCTACATATAATTAATGACAAATAATTTGTCCCTCAGGGTGAAATCGGCTATCTATAATCATAACACATTCAATCACTAGTTTCGCGAAACAGAAAAAAAGACAATAATTCCAAAATACTGAGCTCAAAATAAGAGGCGGGTGTAATTAAAATTCGTTATAATTAAACTTCTTTCTATTTGCCTGGATATTTTTCGCGAGTAAGAATAGATGCCCTATTTCAACCATCAAGGTCGATAGAATCCAAAACGAAACGCTTTTCGACTGAGTTTCATAAAATGAAAATCATAGTAAGCGCAATAGCCAGTCATAGGAAGGAATATATCAAGAGATCAAGAGGAGCTAATGAGAACTTGATCTAGCAACAAGCAAACTTTATAAAGCGGTCACCCACGAGAAATGGCGTGATGACCGCTTAATAAGGGTTCCACAGATTAGGGGTATTATAAACAACGATAAACAACGCCACTTTACGGCATAATCATAGCCATTACAAATTCCTCAAATATTATTGGTGCATTCGCAGCTTCATTTTTCATTAATCATTTTGTACAGTTGTAATCGGACAGTTGGCTGTAATTGGACACCTTGTAATCGGACAGTTGAAGCAGCCAATCACCCTAAGTCCACTTAGAAGTGATCAAAATAACCATAGCAAAAACCACTTATCCAAAGAAAAACTGGAGAATTTTCCAAAATGAGGGAATTTTTAACTAAACACATTGTCTCCAATGAGAATATTTTTCTAGGTGTATTTGTTTTTTCGGAAATTGAAATGGTTATGATTAAACGGAACTCAGACGACCGCGAAGCGGGAGTTCGATTTGTTAATTATTAACTCGTATGATTACAGACCGAATTGGACTCCACTCGGTCCTATTACCATTATTGATTGACCAGTTAGTGTACAGAATCTCACTAAAAATACCACTTACTTTGATTTTGGGAAAGAGAGAGAAACATGGATTAAAAACTGCTTGAAAGATTATTCTTAGTTAAATTTGACTGGGTAAGCTTTCAGTGACCGTTTAATGCTGATGGAAGACAATTTGTACAGGCCGTTGTGACTTAGTAAAGGGTGACCGCGACCGTTTGATAGAGGCGACCGCTTAGTAGAGGTGAAAATTACACTGAATAAGGGGAAAAAATTCAGGACTTTGACAATTAATCGCTTAATACAGGGTGACCCCTTAATATGGTGTCGCTTAATACAGGTACGACTTAATGTTTCTCATGTCCTTTATTAAAGCTTCCAACCGGCTAATCCTTCCTTTACACCGTATGAATTCTATATTGCTGTTTAACTGCTCCACTACAAAAAGGATATTTAAGATCTGATGACAGAAGAGGGGCATTTTTCCACATTCTCCGCAATAATGTCCATAATCCTATTCTCCACGAGCTCGAAATCGGAACCTTTCTCTTTCTTCTCGCCTGACACCATGAGGACCAATTTCTTGACGCTGTTTGCGCTCCTCCATTTCCCTCTCGTGTAATTTTCCGCCATTACTAAGGGCCCGTTCTCGTTGTCTTTCTCTGAACTCCTCACGTTCACGTTCCTTGTGTCCGTGGTCATCGAAACGCTCTCGCTCCCTCTCGGCTTCTCGTTCGCGCATGTGCTTTGGAGGATGTTTGGATCGCTTGTTATGGCGAAAGTGTTCCTCAGATTCAGGAATTTCCCATTCTGTAGCCATGTCCTCTCCGTCTCTTTTCCTTTTCAAGGCTGATTCTTCCTCGTTTTCTTCGAGTTCCTCCCTCGATCTCTTATCCTCAGCCAATTCACGCTTATCTTCACGTTCCTCAGCCAATTCACGCTTATCTTCACGTTCCTCAGCCAATTCCCGCTTATCTTCACGTTCCTCAGCCAATTCACGCTTATCTTCACGTTCTTCAGCCAATTCACGCTTATCTTCACGTTCCTCAGCCAATTCACGCTTATCTTCACGTTCCTCAGCCAATTCACGCTTATCTTCACGTTCCTCAGCCAATTCACGCTTATCTTCACGTTCCTCAGCCACAGTTTCCTCCAACTCTTCTGCTTCTAACTCCCGTTTAGAGTTCTCCTCGAGTTCTTCATCAAGTTCTCTTTCTGACATTTCTTCTTCTTCCTCAGGGAATTCATGCTCCATTTCCTCATCAGGCAAATCTCTCGCCGGTTTCTCTTCAAGGTCTCTCTTCAAATTCCGATAAAACATTTCCAACCCATCTTCCTCTTTCAGTTCCCGTGCACCTTTTTCTTTTGGTATTTCTTTTATTTCTTCAGGAAGTTCCCTTTCCAGAAGCTCCTCATTACTGAGCTCTTCCCTTTCTTCGTTTTCTTCCCTTGCAGTCTTTTCGAATGCAAGCTCCCTTTTCAGCCTCTTTAAAAAGTTCTTCAAACTCTCCTCGTCACGGAAGTGTTCAAATTCTTCCCGTACCGTGTTTTCATTCTCTTTTTCTTCCTCGTTCTCCTCTTCTCTTTCTGGAAACTCTCTTTCTTTTAGTTCAAACTCCGGAGGAATTATCGGAGGAAGGTGTTCTTCTTTCTCTTCTTCTAAATCAGTGCCTCTAACGTGAATTTCATTCTCGACTGGAGCTGAAGAAACCAGTATCAGAACTGAACATAATAGATGTGTGGCTTGGATAAGCACCAGAACTAAAAGAAAAATGCAAACACAGAAAGAAGTGAGTCGATCATCGCGTAAGATATAAGTTTAATTTTGTGGTGACGACCACAAAAGAGGGTGAACAAAAGACGGTGATATCAAGCTGGGAGAGGGCGGCGTAAAGAATATGCAATTATAACGCTGGCCATGAAATATTCATTCTTTTTTTCCAATTTATTTCTTTTCCACATTGCTGCTATCATATAGGGTTTAATAAAACACTAATCCGATGGAAATGAGAGACTCAGCAATCAGGGTCTAATGGTGACACGCAATAATTTTTTAATATGAAAATTAATATTGTTAATGTCATAATTACTGTCGTAATTTTTCTGTGTTTTGCTTCATTTTTTTTCAGCCATTGGTGAGTTAAATCTATTTGACAGGCAAACATAAGTAGACCTGATTAATGAATACATTAAGTGTTCAGAGCAGCAGGAGTCAGATTTTTCTCATTTAAGTTGAGAAGTTGAAGCTTTAGAAATCTGATGAATCCGTTGCCGTCACTGTTTCCGGTGTGTTAGTTGTCATATGGCAAATTGGAGCAAAAATGATTGACGAAGAAAACCTCCAGTATGGTACAGTTTTATCAAAAGGGCACAGATACGCAAAATGTAAAAACGTGTCGACAAAGCAAAAGGTGGCTGGCATAAGTAACAAAATAATAAAAAAAAAAGTTCTTGCTTATCCTCTGAGCAATTAGTTATGAACAATTAATTTCTTATAAGTTATCGTGCGTATTTTTGGTTCAGTTAATATTGTTTGTCTGCTTTTAATCTTAAAAAACCATTTAGAAAGTTTGTATATTGAGGACAACTCTTAATATGTGTAGGAATATCCCCTCTCCGATGATTTAAAACCTGACTTTAGACAGTCAAATTTCCCCAACCTCCGTAAGCTTTTACGAGCTTCTCTCCTCTATCGGCTTTGTTCGGAATTTTTTGTTTGTAGTCGACGAAACTAAGAGAAGAAGCAGGCTGTGTCTAGAACCTACGACAGCTCTGTCAGCCCCATGGGGAAACCTATTTTCAGACGTAAAATTTTTGTTCACTCTCACTGGTAATACCTTTCCCAGCAAGAAATCGTCGGCAGAATTTATACTTAATAATATGTTGCTAAACAAATTTTAAAAAAATCACGTTCAAATGTATCCGAAATTTTTTTTTTTCTTTTTTTTTTTTCCTAACCCTTACCACAGAATCATGTCGAAACTGTAATCTTGACAAGACACACAAATAATATTCACGGCGAAAAGTATCGAGAACAAACTTTGAAACATCATGTTTTTTTTTTTTTTTATTTTTTTTTAAGTGACGCGTTTTTTAGAGGAGGAACATACCTAGCAAGGAACAGTTTCCAAAAAAAAGCCAATCCACACTAAAACAAGCAGTTTAAATCTGAGGTTGGCATCTATTAATCGAAGATAAAATTGATTGCTTTCGAATTTTTAAATTGAAGAAAATAAAGATATAAAACACGTTCGATAAGAACCGGAAAACAGCTAAAAGGCCAAAATTTGGCCGTTACTGTAATGTAACATCCACCTTTTGAGTCAGTGAAAAGCCTTGAAAACAAATATCCGTTTGAGAATGAAGTTGCGTTTTCCTGAGGCCATCGTTTTAAATTTTGACTGGCGGAAATAAACTGTATTTCTACATTTGAGGGAAAAACTCAAAAATTTTTACATACCTTTCATCTTAACGTCGAAAGATTGATTTGAAAGAAGATTTCCCCACCGCGACAACTAAGACCAAGTGAAACTGTTCCCGACTGCCAGTGGTTTTCTAATTTTAAAACGGTATAAGGCGTGGGATGATACATCAACTACAAAAGGTGATTCTAGCGTAGTTATAAATGAAGCAAAACCAGCTGGTATCATTCCCATCAATTTACATTAGGTCCTTTGTTCGTTAAATTACGATTTTGGCGAAAAGAGCGGAGAAACACTTATGGGCCAAATAATTTGCAGTTAGTTATTAGTATGTGGTAGTTTGTTTGTCATGGGAACTCGAAAGATGTGCGTCAAAAATAGACTAGTTTTCCGTAAGACGTCCTAAAAATGAGTAGGAAAAAAAAAAGAAAGATTTTTTGTTACATATTCTTCTCAGTTTTATTATCCTGGATAGCTTTAACTGCATTTATTATTCATGACGGGAGGAACAAATTTTCAACAGCGGCAAAATCACACCCTGAGGGAGTATTTTTCAGATCGAAACTTCACGATTTTACCAGCAAGGGGAATGAAATGTTGCCATTTTTTTAGGTTTCATTAGTTCAATTACATGTAAAATCTCTTTGACTCTGATGGCAAATTTCCACTGAGACATCTGCAATCCATTTGAGAGCAAAATTACGGAAAAGATTCATTTGAGAGAAAGGACTATTCTAGGCATCGTTGTAAGTGCATATGAAATTAATTTATTGTAACATTACAAGTAACGTTGGTACTTAACAACTCCTTTTTATCCTATATTTAAATCACAACACCTCTTACAGTAATGACGACTAAAGCTAACCATAATAAATCACGTTCACGTTCATGTTCAGCCCGCGTATTAACGCAACGCAAACATTTATAACGTGTGCGCCTTCAAATTGTTTACCCAAAGGCGTAAACAATATCAAAGGTTTTGCACGCACATAATCGTGTAATACATCATGATTTTTGAAAAGAGCGTTGATTATCATGGCAAATAATTTTGTCAGTACTTGTTAAGGGGTTAATAACTGCTTTTGGCAATAAGGTATACGTGTTAATGAACTGCTTTGTGCCCTTTAAAAGAATCCTCTAACTTATTAAAAGAAATGGAAATTTTACATTTGTCAATCTTCTTCGTAAACGAAATTTTGTAACCGTCCGTCTTTCTTCACTTCCATCTCTTGTCGTAGATTTTCCGTAATGAAACATTGCAATTTTTACACAAAATTGCAAGTTTACAATTGAATTAAATGAACCGATGGTACTTGTAAATGAGACCAAATTCACCTTCATGAATTTCACCATATTGACATTAAAAAAGACTGGAAAAGTCTAGTTAAGAGATTCGACGTTTTGAGTGGCCTAGAAATGTTACAGAGAACCATTGCATAGTAATGGCTTGGATAAATGTGACCCCTCATTTTGATTCCAGCAGAGAAGTTTTATGAGGTTACATCTGGGCATGCAGCCTAGAACAGATGGCCAATCATATTGTGAGAATTAATTTCCTATGTACAGCTTGATTTAAGGCCAAGCATTGGTAAGTAAATAGTTTAAAACGAACTGTGAATTGTACTGAAACTTTTAGAAGATTTATTATTTTTCCAGTAAAATTGACATAACACTCATTTTAGTGAAATGCATGTTCGTTGAACAACGAGATAGCGAAACTCAAGAAAAGTTTCCCTAACTGACAGATTTTTCAATCACAAAATAGTGATGATGATAATGACAGAAAACTTCTTTAGCGTGATATCCACCATTTTCTCTTTGCCTGTTACAAATAATACGACTACGAAAAAACTCAAGGAAACGGATGATACAAAAAACACTAATCCTGATGAATTTGTGGTCATTGGCAGGTCAAAACCAATTATATTTGTTTCTGTTCGGGTGAAAACTGAGATCAGAAATAATTTTTCCCGATGAGACCATCAAACTAGGCAGCGCGAGTGCAGAGGTAAGAAGATCCGCCTGCCCTCATGCTCACAGCCAGGAAACATCGTCTGATCGAAGTCATGGTTGACAGAGCAAAATCGAGGCCGCGAAAGAGATCTTCCTTTACAGGTCGCGTCACAACACGGAAAACATAGACCGAGGAGAGTTGGGTACTTAACTATTCTGCTTAGATACAAGATGGCGTCCTTCTAAGTGACCTTTCAAAAATTCTGCTTCTAATCGTGATCAAAAGCCGATGCGATGCTTTTTCAATGATTTAGTGTGTCAGCAATGGAATGGTCCAAAGGAAGAGTAGTTTTGAGCACTAGAAAGTGGTAATATTTTCCCAATCATTTCTGCAACGCCTCTTACCGCTCTAGCTTTTTTGTTGGATTTGAATCCTTAAAATGGCACAGAATTTGGCGGTAGATTTGATGTTGAGGACTTTGATGAGTTCCCTTGAGTTCAGGGAATCAGAAAACAAAAACTGGGAAGGAGTAGCCAAGCTAATTCCTGGAAGCTCTGCACAACAGGTTTGTATTCGACCGAATAGTTAATATAAATGTAAATATAATAATTCGTGTGTTGATTGCGCTAATTGAAATGAAACCTTTACAAAATCTACTTAGATCCCTTAAGTAATTTGATAGAAATGGATTTGAGGGAAAGCTTTCGTAGATGGACTCAACAGTTAATGAACTGGTAATTGTGTCGATAGCAAAATCTGTAAATCTGATTGGTGCTTTACACCTTCAAAGGTTCACTGGCTGTTGCACTTCAGTACAAACTTGTTTGTTTTACTGCTCTAATCACAAGCATTAGTACCAAGAGTACTCTATTGTTTTTGTCATTGTTTTCTTCTTACTCAGACTTATCAGGAAGAGGTTTTTATCTTGATCTAACACAAAATTCTCACAATTAATTTACAAGGAAATGTGTAGCAGCTGAAGAGGAGAATTGCAAATCAGATCTTGGGAATTAAAGTGTTAGAGGTTGTTAACTTGATCTAATGCAAAATTCTCACAATCAGTTTACAAGGAAATGTATAGCAGCTGGGGGGGAGAATTAACATTCAGGCCTGGTTGTTCAAAGCTGGGTTAAGACAAACCAGAGTTAGTGTGAAATTTGATTTCAGGTCTGAAAGCTTTAAAAGAAAATTTGGTTCAAATCTTTTTGCCTGCAATTTGATCATTGGATGTTCTATAACGAACAGGAAAATTCTTCCCTAAAAGGCTTTTGAACAGAGAAATAAAGAAACCTCAGCCTTTAAACAACTGGGTCTTGCAGATCTTGGAAATCAAAGGGTTATATAATACAAATGGTAAATTGAACCACTTTTTTCAGTGTGCAAAAAGATGGGCAGAAATCCAGCATACCTCAACTTCACAGCATTCATCTTCAGACTCCAGTCCCCTCTCCAAATTATTAAACTCTGTTTTGCATTTTGCTGATGAAAAAGAATTAACAAATGAGACTGTGCCAAAGGACATAGTAAGGAGCGACTCACAATCAGCTTCAGTTAAAACCAACAGCTCTATAGGTCAACAACTTCAAACCAATCTGGAAGCAGGTATATATAGGGTATAAATTTTAGCTCTTAGAGTAAATTTTGTAAGTAATTCAGTTTTCAAAAGTTTTGTTTCACTTTGCTCACTTTGATTTGTCTTGTAAACTTAACCCTTAACCCTTTCACTCCCTAGATCTCATTAGTAATTCTCCTTACTGTCTGCCATACAGTTCTGGTGATGTTGGTTTGGAGAATGTGGTATTGGATCAACTTCTAATCCCTTAATTTCTATTTTTCTTTATTCTCATCACTTGTCTGCTTGATATTGTATTGATATTGTAAAGAGAAATTGTGTCTTGGTCACTCATGGGAGTTAAAGGGTTAATGCCCTTACATTGATTAGTATCTATATTCTCCATACTCTTCTTTATGCATTTGCTTTGTCACTGACAAGGAGAATTTGTTTAACAATTAAACCTTCTGAGGTTGATGGCAATCATTTCCTTTATCCTCATTTTCTTAACCCTTTACACCCTAACATCAGTATGCATATTCTCCATACTGTTCTTTATACATTTCTTAAGGTGCTGAAAGGGAGAATTCGTTTAACGGTCAAGTGCTTCTGTAGTTGTCGATCATTTCAATTATTCTCATGACCTTAATGTTTGATTCAGGTGTGATTCTGTAAGGAGATATTAGATGCTAGTCACTCTTAGGAGGAAAGGGTTAATGAATGAATCAGCAGTATTACTGTAAAGAGATATTATATGCTAATCACTCTTAGGAGGAAAGGGTTAATGAATGAATCAGCAGTATTACTGTAAGGAGATATTAGATGCTAATCACTCTTAGAGAGAAAGGGTTAATGAATGATTCAGCAGTATTACTGTAAGGAGATATTAGATGCTAATCACTCTTAGAGAGAAAGGGTTAATGAATGATTCAGCAGTATTACTGTAAGGAGATATTAGATGCTTGGCACTCTTGGGATTTAAAGGGTAAGCCACCCTCTGAACCAATCAGATGCAAAATCACCATCAACTGTTACTTGGTCAGTTGTAGCATTTTTTTTAGATGAAGTGCACTTTAACAGGAGAATTATAAATGTAACAGTGCCATCCATGGCAATTTATTCAAAGGTTTTAATGTACATGGGTGTATATACCTATACCTATATAAGAACTGGGCCAAATAGACCAGATAAGCAAGAGTCTCGATAATAAAAAATATGAATATCAAATTGAGCCAAAATAAAAGTGAATAGATATTATTTAATCATTATTACTCAAGAATAAGTTAGAGTACATTTTCAAATTGTCATGTGTCATTGCCAAAATTTGTTAAAGTATTTTCAAAAACATTTAACAACACCCATGTTTTACAACCCAAAATTTTGATGTTACTCAGTTTGTTTAATAAGCTGCTAAAGTGTGTGTAGGTCACTAATTCCATCGTTCTTTGAAGCTGCATTAAATGTAATAGCATCAAAATTGTTCGGTGAATCTACCTTGTTTTGGGTCTTACAAATCTCAAATGTGTCTTTAATTAATATTCATGAAAACAGAGAACAAGTCAGGATAATCGAGGGTGATTCAGGATAACTGAAAATCCAGATGATCGAGGAGAATAATCAGGATTTTATTGCATGATGTGTATTTTTCTTAAATTTAATCATGAACATAGAGGTTGAAAAAGAGTGGACTTAATCTACATTGTCTTCTTTTTTTTTCATGTTATGATTTGTGTGACTTGGACAATACTCAGGACTTAACAAAAGGTAATCAAATTGAATACAACTGATATGTACATATATCATTTACCAGCACTAGCAAATTGGATGGGTCATGAAATATTACTTTGGATTTTTACCTTGAATATTGAGATAAAATCACTTCCTTTTAGGACATCAAAGGTAACTTCCTTTGTAGAAAGTGGCCAGTGCTAGCGAGTTGGATAGGTCATTAAATATTACTTTGAGTTTTACCTTGAATATTGAGATAAAATTACTTACTTTCAGGACATCAGAGGCAACTTCCTATGTAGAAAGTGGTGAAGAATCATTGTCAAAGCAGGTACCAACTTATCAACTGAGGACAGACTGCATTTTGAGAAACTTTTGCTTTTTTCTTTTTACAATTTATGTGATTCTGATAACTGTATTGTTTATTGTTTAGAAATCAGTTCTCAGACAGCCTTCAAGATCGGCCTTGTCACAAGCTTCAAATCTGGAGTCATTACAAGGGTGAATGTCTTGTTGTGGTTAACTAATATTTAGGAGAGTTTTTTTTAGTTTACATCGGTAACGCTAAGCTGTGACTCTTCAAGTTGCCATGGCAAATAGGAAAATGCTTTTGGCAACTGAATTTGGGACAAATATTAAGGTGTGTCTTGTAATAGTTAGGATAAAATGTAGCACCTTGTTTCATGTATTTTTGAGGCCACTATTCAGCAAATAAAACATTTTTTTTCCTCTTGATTTCCTTTTTATAGGCCTAACATGGTTATCCATGTGTGTGATGAAAGTAAGAACTGTAAGTAGAAGTCTTCTCTACTAGTGTAATCTAAAGTCACACGCATCGTAACCCTTGACACCCTGATCTCTACACTTATTTTCCATACTACTGTCAATACTTTTCCTTTAATAATGACAAGGAGAATATGTTTAATGATCGAGAACCTCTCAAGCTAGTGATCATTACCCTCTTCTCATTACTTTTAATTAATGTTTGATTTATTGGTGATACTGTGAGAAGAAATTAGATGTTGGTCTCTCTCAGAGGTTTACAAGTTACACTTTGTATTTTACAGATTAACAGTTGATTGCTTGGTTAATTGATTTTATTAATCTATTAATGAATATCACTAATTTTAAACATTTATTTTTCAGTAAAACAAGACTTCACATGCCCAAGGGACTTGCTGATAAGTGAGATGAGATACTTCGCAGAGTATTTGTCAGTGGAAGCCCAACGATGGGAGGAGGTTGACATTTCTGTTCATTGTGATGTGCAGATCTTTGATTGGCTGATGAAGTATGTTAAAAGACGGCTTCCAGATAAGAGCAAATCCAGGACTGAGGAAAAGAAACCCAAACTTGGTGAGCCCCCAAACTTTTTTTTATAAATTAACCCAGAAGTGATTAACACGTAACTTCTCCCTATAATACCCATAAATTATCTAGCAAACAGGTAATGAGAATACTCAAACTTATCAGATAAAAGTTGTTATCATGATCTAACACCAAATTCTTGCACAAATTTACAAGGAAATACGGAGCAGCCAGAGGGGAGAATGAATTATTACATCTTGGGGGTTAAAGGGTTGAATAGTGCTAATAAATTAGAGTGAATTATGATTGAAGTGATTGTCACCTGTGAACTGTGATCATTAAAGAAAGTTTTTTTTATCTAACATATTCGATGATAAGTGTCAAATGGTATTCTTAATTTTTATTTCATAATATGTGACTCAGGTTTATGTACCAGTATCTGATATATGTTAGTATTGAAAGTGTAAAACCCGTTGGATACTGATGTGTTTAGTTCTTCAATTTTCTTTCTTCTTCTTACTCATTAATTAGTTGAGGAAGTTTTAGAATAGTTTGACAAATCTCACCTGAAAATGTTTTATTTCTTTTTTTTTTTTTTTTTTTTTTTTACCCACAGAACCAAACAATGTCATATCCATCTTGATATCTTCAGACTTCTTAAAGATGGATGCACTGGTAAATATTGACTTGTTTCAGGCAGGCCCTCAATCATGAAGGTCCCTGTGTAAACCTGCTTGCAGCTGAACTGGGTCAGCCTGATTAAACATTGGCAATAAATAATTCACAAATTTCATTACAAAACTTGGTTGTGCCAATTTTTGCAGCCAGTAACCATCCAAATAGTGGATATTTAGTTAATGGTAGAAGTCTTTTCTTCGCCTTAGTTTGTAGTCATTCAACATATAATTATTATTAAAAAATTGTGCAATTTATTAAAATGTTACCAAACCAATTAAACTAGTCTGTTTGAGGAGAGAGGTTAGTTTAAGCTTTTTTGAAAGTTAGTTTCAACTCCACATGGTGATAGGATGCCAACACTTTGTAGAAAAAAAAAATGACTAAATAAGCTGTATAAATGAATAACCACAAAAGTTGTACATGAAACTACTATAACTAAATTTATGCAGATTCTAAGTTTGAGGCATGCTACTAAGAGAGTTCTTTGCACAAAGTATTTTAATAGCATGGAGTTATGGTATACAACAGCACTTAAGGCCTCTGATGCTATCTGTTAGCTGAAAAAATCAATATTCTCATTTTTTTGTGTCTATCATGATAGGTAACCGAATGTATCCGCTACTGTCATCAGAATATGTCAGCCATCGTAGCCACGCCCTGTAATATGAACTGTATTAATGACAAATTGGTCACTAGGTATGTGATGAAAACAAAGAACTGAACCAGTGGTTTGTGTGTGTGTGTAGTTTGTGGGCAATACTATGATCCTGTTCTTTTGTAATATTTGAAAAGCCTTACATATCTACAAGTAGTGTTTTAGTGATACATAAAAAACTTTTTTTTTTGTAGTAACAGTGAAATACAAAAACTGCTTGGTTATTGTATGACTGAGCTCAAAATTTTCCATCTTTTTATCCTATCCATCTACAAAACACTTTTGAAATTGCTCCTCATAGCAGTTTGCTGGACACTTGTCTCATGTGAACGGACTAATGATGTAGATGACCAGAAAAGTACTCAGTACCTCAGTGAGTGAAATTCCAAACGTTTGAGGTTCTGTATCTCGCAAGGGACTCGAATTTGTGAGAAAAAAAACCAACATCTTTCTTTATTCTTTCTATTACGTACCTTTCAAGAGATCTATTGAGAGACTGATAGAGTATTTTGAACTGGATTATTTTCTCAGAATAGCAAAGCTGTTTAACCATAATGAATTAGAAGCAATCAAGGATCGGAAGGACAAATTTAAAAGGTGAGATGTCATTTTCTGCACATCACGAGAGTTGACAGAATAGTGTCCATGGAAAGAAACGGCTGGTGAACAACACCTATATACTTGGTCCTTATATGGGTATTCACAGAGATATGACAGATATGGCGTTATTTGGTTTTTACGGTAGAACCCCACAAACTCGAACTCCTAAGAGAAACAGAAAATGGTTCGAGTTAGCGAGCGCTCGGGTTAACCGAGGTTCGGGTCAATGGTTCGAGTCATCGGGGTCGTATTGTAAAACCAAATAACGCCATGTCTGTCAGTGTAGACAAGTTTGTGAAAAGAAAAAAAACTGTGAACTTAAACTTTAAAAGTAGGAAAAAATTTCCTGTCAATGCAAGACAATAAAACCTGTGTATGGAAACATACAGTGAAGGATCGAAAGAGTCTACCCTCAATTTCAACTTCAAAGCAATCTCACACTTGAGAATTATGTGCAAAAGGGAGACCCAGAGAAGTAGCGTCCGTGGCATTTTTTACATTCTGTGGCTTCAACTAATTGTTTTATTTTTCTACCGAGGAAAGTCGTAGCAATACGTTTGTGCTTGGTAATGTTGTTATTGTTTTGACTGCAGCAAACTGTTTTGCAAGAAAATCGAAGAGCTGTTTGATCCAAGGCTTCAATCAAGTTCATCCGCAAATGCCAGTACTCTTTTCAGGTAAGGGACAGGAAATGTTTGGTATTTTTTGCAACGTGTACCTAAGCAGCCAGTCAAGCGGTTTACAGGGACCCTATAACAAACTTTTGAGGAAACATGGCACATTTTTCATACCCTTTATGAACATCATAAACTATTTATGAACAATTGAAGTCTTCCAAGTATTTCTAAATTTTTTTGATTTGACATAAGCCACGCACTTAGCAATAAAGGCCCGGCCAAACGCACGCAACATTTCAATGCAAAATCTTTCAACATTGTTGCGCGCAAACGTGTTGCACACGTTTGGCACACGTTTGGCCACCCTACAGCAACATGTTACAACATGTTGGATGGTTTTGGATCAAGTTCTGGATATTGTAAGATGTTACACACGTTAGGCCAACTCCTTCACAGCATCTCACAACACGATCCAACACTGTTGCAAGATGTTACGTTAAAATGTTGCGTGCGTTTGTCCTGTCTAGTACACTTCTATTTTGTATTTTGAATATCTTTTCAAATGAACATACTTTAGATGCATCGCTTGTGGAAGACTTCTGACAGCAGAATCTCAAGGCAAACTACGATGTGTTCCTAACAGAATGATGGTGAATCATCGAGGAAGAGTGTCTTACGTCCATTCACGGTAAAACAGCATTTATATAATGAGCTGAATGACGCGCGCGTTTTTATCGGTTCTTAGTTATGACCTATTGGAGGACAGATACATAGGTGACATCACCACTAACAAGTTAAATTCAAGAGTTTTCATTGGCTCAGTCATCACGGGTTATGAGCCATTATACCGTGCGCACACATGAATACGAGTTAAACCGGAAGTGCTTTTGGACATACTACAACCGGTTGTTCTTACAAAGTAAATTTGGGAAGATTTATCTAATTTTGTGCATTTGAAATGAAACAATTATTCCACGAGTGCGCGTTGGTCATGAAATGATATATAGCCAACAAGGCTCGCAGGGCCAAATTGGCTTCAATATTGATATCAATGGCAAATGATCAGTGTATACTGTTCCTGATCACGTATGTACTAGCTAGAAACGTCCAATAAGGACACAATACATCAGAAAGTCTCAGCCAAGTTTCTACTGAGCTTTGTCAAGTCTCTAGAGCGTTTTTAATGAAAAAAATTCTTTCACTCGCGCTTGTTGGATATGAGGGTTCTCCAAATTTCTTCTAGATAGAATAACTATTGAGGCCATACCATAGCTATGTGTCTTCGTCTCCTACAGGGACTTTACCTGGGATGTGAATGACTACCTTCTTGGATTAAGAGATGAAGTTAAATCTTGGAAAGAAGTTTACTGGAGGTAAGATTCCCTTTGATTTTAGACTACGAGCAGACCCGCCTTTTCGGCGAAGTCTGTCGCACGTGTCCGAAAAAATAAGGACGAACAATAAAAATTGTGATTAGCGCGCCCCGCGGAACAATTCTTGCTTTTCGTGCGGCGCGCTAACCAAAATATTTCTTAGTTATCAGTTTATCACACGCTAACATATTTGTATTGTTTTCTACACAGATTATGGGGTGCAGTGAATGTCCTCTATTGTCACCGCTGCGGGAATTATTTCCAGTGCTCAGAGCTGGGTCACTGCAGCTATCACCCGATGACTGTAGATTTTGGAAACTTGGAGTGCGCAGCGACCAAGATAGTTGGAATATATCCCTGCTGTCAGCAACGAGTATTGCATTTTGATCCATCCCTTGAAGGCACTGTAAGTGAATTGCATCTAAGTTGTGCATTACTTTCGAGTGGTATCTGCACTAGTTTCTTACCTAGATCTCTCTTGTGTGCGAAACCGAAAGTGAGCTTGCGAGAGGGATCTGGGTATGAAATTGATGATCCACGAGACCCATGTATTTTCTCAGTTTACTTATGAGCCTTTGATATATCTCTCAGTTAGTAAGTGGGCTAGGATTGGTCAATTTAGCAGGCCGTATTTTACCGTGCAGCCGTCTGAATTCGAAGTTTCGTTTGAATTGGAATCTCCCCCTCCATTTGAACCCAGAGATGGAATAGGTATGTTACTAACCTTGTTTTCTAGTTCCTAGATGTAAGCTATGGATTCTCGTTTTTCCGCTCGGATTTATAATCCGTAACTTATAGAACTCGGTTAGTAAGAAGTATTTAAGCGCTCACAGCCTAACAGTACCCTTTGTCGACTCTGTTTGCGATGCATCTGTTATTTTTAACTTAACAGGGCTGCTGTGTGCGTGATCACAAACCAACGTTAAATAAACCAGTTTCGAACACAGCGGAGAACATGGAGAACTCAGCTGAATCGAGCGATAACAAGAAAGATGACAACTTAAAAGCAGAAAACAGCGAAGGAAATGCAAAGAACGATAACGACGAAGGTATTTACATAATCAAGATTAATTCAAGGGTTTTACTGAAGGTACACTGAGCTTCTCAGATTTCATTAGTTTTCAATTTGTCTTCCAAAGTAATTTAGGTTTTCTTTAGGCTTTCTCTACTAAGTGGCCAATGAATATTTAACCGATTGTTGAATTATTTGATAGACTGATCGATTAATTTACGACTGAGGACCTGAGGTTCGGTTCCTAGTGGAGTTCTCGGAAATTTTTCTTCGTCTCACGCCTGTGTATCTTTTTGTTTTCAACAAGTAATTCTAAAATTTATTATCTTCGCTTTTGTACGCACATGTCTTCCTTATTTTCTATAGGAAAATCATCCCAACCGGAGAAAGGAAAGTCAACAGAAGAGGAACAGAACACTGAGCAAGAACCCGATACTGAGGCCTCTGAAAAGTTACCTTCCGATAAAAATTCAGCTTCTAACGAGGAGCCAGCAATCACCAACAATCCAACTGTTGTAGAAGATATGTTTGCACATAGGAACGCTATCTGTATACCATTCCGCAGATTATCAAGTGCGAGGTGATTACAGGCATCGTCCGCGCTATGTTAGATTTATAGGCGTTAGGTAAATCATTGGAATTAATTCAAGGTGTTTCTTGCACAGTGAAATAACTTGGCCAGGATTCTTGGATTTCTTGTTGATCGTCCTCATGCTACAGTCCTTAATTATCCTTGTTGCCTCTTGGTGTTTGTATACCTCAACAATTTATTACATAAAGGCTTCCTGATAATTTACCGAATAGAGAAATTTTCAATTTTCGCTTCGCTCTGTGATTGGTCCAGAATCCTCACGCCACTCTCTGAACCAATCAGATGCAAAACTGAAGCGCCAATGGCAACTTGGTCACTCGCGTTCTCCCGCGCTTTCAGTAATTTTGCTTGTTTCTAGTTTGACTTCTTACTGACAACAAGATATATTTTCCTCTCTTCTTGTTAGGTATCATGATTACACTTTACTTTAGTTTTGGTCCGACGACAACCAATCGAAAAGCGCTTTAAAGAAAGATTGATAATTCCTAAATCTTTTTCATTCAGACATCTTTCATTTCTCGTCCATCATTCAACTCTTCAGAAGAATACTTAACAAAGCCCATTGAAACCTTTTTAACACGTGAATCGACAGGTCTTCCGAATTGAATGTATTTGGTGTGGAGGAGTTAGCTTTAGCGAACATGAATACCAGAGACCTGGAGGTAAAATAATGCTTTTCTTTTCTATATCACTTAGCAATTGGGTTATGTTGTTTAAGAACTATTGTAGGCTTGAATCGTTTCTTTTTGTTTTGTTCCACAGAGCAGCACGAGCGCCCTATCGGACATGATAGACCCAAGTGAACGAAAAGTTTTAGAATTTCCTACGGTTGGTGAAAAAAATATATTTTATTACTCTGGAAGTAATGCGAAGACTTGCACTAGTGTAATGCATTCCAATCGGGTGTTATAAAGAAAAAGTTACCACACTAGCTAATTAGAGTGAGAAGCCGAGTGTAGGAAAGCGTAGGAAAGCAAAACCCATACAATCCCTATTTACTTTACCTCTAGTTGGGAGTTTCGGGGAATTGGTGTTAATGGGCGGGACTCTTTGGCAGGATACCCTGTGCTGGGTTAAAGTGGGAAGGGAGGGGGTAGCGGGAAGGGGGAGTAGCTGAGTTTGCAGGATACCATCATGGTACTCCCTCATCTGTTTCTGGAAATAACGCGAAGCTGTTTCCTGTTTCTTCCTCCTGACAGTACCTACCCTCAATAAGGCGAAGCCGAAGTCGGTTGGTCCATCGTAGCTCACTGCGCAGAATGAAGTTTCAAGCTGGGAACAAGGACGACGACTATGACCTGGGAGAAGACGAAGATCAACCGGAGTCAGAGGACAATGATTTGGAGCAAAAACGTGAGTCACTGACCCGTGTCTTCCATGTGATCACCGTAATATCAGTATGTACATTTTCCATATTGTTCTTTATACATTTCCTAAGGTGCTGACAAGGAGAATTTGTTCAACAATCACTGAAATTTTACTTTTGAGAAGAACAACGAAAAAATACTTTTATTAAATGATCGTTTTCAGATAATTTTTGGAATCAACTAGGAGTTTGCCTGCGATGGACTGGAATCCCGTTTTGTCACAGAAAAGAAATTTATTGCGATGTTATTTTCCCTCCCTTAAACTTTATCTAAAATTTAACCAAGGCTATCCATTTAATTTTTTTCCTAGTCTTATCTCGAGAGAAACCACGACCTCCGAGAAAAGTCACCTCTGCCTCCAGGAAAGAGTAAGTAAGATTTTTACTCTGAGCCCCTGGAATAATCAGGGTATAAGTTCTTGAAGAAGAGACTGTTAATACTGATTTGGAAAATTACCTTAGCGACACGAGCCCTATTATGACAACCCCTTAGAAGCGTTATGGTCATTATGTAGAGCCTGGGGGAAGCGGGGGATTTTGTTTGTGTTATGATAAAGTTTACCTGATCCCCCACCCCTAAGGCTATTTAATACGTAATATCTTATGACTCCCCCTCTAAATGGAATTTTCTGCACCCCCCCCCCCCCCCCCTCATGTGATCCCTCCAAAATCCCAAACCCCCCAATGTGATCACTCCAGAGTCCAAAGACCCCCCCCCCCCCCCTTTCCCCCTCCCGGGGATGAATAATGACTTGTTCCTCAAAACTATTGAAGTCGATTTGTAGGTTCGTTCTTCAAATGGGAATATTGTCCTTGTAAAGTTCACCGGCGATTCCGTGACAATTTCATTGATCACTTTTAATTTAAGTTTCAGTACGTTTAAAAGTTACAAGTGGGACTCACAACGTTCCGTTCGCTGGAACCAGGATGCACAGCGCGAAGAAGATCAAAAGCGCATGACAGAGTTGGTTTCCTATTTGGCTCGACAGCGGGCTCACACGCCACAAGAGAAAAGCGATAGCAAACAAAAACCAAAAGAAGTAAGACTTTCACGATGGGACAGGAGCCTATCATTAAGTAATGAGCTCCTGGATGGGATTATCATTGTTTTTTTGGTGCAGTGCATTCTTCAACAGGCAATTTCATTCTAAACACCAGTAAGAGATTTTACAGCCATTAAGTTAGCTCAATCTTTATCTGTCTTGTAGTTTGTAGGAGGCATTTTCTCTAAGTTGGACATTCAGTTTCGTGCGTCACAGCAGGCCGTTGTATCGAAGACACAGTCCAGCGGGCCACCAACAGGAAACAGGTACGCTCAAGTCTAAAGAACGTCACTCAAAATGTGATAGTCTCTTACAGTGATCAGTCCTGTCTCGCAACGATACTACTGTATTTGGTTGGGACACTAGCCGCGACGAGACTAAGGGCCTGGTGCCTGTTGATTAGTGAATGATACAGGCCAGCTTGTTCGAAATTGGATGACGCTATCCACTAAATAAATCCCAATATGGTGAATAGTGCTGTACGTTTTCTTAAGACTTATCCGCTGGATAGAATTATCCACCCTTTAAATAGCCTGCTTAAGGCGTTCAGTCATTAAAAGCCGGAGCGAAATAGTGAACGGCGCGGTAGAAAATATGCCCTGTTTTTCAACATAAAACGCCTCTCGGAACGGTTCATTGCATGACCCATTTTATGAGGTTGGATGGTTTACTGGTTTGTAACTGTTCTTTCTTATTTGTATTTCTTGTTACAGTCAAAGAATTCGAAAGATCCAACTGAAAGTAACCACGTGATGACATGAAAACGAAATACAATTTGAAAGGCAATTTAACTTATTCTTCGTTGTTTGTAATAATATTCAATATTCATTTTTAATATGATGTATGCAATTCTTGTAGAATATGCGTTTAATAAAAGCTGCTTGTTATTTCCGACAGATTTCTGTTTTTACTTTTTTCTCTCTTCTCGTGGTAATAAACCGCTGAAATAGGGACGATATATGATGATTTTAGATATATGAAATTCATATATTTGCACTGCGGTGAAGGGATGAAATTAAGAGATCCTCGCAGCTAAGAACACTACTGAAACGAGTAGTTGAAAACAGGACCTGGAAATTCAGGCCCGTACGAGCCTGAATTTTTTTTTCAGGTCCTATTTTCACTTTCTAATTTTTTGGCTCCAGTTTTAGAAATTATATCTTTCAGCATTAACTGAGGATCACATGACAACTCTCGCTTTGAAAGGCAAGCAACTCAAGTATGGTTCGTTTAGCGCGGCTTTTCCGTCACTACACTTTGCGTGCGTATTTTTGCCCTGTTTTGCAGCGTAGTGTCGTCGCTTATTTTGCGCGTTACGCTATCCTAAGATGAGAGGTTGGAATGAAAGTGAAATGCTAAAAATACGCAATTTTTGCGATTTGTGACGTCGAACGTTCCTTCACCGCGTAGCGCAAAGTAGTCAGATGCCATTTTAAGGGCCCTATACAAGAAAATCAAAACCGAGTTTGATCCTCGTGCAGAAAGGAAAACCTGGATTAACAACCCCTGCAAAAAAGACTGCACGGCGTACAATCCGCTCAGGAATTTAACCCCAACCACGGCAGTCAGATTTCCACTAGGTCTCTCCTTCTCCACCAAGCAAGTAGCACAATGTTCCTCTGTAAGCCAATTGGGTGGAAAACAGCTAGAGTATTCATGACCGTATTGCAACGTCTGTTGTTGCTAACCCTTTGCCTCCCATGATCCGATGGTGAATACTCCCCTTTAGCTGCTACAGATTTCCTTGCAAATTTGTTTTGAGAATTTGGTTTTAGATCAAATTGACCACTTGTACCTGATGCCTTTGAGTATTCTCACTACCTGTGTACTGGATAATGTATAGATGTAATAAGGAGAAGTTGCATGTTAACCACTTCTTGGAGTTAAGGGTGAAGGAGCTGAGATGGGAGCTGGGGAGGGCTGGATAATAAATTAAATGGCACTCATTATTATAAACACTGCTGACTGAGAGGTCTGAAAATAAGAGTTCCTTTTGCAATTTATAATTTTTGATACACATAGATTCTCTAAAGAAATGGCCACATATTTTTGTTGGGAGGGGGTGGGCTGGTACAACTGGAGATGGGGTCAAACTTTCTTGTGGGCCTGAAAATAAGAGACTGCAGAAAATTTTGCAACCATTTCCGAGGGATCATGTTTTTATGTGTATTCCATTTTCCTTTCTACTAAAGAAAACAGCATTGAAGGGACCAATAACAAGCCACTCTTAGGGAGGGGGGAGGGGGGGAGGGGGGGAGGTGATACTACTTATGCCATGGTACAAACAATGCAAATGGCGATTATACGCAGGAAAATGAAAGTGCACTAGAACCTCCCAACCCCCAAATAATAAATGGCCAGTTTCTAGTGTTATGGTCAAACCAAAGTACATACTCTTCTTTTCCCCTCCCATCTTCATTAGCATCCCTAGGGAAGGGCTGAGTATAACTGTCTTTTTTTCTTTTCATTTCAACATGAATTTTTACTGCACAATACCATGTATAGCCAGTTTGTGGCAGGGGAGACTCTACCAGCTATACAGAACACAATAAGAGAGCTACGTCAATGTGGAATAGGAACAATGTTATGTGTCCCTAATGAAGAGGATCTTTCAATTGATTATGACAACTTTAGAGATAGGTGAGCTTGTTTTGACCTGCGTTTCAGAGAGTCAACATCCACAGTTGTAACAGTCTCAATTGCAACTTTTACTATATTTTTAGGATCATTACAATGTTACAACTATTCATGGAAGTGGAGGTGACTGGTGGTAGATATTTATCCAGCTGCAAAGCCAGTGAGATTAACTCATTCATTCCTACAGTGATTAAAATATTTTTGGACGCAAATCTTGCAAGAATTACTTAGAGGTGAACAGCAAAGGACAATCGGAGTGCACCTCCATGCTAGCTATCCACTGTTACAGTTTATGGTATACTAACATTTGTTATCTATTACAAATTATTAATATCTCCCTAATCACTATGATTGTATTTACTGCCCAGTTATTTTTTTAATGCATATCTATGTATACTAGACACATTAAGAGCAATTAAAAATAATTGTTAATTCAAGGAAAATTTCTCTTGCAGGGAAGCTGTTTGATAGAAATGCAAATGCCATCCTTGACTGTATAGAAAAGACAGGTAACTAATAACTAACTAACTAAAACAACTTCACAACAGGTCTCTAAGAGAGAGGTATAATATTTTATCTCCATAAACACTGAGGCCCTTTATTTAGGTCGCGTAAGACCTGTTTTAATGCCTCCACACCGCTTTTCTGTTACTCCATCTACAAGGTTAACTTTGAATTTGATGGTAGGTTTAGGGACATGCAATAAATAATTTTTTTTCCTATAATGAAATTCCTTTTCTTGCACTATCTTGCCATGTGTTAGTTCTTACAGCTGTTTTAAATCTCACACCTTGTTCTGGTCACAACTTTTAGAAGAAGGAGGCTTTTGACAAATGAAAGTGACAGCCATATGCAGCCCTATGGTACTAGTAAGTGGCTATCAATCAGATAATAAATAAGTTTGATATTAACTTTTGCAAAATTGAAAATATGTCTGTTTGTATAGCTCCAAATGAATAGTCATTGAATAGTCCTTAAAAGTTTGTTATTTAAAAAGTAAAGCTTGAAGGATGTAAGCAAATCAGTTTGAATTGTTTTGTGGCCGACCATTTAGTTGCTCTGCTTGATATCCTTATTTTTGCCTGTTTTTCAATGGAATGCTGCTGAATAATCTGCATGTTCTGTTTCCCTAATTTGCTAAAAGGGCATAGTAGTATAATCTTCAATCAGACAGATGAAATTTGAAGTCTATGGCAAAATTTCTTTGTTATTTTACATGAAACTAGACCCTGTGAGCAGGGTAACTGGGATACCTGGATGGTACTGAATCCTTGGAATCAAGTGTAGTGATACTACGGGTGTCGGACTAGTATACTGAAATAGTGCGCTCAAGTCTGGCCAAGGGCATACACCTATTTCAAAACATAGGCATGCTATGCATGCAAGAGTTACTTTTTTGTAGGTTGGGTGGATTACTTGAAACATTGTGAGTGATGTCTACATTCTTACAAAAGGAGAGAGGAATATTAATGAGGGAAAGAACGAAAATGTCGAATTACCTCACTCACAGGTATTTTGAGGTAGATTATGTGTGTTTTGCGAATAAATGTAACCAAAAATAAACTGTATTGGTGCCACGGATACCTGTTAGTACAAAATGCAGACAGCAGACTGCAGACCGGATACAAAATATAGACTGCAGACTGCAGAGTGGGTACAAAATGCAGACTAAGAATCTGAAGAGTTTGTACGTCTGGTATATAATAACATGTCATCTCACAGCTTACCGAACGTGAACGTTTTTCAACTAAGACATTGGCATACTTAGCATACAAGGCATTCAAGGCTTTCATGGCTTTCAAGCGTTCGCGACTCAATCCGTTCCAAAGTTACCGCTCAATAACATCTTTCAGTGTGGATTAGCCGCGATTAATACGACTTGTATATGCGTCTGTAAGTATTTTGTGCGCTTGCGCCATAATGCTCCAGGAGATCGCAATCCAAATACGTTGAAGTACAAAACAACTGACCAAAGAGTTTTATAAGTGACCCGGCCCTGTCCGTGTATGACAACGTCAATCATCATCAAGATAACACGCGTGATCAGCATGTGAACACCTTATTGGATCACAGTTAGTTGTCATGGTGTTGAGGGCCCAATGACCTCTGGGTACTATTGCGCAATTTTTCCATTTTGTGGCGGAGGAAAAAAAAAAAAAACAAAGGCATTTTATGACTGGGCTACCTTGTTCGCGGCCAATCCACACTAAAAGATGTTACTGAGCGGTATTTTTGGAACGGATTGAATCGCGAACGCTTGAAAGCCATGAAAACCTTGTATGCATTGAAAGCCATTAAAGCCTTGTATGCCAAGTATGCCAATGTCTTAGTTGAAAAACGTACACTTGTTGGAAAAAGCAAAATCTGAAATCTGAAACCTGAAACCAAACTGCATATACTGTATGCAATCTATTGAACAACACTACTATGGTGCAAACGGTTTCCTTTTCAAAACACGAAGCCGTTTCTGGCGACTGCCGGAGTGAACAGCAAATTTTCAACTGCTTTAACTTCATCTCTTTTTTTTAGAAGAAGACGTTTAAGTCGTTTTTACGACGGGATTTGACATGAGACATGATTCGGAAAGTGATAAAATTGTATCGCCCCACTGAATTGTTGTTGTGAGTCCCCTGGAGTATACATGGAGGCAACAAGTCGAAAATCTCAAGAACACACTCTGGAAAATTGAATCAGTTCTTAGTCTTGCGTGACTTTTTTTAAAGAAAGTACCTGACGACTAACGAGGGAGAATTGTTTTTTCTTTTCTTTTTTTCACCAGGAAGCACAGCAGGCTGAAAATTTAGTCCCACACTTTTGATCACTTCCGACAAAATAAAGGACCTTGACGTTTGACGATTCTCTGCTTCTCGATAGCTTTAACAGGGGAACCGCACCAACGGTTAAGCATGGTGCGCAAAAGCAGAAGTGCTTAAAAATCTGCAAGTATTTTCGCTGTCACTCGCGGGAGATGACGACAAATCCATATTCACAGTATTTTCAGTAAACAAAGTGCTCGAGTTAGAAAGATAATAGCCACAGGAATTGTTTCGAACCTCAGCTCTGCGAACAAATAATGTTACAGATTTTCACGCAAACGACTCGCAGCCGGTTGTCTGTTTGGTGTCCGTAAACTTGTACACGTGACTTTTTTTAAACCACTTTTTCGCGAGCAGATGAAATATCCAGCTCGAGGTCAAAGAGAAAACCTGGAAATTATTTGTCAGATCGACTAATGCTTGGGTGAAAATGCAAAGAATTGGAAAATAATGGCGATTTTGTCGTCCATTGGCCGTGTCTACAAATGCCTCTGTGCAGAAGAAAGGTTTCTGTGAATGACAAAAAAAAAGATTATCTCATTTCTCTAGTGAAAGAATAAAATTACAGACGATTGCTTGGACTATCAATAAAAATCCCCGAAAACTACACTGGAATCAAGAATAGACAGTTTCTTATCTAACTTGCGATCAAACGTTGTTGGGGGTAGCGTGAAAGTCCTACGGGCTAAAAAACAATGCCTGTTTGACAACAGAGCGAGATCTTTACTGAGTCACGTAGACGAGCAATCAATCACGCCTATTAATTTATTTAATTTATTTGATTCATTTTGAACTGATCCTTGATCCTTGATCCGGTGATCCTTGATCTATTTTTACAAAAACCGATGCAAACTGCTTGAGAAGAAAGACGCCATGTTGAATTCACTTGATGCCAAGGAACGTAGCCACGATAACAGTACGAATGGTATTAATTTCACGATCAGAAAGGTGAATCTTATGTTTGTTTTCATTGTCGTTGTATGGGTATTCTTTTTTAATAAATACATGATCAAAAATCCTTTGTTTTTTGTGTATAATTTATCTATTGTTTACGCAATTGTCTTGTGGGCTAATTTCTACGTGAAGTTGTTGATGTCTTCATCAAAAGCTGCCGTGAATAGCTTCGATGAATGTAACGTATTTGAGAAAGCTGCTCAGTTATCTGTTATTGTATATAATAATAAGCTTAAAAATAGCAATGATGAAGCATTTTCACTAAATACAGTCTGTAACTGTAGATCTCGATACGACAAATTTGTTTATTTTAATCGCCTCGTACGCATGGTATCGTGTTCGTGATCGTGAGCTCAGCAGAATACCAAAGAAAAGAATTACACGTATTTTGAATAAATCCAGGAACGTAAGACGTTTACTTCGAACCTACGTCAGAAAAAGCATACCGAAGTCTTCCCGAATGCATCTTCTCACAAATAAAGCTCGTGAAAAAATATATGCACATGGAATCAGATTTGAGAATAAAGGAACAACGAAATATCCCTCTTCTGCTGCTAGGAGAAAATATCCAAAGTCTAATAAATACAGGATACTGAAAATAAAAAACCAATACCCACACGTAGTAAAAAGTCCAAAGCCAAAGCAGTCGAATGTATGGAGGTCTAATTCAGTACCAAATGTTTATAAAAATCTGAATCACAGGGTAAATTATTTTACAGGGACCGTGCAGAGGGAGGGGCTGGGGGGGGGGGGGCTTTAGCCCCCCCACTTTTTTGCAAGAATAAAAATAAATTTAACAAAAAATAATTTAAAAAAAAAATTTTCCTTCACGCATTCTTCTTCAGCCCCCCACTCGAAAACTTGCTGCGCGGTCCCTGTTTTAAGTCCAATCTGTCTGAGGATATAGAAACAAACCCTGGTCCTGTTATTAATTCTACTAAAACAATTCAAGCTCCTTACAGTCAAAGACAATGTGGCAATGTTTGGGTTAAATGCTGGTATACAGTATGTAGCCATGTCACTTGCCTCCCTCATATATAACAAGAGGAATGGTATTGTATACTCAATGGACTTGGTTGATATCATGAACATTGGTAATGAATTGTATTCTGGTCTATCTAGTCTATCCAGGCAATCCTATTTACTGTTAACAGAAGTACCCGAAATGATAATAGTGTTTAATATTAATTATCAGTTTCAATATGGTCCAAGCTATACTGGTACTATACACGGTACTTGTGAAGTACAAGATTTCAATTATTGTATGTCATTCACTAATGCTATGCAGGCTTTGCTAGGACAAAATTATAATTCCTTTCTTTTAACAATCCTTAGTACTACAGTAGGTTTTTACTGTGATGGTGATGGTAAGTTTAAGATATTTGATTCTCATGGTAGAGATTCATATGGTATGCCCCATCCTCAAGGAACTTGTGTACTGTTAGAAGTTAACACCTTAAATGAGGTGATAAACTATTTTCAAGGTCTTTATCAAAATCCAAATGTTTATTTGAACTCAAAGGTGTACATATTAATGAAAAACAATGTGATATGAGAGATATTTCTGATCAACAGTTGTCAGCTGTCCCCCTCAAAGCAAATCGTGTAGATGCTGAAATTACAACCATTCATATTCCCTCGTTATGCTGTTGTGCCACATCTTTTTATAGCATTTATTTTTCCATTATCAAATACTGTGGGTATTGGAATTCACAGACTCTTAGATTGAATCACTGACCATGCAAAC